AGAGAGAGAGAGAGCGTGGTAGCTGGTAGCTGGGGGTCTAGGGAGAGAGAGAAATCTTTACAAAGCATTGCTGGGTCCAGCGCGCATGTATGCCGCTCGGGCATCCCAACTCTCAGATCGGGTCGCCATCGCCATCGCACCTCGATTTTGACCGGCCCGTCGTCCATACATACCCACCCATCTCAGCCGCATGCCGAGAGAACGTGGTCTGACGAGCCCTTCAGGGCCTCTAGAGGACCGGCCTGCTTCGATGGGCCCGCTGCCTCACAACCCCGAACGTCAAAATCAGACTCAGATGGGGAGTCCGCTGCCCCCGCTCACCGAGCTGCCCTCCTCGTCAGTAAGTACCACCCAAAGGGCCTCGACCAGCAACCTTCGGAGCGCTTTTCGCCAGACCATCAGGGCCGTCACTCCCGAGCCCGCAGAAGCCTCCCCCGGCAGCCATGTTCCCGAGGGCTTCACCAGCGCCGGTGTGTCACAAATGCTCCATGATCTGAGTTCAGCATCGCCGCAAACCTCTCCGAGGACAATTCCCTCAGCTCCAGTCAACATGCCGGCTAAGCGCCAGGGCGTTGTCTTCCAGGACGACTTTGCTGGGTCGTTCGATAGCACATCGTCTAGTCCTCCCGCTCGGCCGCAGTCTTTCAGACCGAGAACACATACCATGGACGGGTCTTTCCGTCAGCAGCTCGCTCCTGCGACCGAGTTGCGGAATAGGCTAGGATCGTTCTCCTCTGCCACGTCTCTTCCCGTCACAGACGACATGAGGATGGCCAGCCTGCAGTCCCCTGTCGAGTCATACAAGTCCATGGATTTCATCCCACCAGGCAGCAGTGGACCGTCCAAGGATAAGAAAGGCGGCGCAAGAAGCCGTCTGTCAAAGCGGCCGTCTTCACGTCCCAGCTCGCCGCTTTCGTCTCTTCCCCCCTCGGTCGACTCACTTCCGCTTCCTATACCCACTACAGACGCAAACAAGATCCTGCTTCTCATGAAGAATTTGTGTGGCCGGATGCGGGGCGAGATTGAGTATCAGAAAGAGCTAGGCTCTCCGTGGGTAGGTGGCATGTGCTACATCGAGGAAGAGAAGGGCAGTCTGATGTTTGACCCGGGCGACATTGGCCCGTTCCATACTGCTCTGATCTCTGATCTGCGCGGCTGCCGGGTCGTTCCAGTCGAGCAGTCTGAGGCAACTGGTCAATGCCTCGAAATATGCAGCCCCCATCTCGGCGTGGCTATCCTTCTGAGGCCCCTGGTGCCCGAGGAATTTGATCTCTGGCTGGCCGCACTGCTGTGCTGGCAGCAGCTCAGGCCGGCGAACTCTAAGTCACAATCCAAAGCATCCAAGGATAGCCCGGCACCGCCGGGACACACCGAGATGAAGCGCCGAGTCTCGTCAAACGGTCTGCGCGAGAAGGAGAGCGCTATCATCAAGGTTGGGAAGGTGATGCTCTGGGACAGGGGAGCCGCCCTATCTCCCCGAGCTATTGTCCGGCGGCCCTCGACGCGCGACCTACGTTCCCTCAGCACATGCTGGAGGAGGGTCTCGTGCATCCTCCATGATAATGGAGAGCTGAAGATCATGACAGAAAATGACATGACCGTGCTGTCGGTCATTGAACTCTCCCAGCTCGCAAGATCGGCCATTCAGCAGCTGGACCGGTCGGTGCTGGATGAGGATTACTGCCTAGCCATCTTCCCTATTTATTCGTTTACCTCGACTCAGTTGTCCATCTTCCGACCAGTCTACATCGCCCTGGAATCCCGCACCTTGTTCGAGGTTTGGTATGTGCTGCTGCGAGCCTTTACTATCCCTGACATCTATACTTTTGACCCCACGAGGGGGGAACCCCTTACAGAGGTGGTCAATCTTGCTGCCGAACCGCCGGGCGAGACTTTCCGAGTGGAAAAGACCATCACCCTTCGAGTCACGGAGGCCAAGATACGGAGCAGGACTTGGATGGGTGAGGGAACACCACCCGAACGCTGGTCAAAGTCGAACAACGATGATGCCGGGCTTGTCGGCAATTATCTGGCCGAGGTCATCCTCGATGGCGAGGTTCGCGCGAGGACGCCGACCCGAGCGGGCACCAAACATCCGTTTTGGCGCGAGGACTACGAGTTTACGGACCTCCCTGTCGCGTTGCCTTTTGTTTCGGTGCTGTTGAAAAGGGTCAACGACAACACCGAGAGCTTTGCCCGCCAGATCCAAGCGACGCTGGGTTTGGCCAAGCCGAGCCACCCAACGGAAATTCTGTGTGGTTGCGTGGACATCCCTCTGCACGAGATCGAGTGTGGCAAGGACTACGAACAATGGCTCCCCATCTACGACGATAAGCAGGGCTCTGTCGGTCAGATGTTGGTCAAAGTCCGACACGAAGAGCTCGTTGTTTTCCTGGGACGCCACTACAATGACTTGTCTGAGCTCCTTCACAAGTTCGACTCGGGGCTGGCAGCTCAGATCGCCGAGGCGCTGCCCGGTAATCTGCGCCGCGTCGCTGAGATCTTTGTCAACATTTTTCAGGTCACCGGCAGGGCTGATGAGTGGCTGATGAACATGGTCGAGGAGGAGATCGATGGTATAGGCAACCAGACGGCTCTCCGCAAGGGAAGATTCAGCACCCGGCTCAAGTCCAACGATTCGGTCGAGTCGACCGTGGAGCGGGAGATGCTAGTGCGCGAGTTGGGCAAGTCGCTCCAGGGAGAAGCCAATTTGCTCTTCCGAGGCAACTCTCTCCTCACACAGGCCCTCGAGTTCCATATGCGTCGTCTCGGTCGGGAGTATCTCACCGAAACACTCGGTGAGAAGATTGTCGAGATCAACGAGAGCGATTGCGACTGCGAGGTCGACCCCAGCAAGGTTGCGCACAGTGACGATCTACACAAGAACTGGAACAACCTCATCCAGTTCACCACCGAGATCTGGGAGGCCATCTCGGTGTCTGCCACACGGCTGCCGCCTGAGCTCCGGCAAATTCTCAAGTACATTCGTGCTGTGGCAGAAGACCGCTACGGAGACTTCTTACGGACTGTCACGTACACGTCCGTGTCTGGGTTCTTGTTCTTACGGTTCCTCTGCCCGGCTATTCTGAACCCCAAGCTGTTCGGCCTGCTGCGTGACCACCCGCGACCCCGTGCCCAGCGAACCCTTACGCTCATCGCCAAGTCCCTGCAGGCTCTCGCCAATCTCTCGACTATAGGCAAGAAGGAGACATGGATGGAGCCCATGAACCGTTTTCTCACCGCGCAGCGTCAGGCATTTAAGGACTTCCTCGACACCGTGTGTGCCATCCCGGCGGACCGCAGGAAATCGGCTGTCCCCCCGTCTTATTCCACGCCGAATACCATCATGGGCCGTTTGGCCCCCCTTGCCCGCGAAGGCTTTCCTTCTCTGCCCTATCTCATCGATCAGCCACGGAACTTTGCTGCGCTCGTCAAGCTGTGGGCCGACAACCACCCCCCCTCGGCCAGCAGCTCGCAGGTATATGAAGGTGACCTGCTCAAATTCCACAACATTTGTATCGAACTGCACCAGCGTGCGACAGCCTGCCTTGCGCGCATCGATGCCCTCCGCAATGCCGAAGGGGCCAGCCAGCCGGCAGATGACGTCTCGGGCCTGGCCGACGTCATGGATCGCATCACCGTCGGCGACATGTTCAATCTGTCCGCCTATGGTGGCAGCAATAGTGGTCTGCCCGACACAGAGGGCCCTCCGCCAAAGTCATCCGGTAGCGACGTCGACCCAACCACGGCCTCCACATCATCCTCTCGCCCCTTCGGCGCCATCAGCATCGGCTCTCCGCGTGACCTGAAACAGCTCTATCGCAGCGAGAGCAACAGCACCAACCGCGAGTCGACCTCCCTCCGGCAGGTCTCCCGCAGCAGCGAGGTCTTCCCACAACCCACGGGGTCCGGAAACTCCAGCAATAGCAGCGGAAGCGCTAGCAGCACGGTGCGCAGCCTGCGCAGCGGCATCCATCCACGCAAACTGTTAAGTGGGTTCATACGCAAGGCACGAAGCAACACCTCTGACGGCAATGGCTCAGGCCCGTCTCCCGAGGCGTCGCCCACCCTGATCAACACGTCTGTGACTCCTGTTGAGGCTGCGACCAGCACGCCAACCACCATCACGACGCCTGCCACATCAGCGAACGCCACTATCATTTCATCGCCCCAGGCGGGTTCCGCTGCGGTGTCGGCTATGAAACCGTTCTCTTTGCCGATCATTCCTAAGGAGCATGATCGAGAGTAATGCTGGGATAGGTCTGGTTGGGAAGGGGGGAGAAGGGAGGGAGGAGAGAGGAATCAGAGTTTAAATGAGAAACATGAGGCTCATAAACGATCAGATTTCATGAGCCATTTCAACACAATGAAAAAGGGAAAAAAAAAATAAAACATGCAGTTTATTACATACTACAACTCATGGGCAGGCGCTTGGTCGGTGGGATGGCATGGACTGAGACTCACGGTTCATTCACTGCAAGGAAGGCCATGGGGTTGGTTTGGGCGGTTTTGTTGGTTGGACAAGATGGAAGAGCTGGTACAACGAGATATCCATGTCCCAGCAGATTTGGCCATGGGTAGGATGGCGTGTTTTCTGTTGTATATCCAAATCTTTAGGGGCGGCATGCCCTTATATGATGTCTGGCATGTGGAAGCAAAACAAAAGCAATTGATTGAGCATTTGCTGATTTCTTTGCCAACCATGATAGCCTCAGTCACTCTTTATGCACAGCTAGAACTTATGGTTCAACTTTGTGAGGCTGGATCCCCTCTTACTATAAGGGCAGGCTAACTAGCTGACCTAGGTAACCATCCTGGATCCTCATCCTCCATGCAAACCATGCGGCGGATCATAAATCATGCATAAACCTGAGTGCCTCCGACTGCTGGGTATTGTGTTTCTAATGAACCAGTCCGATGCCCTCTTTTTATTCGCCCGCCCACTCCTTCCCAGAAAAAGGAAAAAAAAAAATGCCACCATGTTCATGTGGTCTCATCATAGCTCAAAGAACTTCTTGTAGGCGGCCTTCTCCTTGGCACGCCTCTCAGCAGCGGCCTTCTTGACAGCCGCCAGCTCAGCCTTCACTGCAGGATCCTCAGGGACCAGCTTAATAGCCTCCTCGAGATTCTTTAGCGCTTCGTCCTCATCCTTGAGACGAACCTGGGCAAAGCCACGGCGGTAGAGCACCTTGGCCTTGTCCTTGTCCGAAATACCCTCAACCAGCAGCGCGTTATCCGCGCACTTGACCGCCTCCTTCCAGTCGCCCAGCTTGATGTTCATCAGCGCCGCGTTGCTGTTAAGCGTCACGCGCAGCTGGTCGTACTGCTGCTTCGCCTCCGCCGGCTCGTTGTCGAAGTCCGGCTCCTCGTTCAGGTACCGGATGCCCTTCTGATACTTGTCCAGCGCCACGCTATAGTCGCCGTCCTTGAAGGCCTTGTTGCCATACTCCTTGCAGGCTGAAGCGATCTTGAGGACTTCCTGGGCGGGCATTGCCTCGTCGCCGGGATGCTGGTCCTCAGGGAAGTCTTCGTATTCATCGCCATACTTGTCAGCCTTCTTGGTTGCGGCGTCGAGAGCCTCGGATGGGTCGAGCTCGCCGCAGTCAGCAATCACGGCATCTTTGATGGGCTTGTCGGCTTGTGTCTGAAGGTTCTCGATCTGACGAACGACAGACTTGCCGCTGATCACCTCACCGAAGACGACGTGCTTGCCGTCGAGGTGTGGGGTCGCGACCGTGGTGATGAAAAATTGCGAACCATTGGTGCCTGGAAAGCAGGGAATCAGGTTAGTAAATAGCCTTCCTCTCACATATGTCTGTGCGTAATGGACATACCCGGCCCAGCATTGGCCATGGACAGCAGGAACGGGCGGTCGTGCTTGAGCTCGAAGTTCTCGTCCTCAAACTTGGCGCCATAGATGGACTCGCCGCCAGTGCCATTGCCAGCAGTAAAGTCACCACCCTGAATCATGAACTGCTTGATCACACGGTGGAAGATGCAGCCCTTGTAGTGCAATGGCTTGCCGGACTTGCCAATGCCCTTCTCGCCCGTGCACAGGGCGCGGAAGTTCTCGGCGGTCTTGGGCACAATATCATTGTAGAGCTCGAAAATGATGCGGCCCACCGGCTTGCCACCAATCGTGATGTCGAAGAAGCACCTGCTACGGTTCTTCTTCTCCTCGGTGCTCACGGGCTTGTTCTCCTCAGCGGTCATGATGTTGGTAGAACTGGGTATTACGATGAGGGTATGTGTGGATTGAGAGGATGACGAGTGAAAGAAAGATCTGGAGGATGCAGTTAGCCAAGAGTTCAAGTACAATGCTAGAAATACTGCAGCCAGTAAAATTCAAGTCAAGACTCTAAAAGCTCCAATTCAAAGAAGGTTGTAGAAGGCACAGGAAGTGTTCACGAAGTCACCAAGGTAGCCGGAGAGGGCTTCCATACATACCAGTTGACCGTGTTTGTGTGTATTATCTTTGGCCTAAGAGTTTGTCTTTGATCGCTAGCAGATCCGAACGGTGTGAGAGAAGCACGGCCAACAGCCTTCTGTAAATATGGATTGTTTGCCAGCATCCATAACCAGCCCTCAAACATGCAGCTCTGCGGCAAGATTGTTCTTGAACCTTCGATCATGCCCCACCGGTGCCGCGGGGCAGATGGGGTGGGGCTACTGCCGGCGAGGGTTCATCTTAAGGCCAAACCAACCGCTTTCGGGAAAAGCGGTATGTCGGGTCTGACCCATTCCAGCGGGAAGCGCCCTGGTCCCGCTCATGGTCCCTGGGCCGATTCTCGATCGAGGTCGATCAATGGAACCCGATGGAGGGTAGAAGTGAGAGATAGATCTGTCTTTGGTGCTTCTATTGCAGCTGTCTAAGTAAGCTTCTCTATTCACCATCGGTGTAGATAGATTGCCTCGCAGTCCCTGAGTGTCTTCATTGTAGCAAGTTGACGATCATCTGTTCCCTGTCTTGCCTGGGGCCTGTAGGTTGGCCATTCAACAGATCCGAAACCCTGTTGCCTGACTGATTGCAAGGCCACTAGGCCACCAGCAGGCAGCGTTGAACTACTGTTCTACGGGTTTCTGAAGGTGACAAGGTCTCTCGACGTGGCGCTTGCATTTTGCCGTGGTTCATGCTGCGGCCTCCTTAGGCGTGACAGGCTCTGACTTGGCTTTCTTGTCCTCCTTCTCCTTTGGCTGCACCGATACTTCGATTGTAACCTTCGCAGATGTCAGCAACTGAACCAGACTCGGACAAGGGGAAAGAGACTCGAACCGGTCCATCATTGACCAGGGCCACTTGCATCATGGCTTGAAAAACGCCATTTTTGACCCTGTCCGCCACATAGCCTTCTTGCACTTTTTTGTAGAAGTGCTCGTACAACTTTCTGGCCTCGTCAGGGGCCAGTGCGCCATGGAAGTCTGGCTTATTTCCCTTTTTTGTCGAAGCAAGCAAGGTAAACTGAGACACTTGGACAGAGTCAGCGCCGTGCTCTCAGGTAGGGTAACTGCTGCCAGGCTTACCGCAGAGTACCTCGCCATTAATCTCCTGGACATTCTTCCTCCACTGCGCCACGTTGTCAGACATATTTTTCAGAGTACGGAGAGATGCATTGGGTGTGAGCATACTCGTTTCCCTGACTCGTCATCCCAAAGCTTGAGCTTGAGCACCTTAGCAGCCAGAGACTCAGCGTCTTTCTCCGTGTCACCTGGCGCAACTGCTGCGAAGACCAGAACGCCTTTACCAATGGACGAGACCACCTGCTGGTCTACCGTGACCGAGGCTGAAAGGACTCTCTGCAAAATGGCTGGACGAGAGTGTTAGCCTAATTGTATAAGAGCTGCTGCTTCAAGGGTCCTAGAGCAAGCGACCGCCATACCTTTCATTGTATCTGTGTCGATTTCAACAGACGCTTGACACCAAGGCTGAAAAAGTTGAGTATCACAAAAATAGTTGAAGAAACTAACCTCTCGCGGATATGCGAGAGACTCTGCAGACGCTTGGGCTTGAAAGATGAGAGGTAAGGTTAGGTGGTAGGCCCACATCAAGTATTGAGTATTCCAAGGCAAAGGAAGAAAACATGAAAAAAAAGGCGACAGTTTATAAGCTTCACGTTAATATTATGTTTCAGGGTCTCAGACTATATACAGAGAACTACCACAGCTGAATCCTACTTGATCTGAACTCAATATCATGCTCATAAAGCATAGTTTAATCCATTTAACCTCTTCCCACTGTCGTCCAGACAGCCATGCAAACGATGGATGGGAATACAGGGAGACGAGCTGAGAGATAGGACAAGCCTCCACAATTGCAATTTGTGGAGGTCTGATCAGGGTCTGTCAAGGTGGGGGGTTCGTCGTCCCGACGAGGCTCGATTTCACATGTCCTTTATAACAGTCATGATAGAACTTATTCAGAAACCCAGGTTTCAAAAAGCAGATAAAGAACTTTATATTCTTTATTTGCAGTTATTTAGTTTAAAACTCAATTTTCTACTTGTATTTAAAATAGCTTCTGGAAAATCAATTTTGTAAAGCACATAGTGGTGTCAATTGTGCATGCCCATTTATCCAGCCCTGTTAGCCGAGTACAATGCGAGAGTCACGCGCCAACCGCAGCCGTGCCGGAGCTGGCCTGCTGGATGGGCTCCTTTGATTCGCGAGTCTGCAGACAACCCGTTTCAGCAGCTGCCACTCATCTCAGTCATCCACTGCGCATCGAATCCACAACCAGAACCACCAGCGCAACCAACGAACAGGCGCATTCCCGCCAGTATTCAGCAAGCAGACCTGCCATCGTACATCAGGTAACGTCCCCGCCCGATGACGTCCTGCGTCTGAATTTGCTTCTAGTCAATGGAGCCTGGGCTAATGACGCATTGGCTGCGTTTCTCTAGCCTCTCCCACCGGCAACTAGCATCGACACCACGAAATCACATCCCACTCCCTCCTCCTCCTCCTCCTCCTCTCCCCCCCCCGCCGGACAACTCGTAGCCGAAACCGCATCCTACAGCATCATTGACATCTCATCCTCTACCTCCCCGTAGGCGCTGGTGCAGGATATCGACGGCAAAAATGGCGGCACGAAAACTCCAGCAAGAAGTCGACAAGTGCTTCAAGAAGGTGGCTGAAGGCGTGTCCGAGTTCGAGGCCATCTATGAGAAGATCGAGCAGTCGACCAACCAGGCGCAAAAAGAAAAGCTTGAGGACCAGCTCAAGCGTGAAATCAAGAAGCTGCAGAGGTTGCGCGACCAGATCAAGACATGGGCGGCCAGCAATGACATCAAGGATAAGGCTCCATTACTGGAGCAGCGACGGCTGATCGAGACGGTTGGTATCCCGCAAGGCGACACCTAGGAGCTGCGGCCAGCACGCTTACCCCTGTGTGTTTTATAGCAAATGGAGAAGTTCAAGGCGGTCGAGAAGGCCATGAAGACCAAGGCGTACTCGAAAGAGGGGCTGTCAGCCGCCGCCAAGCTGGACCCCAAGGAACAGGCCAAGATCGAGGCCAGCGAGTTCCTGAGCAACATGGTCGATGAGCTGGAGCAGCAGATTGAGACGCTCGAGGCCGAGAGCGAGTCATTACAAGCGACCATGAAGAAGGGCAAAGGGCACGCTGCTAAGGCCGAACGTGTCGCCGAGATTGAACGGATCATCGACCGACACAAGTGGCATCAGGGCAAGCTAGAGCTGATCAGACGGTCTCTCGAGAACGGTGGGGTAGATGCCGAGCAAGTCAACGACCTGGAGGAAAGCATTAAGTACTATGTTTCCGACGGCATGAACGGCGACTTCATGGAAGATGAAGGCATGTACGATGATCTGAGCTTACAGGACGAAGAGGACGCGTATGGAATGAACCAGGACAACGACAAGACCTCCTCGCAAGACAACCAGTCGATACAGTCGAGCAAAGAAAAGAAGGAGGAGGAACAGGAGGCTGAGCAGCCCGAAAAACCATCAAAACCGGCCCCTGCTCTGTCTGGGAAGCAACGAGCGGCAGTTGAGGCGGCCACAAATGCCGGGAGACGACCGTCGAACCAGCTCAAGTCACCCCTCCCAACGTTGGCTACTGTACATACGACATCATCGTCCAACCTTAGCAATGGAACTTCTGGACCTCAGATGAAGCCGGCAGCGGTACCGAGCAGGTTGGCGGGCGAGGGTCTGAAGTACGCCAGCGCAGCAGCAGCCGCAGCTGCGAACGAGAAGAACAATGTTGGCATTGCACCATTACCACCACCGCCAGCAAACGCTCCGGGCGGTCCAGGGCCACAGGGAAGAATCAGCACCACTAACTCGCCACGGGTCCCCTCCTCACAACCGGCTGGGCAAGACAAGGCAAGCACTGCGGGGAGTTCGTCTACAGTTACGCCGGCAAAGGCGGGGGCAAGAAGTAAGGCTGCGGCACAGCCGCCGGCCCAAGCCGAGGCAGAATCGTCGAAAGGTTTGCGTCTATCCAATCATATCTTTATCTCATCCCACGCTTATAAGCCCATTGCTGACATGAACATAAACTTTAGCGACAGCGCAGACGAATGGTGCAAGCAACGTCAAGCCGAGCCAAGAAGCAGAAGAGGAGGAACCAATATATCACTTGCCACCGTCTCTACAGGACTTAGTAGATTCTTACGAAATCTCGAAGAAGAGAGCCGCCGCTCTGAGCTCGCCATCAACACAACGAATGCAGGCTGTGTCGAATGCGAGCAAGCCGTCCGCCCTGGATGGCGAACCGCCGCGAAGCTATCAGCCGGAGGTTAGGTTTTACTCGCATACACGCTATCCACAAGAGCCCCTGCCGATCTTCGACGACCCGAGGTTGTACTCGCGCATTGACTCCGACACGCTCTTCTACGTCTTTTACTACAAGCAGGGCACCTACCAGCAATATCTGGCAGCGCGCGCCCTCAAGGACCAGAGTTGGAGATTCCACAAGCAATATCAGACTTGGTTCCAGAGACACGAGGAGCCCAAGCAGATTACTGAGGAATTCGAGAAGGGGACATATCGTTTCTTTGACTACGAGAGCACATGGTAGGTTTTGGACAGAAATGATATTGACTGGCAGTTTGGCCAGTGGAACTGTTTTAACAAGTGGGGCGGGGCAAAAAAGAACAACGCTTTACTAACATCGGACAGGATGAACCGGAGGAAGGCAGACTTTGAGTTCCATTATAAGTACCTCGAAGACGAGGTATAACCTCAGGCGCACCCTTTCTTTTGCCTGACAAGAGGGGCCACGTAGCCGCCGCATGGGGAAAAAAAAAATAGAAGACAAGACGGGGCTAAACTGGGAGAACCGGCAAGTATGATTCGCAGTTTTTTTTTTATTTTACTTTATTTTGGCGGCTGTAGTCGGTCATGTATCTGGCATTTGTTCGGCCGTTCTTGTACGGAGTATGGGTTTAACTGCTATCAATCATCCTGCTGCCTTCCTCGGGTGGATGACTGACTGCTTTGCTCCATTGGTAGAGACAGACTACGTACTAGTTCCACCGAGTAGGTTTACTATTACGTATGGAATGTCAAATATACAAGAAAACAACGCGCCTTGTTTTAATAATGTGCCGAAGTGGCGCTGCTATGGGGAAGTGATGTCGTTTTCTGGAGTTGGAAATGTGGCAGTGTCGAGAAGGGAGTCCTTCACAGGAACTAGTGGCTGGAGGGATTTGGGCCGGTATTGACCAATAAGTGACTGATCGTTGCAGCTTGTCCACTTGAACACCGGTCAGTCAGTCATGGCTTTGCGCTATCGGAGACTAAGCGTATGTATTCTGAACAGAAGAGGGGGTTGAAGACGAAAGGACACTTAGATGTTCGTCCCAGAGCAAGATCCCACCTGTCAATTGGGAGGACCCTCCCGGCTACATGGATTTGGCCATGTTGGGCATCACATCATCCAGGAACGATGAGACTTCTAGAGAATTTGACGCTGTGTGGTATCGGAATGAGGCGATGTGGGATAAAAGTGATGCTGCTTAGGGAAGACAAGCAGGTTTCTTTCCCTCACGATTGGTCTGAACAAAGGAATTTGGAGATGCTGGGTGCTATTTCGGTCATCCTCCTTTACATATGTCAAAACGGGGCTGTAGGGAGTAGATCATGTGATTAGGGCTATCAGCAGTTATCCCTCCCCTATCTCTTGTCACAGGCTACTGAGTGGGGGTTCTTGTTGGCATTAGGAATTTTTCCCACCGCGCTCCAGTCTCCAGAGCTCAGCAAGACATGCACGATCGAGCAACAGACGTACGATTGGTTGGACCAAACGAGCTGCTCAGCTCGAACCCAGTTCTGGAACGCGGCGTTATGTGTGGATGTGCCACGGCAAAACCTTGGCCTTTTTTCCCTTTGACATAATGCTTTAGATCTGGAAAGTGAAGAACAGCCGGGCAAAGAGAGACTGACACTTGCGAGGATAACAATCGTCATACACCAGTCAAAAAGAACGCCAGCCCCCTCCTAAATTATGATGATAGAGGTGGGCATAATGTCTCAAGTCTTCACAAATAAACGCAGTTGCTATAGGTACCCCCGCTTCAAGGACTAGGTACATGTTCCCAACAGTTGACATACGCTGGTTAGAATGTAAAGAGTCTATACCCACCAAGTAAACCGGATAGACAGGAGTGGCAGTGTAATGATGAATAGGGATTTGGGCGCTATTTGCAGGATGTAATTGCAAAATGTGGCTTGACTGCTCTCAGTCCGCAGGAGACATGGAAGGCAAAGCAATGTTTGAGTTGAAGAAAGACTTCCATCGGTGCCCTTGATTTGTAAATGAGCAAAGCAAGGCTTGGAACAGTACTATTAGGTCTAAACTGTATTGACTGCTGGCTTGTTTTGCTCAAACAATGTAGACAGCCGGCACAATACCAATGCTCCTTTTTACGAGGCCAAGGCAGTCAACCTACAGGTGCCTTCCAAGCTGGCGACTGGTAAACAAGGTGACTGGCCTGTCTCTGCTCATAACTGGGGCGTTCCTCAGGTATCCACAGCACTTCTACCTCTACATATACCGCCTGCACAAGAAATTCACGTCTGATGGAGCGCGGGTAGGAGTTCCAATAGGCCATCCATGCGCAAGGCTGACTTTGCGGTATTCCCGTTTAGGAAATTCACAGATCTGAAACGAAAGTCAGCCTCATTTTTTTCCGTGGTCTGAGAGCAGGAAAAACAAGACTTGCTACGGCGAATTAAGCAAGAGAGGCATTTTAAACCTAACCCAGTGGATGTCCCCCAACTGCATTTTTGGGAAGAACTTGAGGGGGTGTTTAGCCAAAGTCGTTGGGTTTCGGTGTGGGTCACCAAGGCAGAGACTGGGGAATGGGCTCTGTTGACCCTGCTCTTCACCTCGGTAACCTCTTCAAGAATGGTCTGAGGCGTGCGGCATGCCGTGAAACCCTGCACCAACGGGAACTGTGGCTGTTCAAAGGCATTCATAGATGAATGGCGGATGGGATTGGTGATGGCGGCCACGATCTCGATGGCCCATAACGTCGCCATGGAGTGGAGATAGTCCTACCGCACTCACTGGGCTAGCCAATGAAATCTAGAAACCTGTATGTGGGTTCTGTTGTGCCTGGCTTGGGCCCGCTGGGCGTCTGCTGGTATTGCTTGCAGCGCGCTGCAGTGTGCATCTCTCCGCAGCACATCGTTTCACGTTTCCACCACAGCTCTTGGGGTCCAGTTTCTATAGTCAAAGGTCAATTTAACACAGCTCCTTGGGTACAGGCAGGCCTTTCGTCTATGTAATTGCCGGTTGCGAAATGGAATTTCCGTGATTGACACCTCTAGGTTACTACGGCTGGCTGTGGGACTGGTTCTTGTACATCTCCTGATCTCTGAGCGATTGACTGAGCTCTCGAAGAAACATGGCGTTGTTTCTGCCGTCACAATCCGCCTGTGTCACCTCAACTCTCAGAGCCTTGTAAATACCTTAGTGCCTAATCCGAAATCCTGACTCGGTCAGAGCTCCGTTTTCAAGTCAACTGCTCACTGTCTGCGCAGAATTTCCACGGTGCGGATTGCTACCCTGATAAGCTGGCAGTTTTGGGCAATCTGTATGATTGTTCTTCAAGTTGCTCCCAGAATGCACAAACTTACACTCATATTGGTATGTTGCCGCATCCATTTGCTTGGAAGCGTTCTAGAAGTAGTCATTCCACGGCTCGCTTTCGCCCCGGTTCCATTTAACTCCTTACGCACGTGGGCTCGTCCCACAATCCAATCTGGCTTGCTGTGCGGACCGGCTCAGAAAGAGTACCACCCTCACGTGTACCCCTTGCTGCGGGCACTAGTAACTCGGTTCTACTAAGGCCTACACAGCCCCAGACTCCTTCAGTCTCGGTGTAAGCAGATGGGTATACTGTCGGCCTATTTGCTGGCACTGTGCTGGAGCTGTCGAGTCGCTGTCTCTCTGTCCTGACCCCATCGTAACTGGCAAGTGCCCGGACCTTCTCAGTCATGGTCTTTTGTCTCGAACAGCCATTCATGCGGATTTGGCAAGGCAGATACACTAAGAGTCTTGTGCTCCTCAAGGCTTCAAACTCTAATTCTTCTGGAAGCCGTTTTTTGAAGTATCAGTGTAGGGATGTCTGTCGCCGACCTTTTCCAGTCTCCTGATCGTCAGCAAGAGGGCGGATCTCCCCAAAAAACACACTGTTGTAATGGTCATTCAACCAGCTCTGACTTTAGCGATCATGCGCGTCACTGGACTGGTGTGCTGTCTCCGGATTCGTCTTGAGATCTTTCGTGCGCCATGTCAATCTCCAAAGCCACCGTTACATGTAAGTCAGCCGCCTGTTCGCCTGTCGTCGCCTCACCAAGTAGGCTTTTGACAATACATTTCTCCTGTTCGCCTCGCGCGGTAAACAATCCGTATTTGCAGCTTCATTTTTGAACTATTCCAAGCCTCCGATGGCAGCTGAAACACTATGTACCGTCTATATATTCGCCGCGCTACATCGTCCCCCTCCGGTTGACGTTTTAGAAGTAATCCCTCTCTGGTCAAACCTATAGCGATGGCACGATATCTCAGCCCAGATTATCAACACCCGAACCCTGTTTTTCAGCAGTTCCCAAGCCATGGATGGCCCGCCTCTATTGACATGGCAAGAAGTCATTCGCAGTCAACCAACCATACGGCTGACACGTCCGTATCGGGGCACTCGTTCGCAGCGTCAACTCCCCTCTCGGAGGTAATAACTTGTCCTCCGGACGATGCGATAGGTTCGGGTTATTGCTATGCGAACTCCACTGACTCGATGATCACTCACGAGTCTGATCTCGCTGGCACTGGTGCTCAACATCAGCTCGATAACCCATCGTCAACTGTGCAAACTCTTAGTCTTTTACAAACCGTCAACGGCCCAGGTGCAACCCTGGATGCAATCCCAATGGAGGACATCACATATACGGGATCTCAAACCACATATCCAGACTCAGTGACGACAATCCAACCGCCAGCAGAAACTCAGCCTTCTGAGGGGATGCAGACACCCGCGCAGCCAGGCGCAACCCCGCCGATCCAACCCAATTATGTGCACTTCCCTTCTGGCATACAGCCGCTCTCTGCCAATAACACAGGGTTCCCCACAGGAGATGGCCATCTTCTGGGACTAGGACCGGACCAGCCACGATATGTTTCTTCATATCCCTACGAGAGTACAAATACATTGTACTTTGATCAAAGTCCGAATCAACACACCGTACTCCAGGGGATCATTAACGAGGCAGATGCTGAACGGTCTCAGAGCAGCTCGGGGCAGTATGTATCCCAACCAACTCTTTGACCACAACTAGTCCGAGTAATGTTGTCGCTAGATGCTGATAACGACATTTATAGAAGCTCGAGATCTCCGAGGGGAAGAAAGCCAGGGAAGACGTAAGTTTCCTAATTTGTGAGAGATCTGGAGTGTTGTCTAGAAACTAATTTTCATCAGATCTAAATCCCCCCTAATCGAGAAGGGCCTCTCCTCAACCCAGAGGCAACGTTCGGTTTGTCAAATCTGTGGGAATAGGTCATTCAGTCGGCCCGCTGACCTAGCGCGTCATATCTCAACGGAACACACCGCAGATGAAGATAAGAAGCTATACTTGTGTGACTATCGCAAGTGTGAGCGTCATCACAGGCCGACGCAGAGATTGGACCACTTCCGGGAGCATTTACGGGACTACCACAAGGAGGACCTGCTTCCGACGCGTGGTAAAAAGGAAAAGCTAAACCAGGCATGGTGGGAGGAGCGTTCGAGGATCGCCATTCTATCCGGTTGGTGGCGGTGCCCGAAGTGCTTTCGCCGGGTCCCGGAGGAGCAGCAGGTCTGCGAATGCACGCATAAAATTGAGCAGGAGCGGCAGCAATGGAGGGAGTGGTTCAAGGAGTGGAAAAGAACTTGCACAGGAGGAGAAGCTGAGCCACAGACCCCGGAATCACAGCCAGAGGAAGATTCAGTCCTGGAAGACCAACCTTTGGAATACAACGCCATCTGGGGGCTTCAAATCGTGCAACCGCAACTAGATCATCAATATCAAGCGGAAGCCGAATATCCGGAGCCCCCGCCCCAGGCATGTCATGAAAATCTGGGGCCTTGGCCTCAAGACGCCGAATTCCAGGGGTGATCTGTGATCGTGGCTGTGAACTTCCTTTTTCTCTCGTTTCTTGTGATGCCTCTGCTTCTTCCATCGTGATATCTGCGTCGCGGGTCTCTTGCCACATGTGTGTTTCATTGTTCTTGATTGTTTTGCTGTATATTCTTTATTCACTTCGGCGAGGCTCGAGTTTCTTGCTGTTTTATCTAGACAATGATGTGGCTGATACACTACAGAAACGGATGGGAGGACAACGTGTGGGTGCGATAGCCTGTACTTTTTTTTTTTCAGCTTGGCGTTGGGGAAGGCCACTTTGGGATGTTGTATAAGTACGGTCTGTTTCACTGTTGACATGCGTAGATCGTCGGGATTGGGCAGTTTGCGACACTGGGGACGGCTTTCCGCTTTTCTTCCACTTATATCCGGTATTGGTCTGTTTTTTTTTATTTGTTTTATATTTTGTCACTGTTCACCAGACTGCTGAAAGAGCGGGACAACACCTGATCTGATGATTTTAAGTGTGTATGGGAGGGGAAACGTCAGGGAACATCAACTCGGGTAAATCGCTACATTCAGTGCAGCAATCATTCCCACATGAATAGATCGGAAAACTGTTGTTTAGCGAATCAGCTTGTGTACTGGATCATTTACCGTGTGGAGTTGCTGAGGGTGGCTGTGTATTCGTACTGCAACGCCTACCACCCCCTTTGGAGAGCCAGGCGGCTTGGATATCTCTTTGGCACCCGGGCTCAGACGTTGGGTTAATAGGAAATGTCTCCTGGTCAGTCTACCTTGAGTATTTCAGCTTAGCTGGCAGTCCTAAGCAGTGTACAATAAACTGTCTGTTCAGCGAAGGCTTTATGAAGTTCCTTTGTGCACCTAATAAGGCTGTCAAGCCCCTGCATCATTGGATGGATAGATGAATGAACTTGATGGGTTGAGTGGAGTTACTACATCATCTTACATAAGGCTGTTATGGAGCACATTACATAGGAGCACGGATGTCCCGGAGGGGCGATATGGATGTTGTTCCGACGCCGGCCGGCTGGAAGGCAGCAACTTATTTATGCCATGTTCTCAGAATATATAAGTTCACTGATTCAAGATGCTGCAAAACTGTAATTTATCGATATTGCGAGCGTTTTGGGTGTTTCGCAAACAATCAGTTGATGTAGCCGACTGTGATGTTCCAGGGCTTCGCACGAAACGACCAGTCATGTAAATCCGGCGATATCCGGTCCTTATCGCCGCGAGGCCGGGCGGTCCAGCGGTCGAGTTGGAGTGCAGACGGCATCCTTTTCCTGGAGCCCCCCCGACTCGTCGACTGCCCCTCCGACCCCGCAGCCCTGGAGCACTGAGGGATGTGGGGTGCTTGCGTGCTTTCGGTTTCTCGAGGACTCTGGCAGGTGGGGACTCAGCGGGGTGGACTCGGTAGACAAAAACACCCCTGGTGCGTTGTGGCATTTGATTGGCCATGTTGCTTTAAACCCTGCTTAGTGGATTCCCCGCTTTTTGCCGGAAAGAGTTTTACGCTTCCCACCTCAAGAGCGGGCAGCTTGAAACCGATCGCGCAGCAAAAAGCGCAGCGGCACAAAAATCGATGAGACGAGGACGAGGGCGCGGTGTGTGTGCGTGTGCTATTGCCATCCCGATCACCCGACACCGAGAAGTAGATACACACACACACACACATGCAGACCGTGCACAGCAGCAGTCCCAGCGACAGGTGTGACAGCAGCAGCAGCCAGCAACGTCGTCTGTCTGCAAGCAAAGCAATTGAGCGATTGAATGATTGAATGGTTTTTCGATGAACGGCAGCGCCCAGAGGTGACTCAGTCATAGTGAGTGTGTGCGTAAAAGTGTGCGTCCGATTCCCATCCGATCTGGAAAATATTTATATCGAGGACTCGGAGGCAACAAAGCGACCAGCGCTCTCCGTCTGCCACACCCAATCCCGTTCCCGGTCGCCCGTACTCAGGCTCTTCACCACTACCATCAACAGGCTTCGTCTCTTTCTCCCCCACTTAGACCAAGAAAAAAAAACCATTCCCTTCTCCTGCAACTGGCTGTCGCCGCTGCGCAACGCTAGCGTCTGGCCATTTGCCTTTGCCTTGTCCCCGTCCCCGTTTGGCCACCTGCCACCTCGCACTGTCGCAGTCCGTCGCAAACACAGTCCCGACGTGCTGCTGACCCGGAAGCTGACTTGACGTCGTCGCCCCCCCTCCCCCCTCCGTGACACTCGTGCCGGGTATCCCAGTCGCGGCCAGGGAATTCAAGTTCCTGTCTTCCGGCGACACTTGCCGCGGCCCACTCGACGGACCCAATCAAGATCGAGAAGATCCAAGGACGCTGGCCCTCACTGCCCTTGCGGCTGCTTCCTCGGCTTTCGACGCCGTGCGCCTTGCCAATTGGAGCTCCGAAAGCCCGACATTGTCTCACTGACCGTCTCTGAACGAGCGGCCCGATCCGGCGCGTCTCAGAAATCCGCCCACTCCGTGCTCAGAAATCCTTTCTGTCCCATTTGACCCCTTGGCCCCTTCTTTCCCTCCCCCTCCCTTCCCCCTCTTTCCTTTTCTTTTCCACCATGTCGTCCGCTGCTTCTTCGGCCTTGCGTGCCTCTCTTCTTCGCTCCTCAGCCTCGTCTCGCTCTGCTGCTGCTGCTGCTGCTGCTGCTCGCCCGGCCTTCAGCAACCTCCGTGCCTCGCCCGTCTCTGTCTCTGCTCGCGCCGCTCCTGTCTACGTCTTTTCCCAGCATTTCATCAGTCGCCGCACCATGGCTACCGACGCCCCCATCAAGAAGATCAAGGTCAAGAACCCCATCGTCGAGCTCGATGGCGATGAGATGACCCGCGTCATCTGGAAGGACATCAAGGAGAAGTTCATCTACCCTTATCTGGATGTCGATCTCAAGTACTACGACCTGGGCATCGAGTACCGCGACCAGACCAACGACCAAGTCACCATTGATGCCGCTGAGGCCATCAAGAAGTACTCGGTTGGCGTCAAGTGCGCCACCATCACCCCCGATGAGGCTCGTGTGAAGGAGTTCAACCTTAAGCAGAGTATGTATAGTTTCCTATCGTGTTTCTGTAAACCGAGGGATGGCTAACATTTTGTTTTGCAGTGTGGCTCTCGCCCAACGGCACCATCCGTAACATTCTGGGTGGCACCGTCTTCCGTGAGCCCATCGTCATCCCCCGCATTCCTCGCCTGGTTCCGGGCTGGAAGAAGCCCATCATCATTGGTCGCCATGCCTTCGGTGACCAGTACCGGGCCAAGGATACCGTCATCCCCGGCCCCGGCAAACTGAAGATGGTCTACGTCCCTGAGGGCGGCGAGCCCCAGGAGATTGACGTCTTCGAGTTCAAGAACGGCGGTGGTGTTGCTCAGACTCAATACAACACTGACGAGAGCATCCGCGGCTTCGCCCACGCCAGCTTCAAGCTCGCTTTGGATAAGGGCCTGCCCCTGTACATGAGCACCAAGAACACCATCCTGAAGCGCTACGACGGCCGCTTCAAGGACATCTTCCAGGAGCTGTACGACAACGAGTACAAGCCCCTGTTCGAGGCCAAGGGTATCTGGTACGAACACCGCCTCATTGACGACATGGTCGCCCAGATGATCAAGAGCAGCGGTGGCTACGTCATGGCCCTGAAGAGTGAGTTATTTTCTGTCGATCAGTTGATATTTCGGTCATGAACGGACACTAACTTTTTACAGACTACGACGGCGATGTCCAGTCCGACGTCGTTGCTCAGGGCTTTGGCTCCCTCGGCCTGATGACCTCGGTCCTCATTACCCCCGACGGCAAGACCTTCGAGTCTGAGGCCGCTCACGGCACCGTCACCCGCCACTACCGCGAGTACCAGAAGGGCAAGGAGACCTCGACCAACCCTATTGCCTCCATCTTCGCCTGGACCCGCGGTCTCGTCCAGCGCGGCAAGCTCGACGGCACCCCCGAAGTCGTCGCCTTCGCCGAGGCCCTCGAGCAGGCCTGCATTGACACCGTCGACATCGACGGTATCATGACCAAGGATCTGGCTCTCGCCTGTGGCAAGACTGCCCGCGAGGACTACGTCACCACCCGCGAGTACATGGATGCTGTCGACAAGCGGCTGCGTAAGAGCCTGCAGGAGAAGCTCCAGAAGCTTTAAGCGGTGATCAGTGTGCGAACGAGGTCTGACGAACGACGTCGAGCAAAATAAAATAAAAAAAAGTACAGGTCACGCTTTATAGTCCCATCAGGATGCTAACTCCCAAATGTCGCTGCGTCCAAAAGGGGACTTTGAGCACCTGCCTCTAACCCTTGAGTGTGCTTCGACATGTGTATTAACACTGTTTCGGTAAAAGCCGTGCGAGACTCGCCAGGGATATGAAAGGTCTGCCTTTGAGTTGGATGTCCTTGACCCAGGCTCAGAAAAATAGAGGTGCCAAGGAGCTGGAAATCTCCTCGCCACTTATTGTGTATGCCTGGTCGTGTTCTGGATCGTTGTTTATTTTTGGCGTAACAGCATCATGTGCAGTATCTTCTGTCTGCGGAGGTCTGCAAGACCTTTGAAAACAAAGGGACACCGCACTGCTCTTGGGTGGCACTGCCGGGATGTCAGTTAGGGTCGACATTGTATCGTCGTGTGTACCACAGGGGGGAGGGGGCCGTCGAGGCGTGGATAGCTTGTACATAGAATAAATATGCTATCTCGTCTCGAACTTTCGTTCATCACATGTTGCTGTGAGGAGAGACCTATCTTTTATGTGTAACTGTTGGCTTGGGTTACTGCTGGTGTGCACTCCCCCACTCGAGTCTACGGGGGAGAGGCCTGTTGAAATGTATAATCCATGTTTATGACTGCATTATCATTCTATCATCTGATTGTACATGTACAAGCAAAGCACAACACCGACAACGCCCAGACGCCCAAGTCCTAGAGAATACCTGTATACCCGTCAAGATATTTTGTTCTTTCCACCCAGTTTCCCGTGGTATGATAATGCAAAGGCCCCTGTCAGAGGCATGATCCAGCAAAACTCGATGGCCTCGAGACCTCAAGAGATAGGAAAGCAAAGTTATGTTGTCTATTGCAGTGCATTCTTGTGCCTAGTGATAGGTTAGTATGGAATGAGGAGGGGATGTAAGAAGAAAGAACCGTTCAAGGAACTATAGTGAAAAGGACAGGTGAAAACACAAAAAAAAAAAAAGAATTCAAAGCAGAAAACGTACCAGTTCAGCAAGCCAGTAAAATCAGCAAAATCCCTCCTCTAATCATCCGCGCCCCTAATAGAATCACCATCCCCTGCTGCAGCCGCCGCGGCGCCCGCACTCTTCCTAGGCTTCTTAGATGTCGGCGTGCTCTGCTCCCCAACACCCACATCGCTAACCTTCTTCTTTTTCTTCGCCGGCCGATTCGAGCCCCCCTTAGGCCTATACCCCGGGTCATCGTCCACAACCCTCTTCCTCTTGCCCTTCCCGCCACCGGCCGTGCTGACCGGTGTCATCACCCCGCCCGGCGTTCCGTACCCCTCGTCATCGACGTCGTCAAAGCTCTCAGCAATCGCCAACCGGCTGGCGGCGTTCGCGCGCTTGCTGCTGCGCACGCCAGACCCACGGGGGGTACACTCGCTTGAGCCGCCAGCCTTGCCACCGCGACGTCCGGATCCGGTGCCGCTGCCGCCGTGTGAGCCACCTTCGCCATCGTGGTCCTTGCCTTCCTTGGCGCCACCGTCCTGGTGCTCGCCGTCTTGGAGGAAGGTTTTTGGCGCGTTCTTGCGCAGCCAGTTGTAAACGGAGACGGGGTTGCGCAAGGCGAAGTCGCGGGCTGTGTCCTTGGGTACGGTAGGGTCTTGGTGGGCGAGAGGCGCGAGCGTCGGGAGAGGGGGTTCTTTTTTCTTTGTGGGCTTGGTAGCGTCGATGTTTGTGCCGCCATTGGGAGCGTTGTTGTTGGCTGCACTGGCGGCTGCGGCTTCTTCGCGAGACAGGCGCGTGTCGATCTCCCAGAGGTAGTTGTCGATGTCGTCGGCAGTTAGGAAGGATGGCGGATGAGCAGAGCCCTGCAAGGGGTCAGCAGGCGAATCGCGCCCGGCTTCGATATCGGCGACGAGTTCGGGGTAGTGATCGGCCGCGGACGCCCAGGTAAGATGGGGAACTTCGCGAAGCAGCTTCTTGTAAGATTTAGCTGGTCGGGGCCCTGGAGGAGGCGTAGTAGCACGGTCAATGTCAAGGGCAAGGGCCTCGTCGTCGGAGGGAGGATCCAGGCTGAGATCTATCCTTTTTTCTGGAGGAATCTGACCCGAATTATTCACATCTAGGAGCAGGTCCAGGAGACGGCTTGCCAACAAAAAGATACAATGTTAGCTTTGGCTCTTCTGTTTGTATGGCAGACCCCGGGGGCCCCCCGGGGGGGGGGCGGGGGGTTGGAAGGGGAAGGGGAAGGGGAAGGGGAAAGGGGCAACTAGGCGTACTCTTTCTGAATGGCGAGTCTGCGCACAGTGGCTAGGGCCTTTTGCTCAAGCTTGTGAAGCTCCTCGCCCTCGTGCATCTTTTGGTCGAAGACGATGCGCATCTTGCGATACTTCTTCTTCCATGATCGGTATGTGGGCTTGTCCTCGGCCATTCTGGTGTCGGCAGAGTCATCCTCTGCTTTAACTCGCATATCGGACTTGGTGCCGCGCGAGCTGGCTTCCATTCGCGTGCGTGACAGGGGAGCGGCTCAATTGACGATGACAATGACGATGATGGAAGACGATGGCGATGGCAACGGACGATGCGAAGTGCGAGTTGGAGGAAATAGGGGAGGGGGAGGGGGTTTTGGTGATGACGCGGTGCTGGCGCGTTGGGCGGAAGAAGGAGCAGAAGTTTGGCTTGAGCGTGTGTGGTGAGTGAGGGCGAGGCTTTCACAGCGCAAATTGGCTGGGCGCAATACTTAGCCGTGACCTCGTGGCTGCTCTCCCTGGGCCTCTGCGTCTCGGTAGCGTGTTGGATGGCGCGCTGCACCGATCATCCCCTGGAGCGGAGCCGCGCCCTAGTAATTGCGCGTAATCTTGTAATGCCAAGCCGAGCAATTTTGCTGCGATCACATGTAAGTTTCCTCGGCATTTCCGTAAGATTGACGTTACAATACCCGTATTTCAAGAGGATTTTCCTACAAAACCCCCAAGTATCAGGCATATGAGAACATCAGGCCAGACATTGAATATTATATATCCCACTTCCTCGGTCCCTCCCACTGCGAAGCAACCTCACTCCAGCCAAGTTTTTTCTTCTTCAAGTTGTATGTTTCGCTCTATCGCCCGCAAAATGGCTGAGACGGCAGCAAAGCGCCTCAAGACTGACGTGACCGTTGGCACACACAACGGCCATTTCCATGCCGACGAGGCCCTGGCTGTCTATATGCTGCGCCAGCATGTGCCACAGTATATCGGTGCCCGCTTGGTGCGCTCTCGCGACCCTGCCGTTCTGAACGAGTGCAGCATCGTCGTTGATGTCGGCGGCGAGTACGACCCGGCGCGCAACCGTTTCGACCACCACCAGAGAAGCTTCGCCACCACCTTCCCCGGCCGGCAGACTCGCCTGAGCAGCGCCGGCCTGGTCTACCTTCACTTTGGCCGTGGCATTATTGCGCGCAAGCTGGGCCAACCCGAGGAGAGTGAGCCCGTTGGCCTGGTGTGGAACAAGCTGTATGAGAGCTTCATAGAGGCTCTCGACGCACACGACAACGGCATCAACGTCTACGACCCCGAGCGCCTCAAGTCCGCGGGGCTGGAGAAGAGATTCTCCGACGGCAGCTTCACTCTCGGCGCCATGGTCGGCCGACTCAACCCTAACTGGAACGACCCGATTCCCGAAGACCCGGTCGAGGCGCAAGCGCAAGAAGACAGTCGCTTCGAGCAGGCTAGCCAGCGCATCGGCGAGGAGTTTGACCGCAGCCTGGAGTATTACACTCTGTCCTGGTTGCCAGCTCGCGATCTGGTGGCCGATGCATTCAAGGCACGATATGAGTGGGACAGCGAGGGCCGCATTATGGTGTTCAAGGGCCAGTCTCCTCCGTGGAAGGACCACCTCTACGCGCTGGAGGAGCAGGACCCTGATGCCAACCAGGTTTACTACGTGCTCTATCCGGAGAAGCCTGTGGAGGGCTCTAAATGGAGGGTGCAGTGTGTTCCGGTGACCAAGGACTCGTTTGAGAGTCGCAAGCCACTGCCCGAGCACTGGCGCGGCTTCCGGGACGAGGAGCTGGACCGCACTTCCGGTGTCAGTGGCTGCGTCTTTGTGCACGCTTCGGGCTTCATTGGAGGGAACAAGACATTCGAGGGCGCCCTCGCCATGGCGAAAAGGGCTTTGGAGCTGGAGAGGTTGGAGGAGCTGTCGATGGACCTTCCTTAAACGACCTGACGGGGGTCTTTGGGTGAGACCGGTTTAAAGGAGGAGCATGGCGCTCCTAGTAGGAAGTGGGTGACTGCATCGTGTCCTCTCTGTAGGTCAGAGTACACGACGAGAGGAGAGCGCACAATGAAAGGCAGAGAATAATGGGGTTTTCGGTCAACCCGATCAGCTCGGCTAGCTCGGCAGCCCAATGTACCTCCACGAGACGTCGTAATGGCTGAACCAACATCTCAGCCTAGGTTTTACGATTCTACTACACAAAGCAACCCTCAACGGCACACCTGTCTCGGTGGTCAGGGAATCCACTGGCTTCCTATCAAGACAAAGAAGGAAGGTTCAGATAGTTACAGAGACAAATCATGAAACCTCCATTCGAGAAGACGCCATTGCTCCCAATGTCGACGCTCCCCTTGATCATTTCCATGACCTTATCTCACATCGTTTTCCGCTCAACCTGATCACAATCTCAGACGTCCGTATCCCTTTTTGACCCAAAGACATGGGAGTGGCCGGAAAAGCGAATGAGTGACCCTCATCATCGTACATAGCTCACTGTTTAGCATCAGACCAAAACAGAGGGAAGCCAGTGTGGAAACGAGCCCTTTGCCAGAGTTGAGCCATGGAAATACAAAGGAGAAATGAGTACAGAAAAGAAAAGCCAAGACAAGCAACCCAAGCAGCCCGTTATCTTTTTCACTACCCTTGTTGCTGTTGCTGTTATTGCTGATCATCATCCATCCATCATCCATCATCATCATCATCAAACCAAAACCTATCAACCAAGCCCAACGCCGCAAAACAGAATCTGTTACTTTTTTTTTCTTTCGATGATCTTTTCATGATCTCGTAAGTTTCTTGGTTCCTGTTTTGGTTGCAAAAATCAAGGGAATCTCAACTCCTTTACTGGGGGCAGCTGTCGTAGCAGCAACCCCTCTGGATAAGCCTGCTTAGGACAAAGTCATAGTAAGCGAGACGTATGTAGGCGGCGGAAACCCCATTACCGTTGCTGGCTGGCTGAAGTCTCATTGGAAGCACCATCCTCCTGGGCTTGTTGCTGACCGTCCTGCTGCTGCCGCTCCTGCTGCTCGGCCTCGGCCCTCTTGCGTTCCTCTTCCTCCTCACGCTCCAGATCCTCAGCGCTCGTCTCGCGATGCAGGAAGCTGCTCTCCTTAACCGGGCTGCCGGCCGACATGCTAGGATGGTGCTGCTGGTGCAGATGGGGATGCAGCAAACTGCCGATGCCGTTGGGTCCCGATACGGGAGTCGTCAGGTGCGGGATCTTCTCAGGAACGGGATGCTGCGAGCCGACGGCGCCGGCGTCCACGCTGTCGCCCTTGCCGGCCTTGCTCATGGCATAGTCGCCGCTGTCAAAGTACTTGCGCTCCTTGAGATGCTTGGCGAAGTGGTCGCTGCGGCTGGGCAGCTTGCCGTACAGCCGGAAGAGCCGCTGCTCTTCAGGGGAGAGGGACTGCGGTCGACAACTTGGTCAGCGAAACCGTCTTTTTGTAGTGTAGATGCCCACTTCATATGCAGATACGCAGAAGAAAAAGTAGGGGACAACAGTGGTCTTACATTGATATCGATCTTCTTGGCTTTGTGAGGGTTCATGGCTGCGATGCTGACAACGATTTGCCACGGTTGACTGACGGCGGGGTTGTTGACAGGTAAAGCCAAGGACCAGTTGGGTTGTCCAGTGATATTCGTCGGTCAGGTCCCGCGAAGCTTTCCGAGGCTGTGTGCTTCCCGGCGGTTCACGGTTCAAATACACAAAGCTCCAAAGGAGAGGCCGCTGGGTTGATGACAAGAAATACAGTCCCTCTCAAGCTCCAAATCAATCCTTGGTGTCAGCTGATATGGGAGATCCGCCGATCGGCTGGGATGGCAGCAATTCGTAGGTTCCAAATGTTCCAAATAGTCCGGGATCGCTGAACGAGCGACGCTGGGCTGGCTGCGGTCGTGCTCGTCGACTGTGTTCGTGCTCGCTGTGGTCGAAGTCTGAAGGACAACCCAGAGCGGGATGGTGGAGACGTGCAAGTGGTCAAAGTGGAGGCGGAGTTTCGTCACTGCGGTCCACTTTGGGCTTGGAAGGGAGGGGCTTTGGGTTGTTCAATAACACCGCTTAAAGCAGCGATGGCTAGGGATAGGCCGACGGGAGCGATTTACGTGCGGTCACGGAAAAAGTCGGCCAAATCAGATGTTAACCGCTCGTTAATTGTTTATTCTGCTCTACAATGTTTCTATTCACCAAACGGAGCACTGTTTTGACTGTTTTCTGGGAACCGTTAGAGTCGTGCATCTGTAGGGCTGATTCATGTCCGTTAGGGCGGTACTCGGAAGACCCTGGGTGGCTCGGTGCTTTGACCAGGTCCAGCCGACCTCTTGGGCTCCAAAGCCTCTGAGCCTCCATCCTAAGACCTGCAGCTTTGTCGCCTGTCACTGTCACCACTCGCAAGTACCATCCACCAGTCAACAGCCGGTCTTGCCCACCACTAAGATCCCGGCCGTCCACTCCATCGAACCATAGCCGCTCTTGATTCGTCTGGCTGCCGGGACAATTTCCATTTACTTGCACACCGACTGCATCATCTACATGTTTCTGGTTTGACCTGGGATATCTGCGCAGGCTTAGCTCTGGGCGCCTGTGATCTGTACGACTTCATTTTATCACAGCGCGAAGACCATCATGAATTCAATTTAACTCTTACATTCTAGCCACGCGTCTTTTCCGGTTCCCTTCCCAGATAGTCCGATGTGTAGCCAACTTTCGCATGTCTAAACTCCAAAGCAATGCAGCCAACGTTTACGTATCACACAGAAGCGAGGAAAAAATGTGGCCACGAGAATAAGGAGAAACGCAACGTTGGACTACCCCTTCCTCTTTTTACTCTTCTGGCGATCAATAAGGAGGCGCCTCTTGCAGTGCTAGTATGGAAAACACGGCGCCGACGACAGGCCGAGCTACGAACACGGGGCCGTTGGCCGGGTAAGCACCGGTGACGGAGTCGAAGAGATCAGTCATGGCCCGGTCAGTCGTTGTATCGCTAATCCAGCGGGCCAGCTTGGAGATGAACATGGCACGGGTCTCTGGTTTAGCCACAGCCGCTGCGAACATCTCCCAGTCCGACTTGGTCCAGTTATGCCGCGAATCGAGAGGCACCGCGTACTCGTTGGCAACCGTCAGGTAGAAATCGCTCTGCATGTCGTAAATGGCCTGGTCGATGAACTGCAGATTAAGGAGCTTGTCGGCGTAAATGTTGTAAAGCAGACCTATCTGGTTAGTCTCGAGTCTCCTGCTGGAAATGAGGCCAAGACCTACCATGGCTGTTGCTATTTCCGTAGCTCAACGTCGTATGAGGCGGCGAGGCCTTTGCGTTGATGGCGAACCTCTTCCACTCTTGAAGGTACCGGTCGGCAACGTCCCCGAAGACATCCTTGTTGTTTGTTAACTGCGCAATCTGCGACATGGCCTTGAGCCCGATGATGCCCTTGATGGCTAGGTTCGTCTGGTTTCTGCGGGCAAATGCTGTCAGCAAGGAGTTTCCTCGGCACGGATATCACCTCAACATACGCCAAAGTCCCCGCAAAGTCGTCAGTACTAAGCTGGCTCGCCGGGATCAGTGAGTCGTTCACCAAAAATTCTGCCCATTGCGACAGAAGCTTGTAGTGCTTCGCCAGATATTCGTTATCTCCCGTACGCTGCGCGTACGCTAGCGCCATGATGATCATGTTCCCGCACTCCTCCAGCGGCATTGGCTCATCATCGCCTGCCGGATATCCCTTGGCGATGGGGAAAGTGCCCAGATCATGCTCGGCATAGGCGTTTGGATATGCGCCACTCTCCTGATTTTCGAACAGAGGCTCCAGCAGGAAACGTCCCAGTGTGGCGTTGAGGTACAAGAAAATGGGATAGGCCGGGAAAATGACATCGACGGTCTGGATGTCGCTGTTGGAGCTGATCTCCTTCAGGAAGATGTACGGCTTGGCAGGGGTGCCCGCATACTGCAGCGCGCCAAAGGTCTGCCGGACAGCGAGCGTGGTAATCAGGGCATACTCGCGCCCGGCAGCTGCTTCAGAGTCACGACGGATTTGCTCGTCAAGCCTGGCCGATACATCCAGGGCGTGGGCATAGTCATGGTAGAAGGAGACGACAGCAGCGGTCTCGTTGGGGTAGTATGACGACCAGAGACCCGGCACCGGTTCTAGCTTGCCGCTCTGGCCAGCAAATTGGATGACACGATCTTGGATAATGCCGAGCGTAAGAACTCGCTCGACGATTCCGTCCTTTGTTATGTTGCCAAGGTCATGAGCTAATGCAAACACCGGCCTGAGGGGAGGGAGTCAGTAAAAGGGAACCAGACCAGGTTTGACTTGAGGAAGCTCACCAATTCTCTTGAACAGCGCGATAGCTAGTGTCTTTTGTGTTTTTGAGAACACTTTTCTTGACGAATTGGTTGCGAACCTCCGTGTCTGGGCCAATCTGCCAAGTTACCTTAGGAATGTCAACATTTGTTGGTTGCCGCATTCGTGGTATCTCGACAACTTACATCCTTGCCAGCCTTTGTCGACAAGTACCAGTGGCCCCAACTGGCTACCTCGTGTGCCTCGCCAAACTCTACTTGGTTTTTACGGAAAAACTTGTGGTAGATGATGCCGTTCGTCGTGTTGGTTTCCCAATTTACAATTTCGTTGATGTCGCCGCTGGCCCATTCTGTTCATGGTCATCATCCACTCGAAAAGCAGCGACGAAACAGTGTCCATAAAACCACGACATACCGCCAGTCACATCCATATACGTCCTAACCTGATGAGACTTCCCATCTGCCGACATGACCTTGATAGAAATATAAGAAAATTGTAACGACTGCCGCGCGACATCATCTGGGTACACCGGAGACAGGAAATTGACCGTCATGGTGACCTTACCGGCCACGTCAAACGTGAAGATACTCTGGGTTGAGGTGTATGTCAACGATGTTTGATTGACAGGCTCCGGCCCCGGGGCCGCACCTAGCCAGTTGTAGGTCACTCCATCCACTGATACGAAGCCCTGCCACCCGAGGACGTGGCCCCTGAGGGAGGTGATTAGCTACGTGATAGCAGAGGGTGGTGTCCGTATGTGAGAGCTTACGTCCAAAAGCGTGGCCAAGAGCCTGGGAGGACCCCTCCAGATCCTCCCTGCAACCAGGCGTTCAAGTACGGCGATCGTACGGCCAGGGGAACAGCCGGTGGCCGCGCCGGCTCGAAGGCTGGCCGCGCAGATGTGCAGTGACAGCCCATCACCGCGAGGGACGTTACGGCTATCTGTTTGAGCCACATGATTTTAACCTACCGAATGACTAATTGATATGTTGAGGTGCGCTGTTGAAGGACTGCAGTTTCGTACTCAAATTGATGCCGAGGACAGGAGTTCGGCTGGTTCCGAGGTGTCTGGTTAAGAAACACAACGACGGCCAAGCTGGCAGACATCCAGAAGGTCACGAGAGGAGTCTTGAAGTAAAAAGAGGGGATCTATTGGGAATTTGTAGACGGGGGGAGCAACTCTTGGACTTGGGTACACAGGGACAAGCACAAAACGGATGGGATGAGACTTACTGGTGGTGATACAACACAATATGAGATCCCCTTGAGAAACTATCTACCACACCCAGCTTCCCCCCTCGCCAACAGGTGGTTTCAGTCATAGGAAGTGCCAGCACAGTTGATGATGGTTGTAAACGAACCGGGACTTTACACACACTTCAGTTAGCCAAATCTCTGAACAGAAAGCTACACACAGCACGAGCAGCATCCAGGCGAAAGAGAAAATTTAGGCTATAGGCCATAATTAAGACACACGTGCAGGGGTGAGACAAGCTTCGTCCCCCGTACCGCATCGCCAAGGTGCTGGTACATCTCAATTCCTGCTGTCGAGTCGTGACTCTGTGGATCGTTGCGAGTACCACCGTAAGCGATGGCATAGAGGCATGTCTAGCGCAGTAGCAACAAAAACAAATAGTTGCAATGGTAGAGTGAGTGGTGAGTGGGCCAGGACCAATCTGGCCACTGTGAGGCCGTGTAACGGACGTTCGATGGCCAGACCGCTCGGATGGGCCAGGTGTGGTTAAACTTGCCTGATTGAGGGCTCAAGTTGTCAAGCCAGCCGTAGCAGTAAAGGTCCTAAATGTCGAAGAGAAGAAGGTGGCTGGAAGATGTCGCAGAAGGCCAGCACAACAGCTGAAGACTCGGGCACAGCAGCTCGACAAGGGACAGGTTGCCTTAGTCCTATCCATCTATGACGGCGAGGTGCAATAGACATACATGTAAGATTCAACATTTCCAATTCATACCATGGATGGCTGGAGCCAAACTCTGAATGAATGGTAAGGGAAGGGCTGCTCTCTTTGCACTGGTTCACTTGACGTCAACATCAACTGGAGGGCCTCATCAAGTCTGTCGTTTTGGGGGAAAGAATTGGCGTGCATCTCCAAGGTATCCAGTCAGGCTGGAGGTGGCAATAGGGCCATGATCTCAGCCAAGACCAAGATCAGCGGGGCACACCATTCCGCACGAGGAAAACCCGGTGAGACCTGCGATCGGGACGGAACGGAGATGGCCCACTATGCGACCCACCGGCAAACATTTGCTTCAAGACGCGGTATGACGCACTGTACTGTGCTAAGAAATTTACCTGCATACCTGCACGTTGCAGAAAAGGTCTTTGTATGCAATGCAGATCCAGTAGACACACTATTCGAAATTATTCAACAGTTGAGGGATAAAACATAGCACTTGTTACTCCAGGAACAGACAACGCCGTACATAATACCTCTTCCGGACTCGACATCCCCGTCGAAAGGTAATGCCCGCATGGCTCAGTGGTAGAGCGTGACACTAGTATGGAGCTATGTCAAGGTCGTCAGTTCGATTCTGGCTGTGGGCAATGGAACCCTTAGAACTAGAAGGATATTCTATATCCTTGACTTTTTTCTGAGCTGCGCAATGGCCTTTTTTGTCATTTGCTCATTTTTGTTGTTGAGTATCGGACGAACAACGCTGCGATCATCACATATGGCTTAATATTTCAAGGGGAGCACCTCGAGAACCCTAGTAATGATATGAGGGACCTGGTATAACCCGGACTGGATGATCCGTACAAATGTCGGCTATGTGCCGCGATATCTCGTAGATGCCTAAATGGCAGCCATCTCCTCTCCAGCACAATCCTACCCTAACTGATTTATTCCGCGAAAAGCTTCCGTCCTGGGCATTATGCTGGTGAATCACAAAGGAGTAGTGTGAAAATTTCTTTTCCGTTTTAAGTGATCATAGAGAACCATCACCTGAGGTTGCAGATCTATTACTTGGTCGGCTCAAAAATCGACGTCTGATAACTCTTAATATATCACGGGGCCTGGATTGATGACTTATACTTTTCGCAAACAGTCGTTTGCTCTTCTGTGGCGTCCCGACTAAGACACGACACAATATCTGACATCACCGAGTGCTTGCTTGCAGCGGTGGAAGCTGTGGAACAATGCCATGAAGTGCGGCGTTCAACCACAGAGCCATGCGTGCTTTCTAGAAAGCATTAGATCAACGAGCTGACTCGGCAATTCCGATCAGCGATTGGCAGCTCGGCGATGATCAACAGTGTCTGGAAGACGTTGACTTGTCCAGCCTTCTTGAGGCCTGGCTACAGGCCCTCTCTGGCCAACATGTCAACGATGTCCAAGTAAAATGCGATAGCGTTGAATCTAAGCCCTGTCAGCCGCATTCAGGGTAGCAGACCGAGATACCACTTACGTCGGTGGACGGCCCATCCACTTCTGCGCGGTATACCGCAACCTATTGCTCCAGTTGATCAAATCCAGATGATTGACACCTAATAATGTTCCCTTGTAAACACCCCACTTGCTGCTCTCGACACTCACTAGCCCATCGTTGGGGCCTTCAACCTCCTCTATGACGCGGTGCGACAGTCGAAAGGGGCTTAGCAACGGCGGCCGGTCTTTGACCATGGCCCCATAAGAAAAGTAACGCACAGCCGGGTCATCTGGGGTCCGTGAGTTGAACTCCTCCGTCATATACGTAGTCGTCAGCTGGGCAAACGCGCTGGGCTCCCAACCAGTCGTGCGCTCCCACAACTTATACAGACGCGGCAGGTACCGCGGACCGATCAGCTCAAGCATGTAATCGGCGAACGGGCTGCCATGGTGCGGGGTAGCCACAGTGACGAGCGACTTGACGTCGACGCCCGGATGCTGCAAGCACGAGATCATGTAGCGGGCGTCGAGCCCGCCCATACTGTGGGCGATGATGTTGACGCTCTTGCCTTGTGCTTGGGCAACGATGTCCTCGGCGAGCTTGGCGGCGCGCTTCTCAATCGAGCTGCTTGGTGGCACTTGGGCGGTGATGACCTCGCAGTTGTTGGTGGTCAGGGCCTCCTTGATGCCACGCCAGTACTGGATACTGGGCAAATAAGAGCCCGCAAGCCGCAGCTCAGCAAAACCCAACAAGCCATGGGCCAGCACGACGGGGTATCTTGGTGTCTCTAGCGCGGATATCGCATCATGTCAGCCGCGGTCGTTTGTCACATTTTTGATGTTGGCGGCGATGGCACCGTGCTGATAAGCGGGCTCATTACTGTATCTGTCCTTCAAGAAGGCATATTCATCCGCGATCTCCCTGCCCAGCCCTTTGATCCGCGCGTCTGTCAGGACAATCTGGCGGCAACGCGGCTTGTAAGCGCCGAAGCAGCGCAGGGCAGGCGCTCGAGCGCGAAACGTAGCACGATGATAGGTGTTCGTTGAAAACCGTGCATTGGGCCAAACGCCCTGGACAGATGTGGTCGCCGCGGTGTGTGACCGGTAGCACACCGCTACCAGCCTTGTCATCTGCTGCTGGCCTTTGGTGTGAGGTGTGGTGATCTTGATCCAGGATCGCTGCAACCCAGCGAGCGAACCGACCTCGTGTGAATTGCGACGTAGAGGAGGGGAATAACCAAACAGGACTTTGTAGATGATCTAGCCGCTGTTGCTGGTGCGGTGTCCTTTCTGAAAGAAACCAAAGTGGCAGTCAAAAGCTACGACTTGCTTACATAACTGGTCACAAACAACACAGGAAGGGGAAATTCAGGACAGATGCTGGACAAGTCCACCATTCGAGTGTTTCTGCTGTGGTGGTGGGTGTGGTGGCGGTTTGGCTGAGACACAAGCGCGATGTTTGGCATGTGGGCATGTACTACACAGTAGGGAACGGCTAGAGCCGCACTGTTGCCCGTTTCTTGGCGCCAGGCTCCCGTTCATCCCGCCTTTGATTCGGGTTATCCATATAGTCAGCTTCACCGTTGTACAGCCTCGCCCACAGGTGTGTGGCAGAGGCTCAAAGCCTCTCCTGTTGGCCATATGTTTAGCTGCTGCGAACAGAAAACCGGCAATATTCCCGCGATAGACTTAATTGCAACTCCATTCGAGCACATCTTGACAGGCCAGTTTCTTAGGTAATCTGCGAATACGCCAGCTGGGACGTGCAGCCAACAGCATGCAAACTCAGCCAACCTATCGCCAATACGTACTGACAAACCTGCAAGCCTTCTACAGAATAGAGAGAGGATGGTTGAATATTGGGAGCTGCCAAACACACACCAAACCTGTCTTGAAGATGGGTGTAGTATCTGTGCTTCTACCGGGTATGTCATATGTGATTAAGCAGCTGTCCCTGCATAAGAACCGAGGCCAACGACAATGCGCAATCCCAGCTAATATCCGGAGTATTTGTTACAAGGGCTCGGTCCCAGGTCGACGGCTGGTAGGTATGGAAATATCAGCGTAGCCATTTGAGAACATTGGTGTGCAGCCAGGCTCAGTCCCATCCCTTAGTCCAACCCTCCATCTTTCTGCATCTTTGCAATCTAAGCGCTCAAGACGACCCTGGTACCAGACTGTCGGGACATCCCCACCATGCTCACCAAACTCATAAGCCAAAGCGATGAGAAAAAAAATATCTATTGCTGCTATTTCCAGGCCCATCCGGGACCGTCAACCTCGCTCCGCGGGTGCCTCGTCCCCTGTGTCCACCCGGTACTTATGCAACTCAATTCCATGCCGACTAATTTCTCCTGCTTCAAGTGTCAACAATAGCGAGGGTAACCACCTTACGACTATCATTACCATGCTCGTTGTTGGTGACTGCTCCGGATCCGCCTGTCCCATTCCCGGTGGCGCCCCATCCGACCCGATGTGGTTTCTCCTACGGCCAGTGCCTTCATACTGGCGGCGTTCGCCTCTCTGATTCTGTCAATCGTCTATACCGGCATCCGCTATCACGCCACTTGCACACCGTCTTGCTTTTGGCTGCTCTGAGCATGGAAGTCGTGGGCCATGCGTGCAAGATCCTGTTGACCATGGACCCCAGGAACCGGGCATTCGCAACGGTGTGCCTGCTTGGGACGCATTGGGGTGCTATCCTGGTCAACTCGGCTGTGTATACGGTGTTGCCGCATGAGATAGTGCTCAATGGACATGAACTCTGCACCGCTGGAGATCCAGTTTACCTCATTACCTGTTGCGTCATCGATATCTTTGCGCTGGTCTTTCAGTCTGTCGGTATCGGCTTTGCCTCGAACGTCGGAACGGATTTTGACGTATGTCCTGCCTTTTCCCTTTTAGATCCATTCACTCTCTTTTACCGGCTGACTAACCCTTCAAAGGTCGCCCAAGAGCTGAGCATCTTACTCGTCGGGCTTTACATCCAAGCCCTCGGCTTGCTTATCTTGTGCTCTATCGTCACTCCAGGTACAAATTTAACCATCGTCTGTACGACTATGACAGCCATTTTGCTTCACTCTACTCCTCTCGTCGGTATAGATACTTTACGATCATTACGTGCGTTACCCCTCCCCTATTTGGAAGTTGTATGTTTTCATTTTGCTTATCTTCAAAAGCCCTTCAAGTTGTGGCCCTTCTCCTTCTTCTCCCCACGGCTGTCCGTCTGCCTGTTTTCGCTAACGGGCTTGCCACGCCCTTCGCCCGCTCTCCCTTAACCTCCCTGCTTCTCAATGACACATACATTCTCCTCTACCTCATCCTTCTGACCGGTTAAGCCCGTGGGACGCGTGTTCGGGCAGGCCTGGCCTCTGACCTCACCCTTGGCATCTCTCAAGAACTTCCACGATGGTGCCCTTAACTACGGCTGTAACATGCCCGACATGGATGGCGTAGGCACAAGAAAAATGGTAGCAGCTTCCCCGTGACGCCAACCACGGCCACTATCACAACCACGACTTAATTTATCTCGCTATCGTATCCGAGCCCAACGACCAGCTCGCCGAAGCTTACACCCTCTCAGGGTGCACGCCGTCCGGATTGCCGGCACACCCATCGCCTTGGTGGAATTAAAACCAGCAGCAAGCTCAGGCATCACCGTCGCTGGTTCCAGACTATGAACCGCCCATCCTGTCGCCTGAAAATCACCTTGTCCATCATAAGGCGATTGCTAGCCTGAGCGGGATTACCATTGGCAGTGGGACGCCGCATGACATGGGCATCATGTCACCTACCACGACACAAACGCCACAGATTGGGTCCTCGACTGTGGGGAGCCCGATGGTAGGGCTACTCAATTCAGCATCAGGAACAACAGGTTTCAAGTGGGGAGTGATGCCAACTGAGCGGCAAAGGAAGCGAAGACATGGGGAGCCAGATTGGTTGATAGTGATGCGCTGTGGTAACCCATCAATTGGTGATTTTACAAGATGAAGATGGGAGTTTTTTATTGTAATGGTCGGAACACGGCGTTAGTGTATACGGTGTTACTTCGAGAGTCTAGCAGGTAGATACAAGATTGGTGGAGTTGACTTTTTGAAAGAACTATTTCTTTTTTGTGTGCGATTTTCGTATGAACCTAGATACCACCACAATTAAGCTAAACACTTAAGCTCAACACTTAGGGACGGTTCGACAATAATCACTCAGACCACTGTGGCGTAGAAGTGGCTAGTCGGCGTCCTTCCCTCCCCCTGTGCAATGGAAACAAAGATAACAATCCCATAACAAGGATAATGCCACGGTAGGCTATGCTGAGCCAAAAACAAAGACAATGCTGCTAAAAGATGAGGGAGATACAAGCTACCATCCTAATCCGGACACACAAACACAGGCTGAGCTTTCGTTCACAGAACAAGCCGCCTTCTGTCCTCCGCTTTCAGAATGCAAATGTGGACTTGAGGCAAGGCACAGATAGTAGATTATCATGCTGTCTGCCGCTTTACCTGATCTTGCCCAGATGGAGACTCGGGTCTTATTGGTTTTATCTAGTTAACTCTGGCAGACAGGTTCCTGAGTAATGTCTCCTCCATCGTCAGTACAGCTCGAAGTCACCCCAAGGTGAGTGCACTGCTTATCACGAAGTCACCAAGTTATTCTCATCACAATTGCAAGCAGACGAGCCGTAAAAGAAAGAAAAAAAAACTTGAACTGGGTAATAGAACAATCTTGGCTCTGAGTGAAGCCGAGATATACACATCACCATGTCACCTCCAAAGATTAACCAAAGCGCGCCGGCTACTTACGGGCCTGAACCGCCTCCTAATCATCCTGCTGCCCATGCCTTCGGTAAAGGCAAGAGAAAACTCAGAACTCTTGCCCCCTCAACAGGCCCTGGCACAGAGGCAGAGCTCCAAAACAAGGCATCCGATGACGAAAAGGAGCACAAGAATAAGGGATTCGATGACAACAACAAGTGGCATCTGTGGGAGATTGAGACGAATCTCCGACGAACATTCATTGAACATCCACCAGGCCGCAAGAGCAATCCTGCATCTACCGAGGACAAAGGAAAAGGCAAAGCTCCTGTGCCCAGCCAACCTACAGGGAGAGAGAAGCAGCGGTCAGAGACCGGTGTGTCTCCAGCTGAGGAGGAGCCAGAAATGAAGCGGTCGGGCCGTGTTATGTTGGCATTGGGGCTTACTCCCGAGAGAATGGAAGGAGCACGGGAAAAACAGATTTTGCAGGCTCCAGATGATTACAGGGGTGATCCGGGGCCGGCGACTCTACAACACCGGCTTCAGCAACTATGTTGGCAGCAGCAACCAAACCGGCCCGAGGGACATAATCCTGCTCTTCGGGCCCCGGCCCCTCCTCCGCTCAACTTAAGCACTGTCCCGCCGGAAGACGTTGACCCTCTAGACCCCAACAGGCCTCTCTTCATACCCGAAGATTACCTTGACGATACGCAGGCGGCACCTTTTGGTAACAAAGGTTCATTCCCACAGCAAGTTGAAACAACAATGACAGAGGCGCGCATCCGCGACCAGATCTGGCGGAGCGCGTATATCCTTGGCCGGACGCTGACTGAAGAAGAGAAGAAGACCATCAGGGAGACGATAGAGGATCTTGCAAGCACCAATGCTCCGAGCGAGGCCAGCGTAAGCCCGAGAACGCCCACACTCGCAGAAAGACAGCCTATCACTGCCACAAATCCAAGGGAGACGAGGCAATTTGTCCCAACTGAGTTGTCCCAATCTACCATCGCTGCGGAACCGGCCGGTACAAGACCATCGGCCACGGTTGGGTTGGTTCAATCTACCCCCACCAAGCAACCGGGCGAGACAAGACCATTGGGCACGACCAGATCGACTCCGTCTACCACAACAACCACGAACCTAACCCTGGCCGAGAAGAGGCCATCTATCACGGTCGGGGTACAATCTACCACTGCTCGGGAACCGAACGAGGGGAGACCACCTGCCACGAGTCCCACGACCGGATCGGCTCAGGACAGCGATATGAATGCGGGCTCGCACCCTCCACCTGTTCAGGCCGATACTCCGGGAGTGCAGCGCCAGCTGGCCACATTCCAACAAGCCATTAATAAAATTAGAAGCAAGTTGGAGGCGTTTGAAAAAAAAGCAGAAAAGCTCAACTCGACCCTCGAAGAGCATGCTCTTCTACTGGAAACTCGACAAGGCCAGCCCTCTGAAGCTAGAGAGTCACAAAGCACGTGGGAAAGACAAATTCGTGGTCTCCGAGAAGAAGTTGCATCTCTCAGGGACGAATTGCGAGCTGTACGAGAGAAGTCTGACTTATCCAACCAGAAAAGCAGCAGCGCGATGGCCCCGGCACGCCACAGACCACCAGCAGACGCCGAGTCGGCTACAGCCGCGCCGAGCGCTGAGACCATTGAGAACAGCACCATCAGCGCTCGCCGGTGCCGCTTAGAAGACGCAGCGGAAAGCAGTGGCAGCAGCGTTCGCAGACGCCGCTTAGTAGAAGCAGAGAGCAGCGGCAGCAACAGGGGGTCAGGAAGAAACGTCGGCGGTGGCAGCGGTAATAACCCACTACAGCGGGACAAGACACTCGCAGCCATTGATGCCGGCTTGGTCGAGCAAATGCAGCGCCTGCTCCTATCGCGCAACGGAGGAACCGAAGCAGGTGGCCATTCCCACATACCGCAATCACAGCGGCTTGTGCCCTTCGGGCTGCGAACGCTCCCTCGATGGCTACGCCAACGGCGTCATCTTGTCGAAGTATATATGCAGCGTATGCCGACGGCTGGAAGAGGTGTACGGACGCTGAGGTCGGTTCTTTTAGCCATAGTTTTCTTCGTGGGGGTTTGGCTAGCGATGGAGGCGATGCTGTACAGCAATCGGTTGGCCAGCGGAACTGGCATGATTGTCAATGGTCCTTTTGAAGAAAAGACAGATGTTGTGATGGTTTTTGGATCCTGGTTCCAATTTATCCTGTTTGAAGTCGTAGTGACGATCATTGTTTTGTGTTTGTTCAGGAGGGAGACTAGAGTTGGCACTTGACAGGAATGGGTCCTCGGCACAGAAAGTATCTAGACTATTGCGCTCATTACAATGCAACAGTCCGACAAGGCGGACAAGTGCCTTACTAAGGGCACGTTGAGTAGAATAGTCTGAGAGAAAATAATATGTTATGAATGCATAAACATGACATTGTAACCTTGTTAGGTCCCGCCTGGCTTTTTTTTTTTTTTTTTGTCATTGAGGGGAGATGAGAGAGAAATGTGTTCCGACACACACAAGCGAACCATGCTTCCTAGGGAGTGTGCGTTACTAAAGGGAGAGGATCAGACTTGCCGTTTTGTCCCCCTAGCTCAATAAGCATGGTACAGGCACAACAAAGGGCTGCTGACGGCGGTACAACTCTATTGTCTTTCTCCGTGCCGCCATTTACAGAGGATATGTCTACTTCCGATGGATTCCCCCCCCACTCTCTGTCTCTGTAACTTAATTTCTCCAAGAAAACAAGCCTTGATGTGGAGTTGACACGCCCATCAACACAGCATACAAACTGTGACCTTCAGAGCATCAGCCTTATTCATGAAAGGAGTCACAGGGCTCAGCCCAATACGTTCGCTTGTGAGTGGATGGTTGGGCATCCAGCCGGGAATGTCAAGCTCCGAGCTGGCCACGCGGATCGGCCCTACGGCCTCATAGCGTCCTTGGTTCTTCTTTCCCCTTGAGGTGGGAGTTCTATGTCGGATTTGATCTCCGAGTCTGATGGTCAGTTGCCATCGACTATACACTGACATCAGGGTTGACGACCCGAAAACCCGGTTTAGGATGAGCACAGGTGCACTCGCTGACACTTAACGATCCAGCCAAGCACATCGAGAGCAGAGTGTCCACATTGGCAGACTCCATGCTCTCTGTAGGCTGGGCCATGATGGCAGCACAGCACCAAGGGGCTGGCCGAAAACCTAATAGGTGGTAATTGCAGACAAACAAACAACAAGAGTGATGGGCTTCTCATCTTTGAAGAAGAGTTGAAATGGCTGCTGACTGCCCTAGATTTGGGTTATCCACATCGCCCTGGCCCAGCAGCAGAACGACAGCCCATAGATTGTGAGTGCAGAGAATGATAGGGCCCGTGCTCCTCCCGCCTGATTTAGCAGCGCAGGTGACAGCTGGGGTATTCCGGAACAGAGATTAGGCAGGGTAGACATGCATTGTTGGCCGTTGCGACGTAGGGCGTTCCCCACTACCCTCGCCTAATCGGAGGATGAGCTTGGAATGGCAGGCCGTTTGGCAGATGCAGCGACCTGGGCGCAATCGCGCGCGGGAGCCCGATTAAGCTTGGGGGGGAGACAGTTCCACAACAGCTGCCTTTTCTGTCAGAAGTGTTTTCTCTCCTATCCAGTTGCTATGAGGGAGGGCGAGCCAAACGTGAGAGTTTCTGGGTCTAGGTACGCATTGCACGAAGTGTCCCTAACCTAGACATGGGGCCAGGCCAGTCCAGTCAACCAGCATGCAATTCGAGCCGAGACAAAGAGAAGACAGACTGCCAGTGGGGAGTGCTGTTCCCAGTCGGCCTGTGGACGAGACGTATCCCGTGTCTTCTGTGAGTGAGGTACCTATGTGTGTTGGTCCCAATATTGTCCAAACCGAGTTCGTAAGCCGTGGAATGCATGGTTGATCGATTCCCGATGATCAAGTCAAGTGCCGTGTGTGTCGAATTTGTGTGAATTGTTTTTGATTGAGGCTGAGAGGAAAAAAAACCCCGACGCCAAAGAAGAGTGCAGCAGGCGCCCAATGACAGCCTCCAGCCCTCTCTCTCCCAAATTGGGTGGCTTCTTTGTTGCGGTCTACCCGACCTTCTGCTATAGGCTCCTCGTGCCCTGTGGGCTTGCTGTAGGCGTGTTTGGTATCTAACTCTCTGCCTTCTCTTTGTTCTGGGGGTCCTTCGAGCGCGCCTTCGCCATCTCGGCACCGCACCTGCGAGCTTTCCTATATTGGACTAGTGCTGTGGACCACTGTGGGTCTCCACGCCGTAGCCGGCTTGAAGTTTAAACTGACGGCAGGTGCGGGAGGTCGATCTCCACATGCGCTTTCGACGTTGCAGTGTCCAGAAACTCTGCCTTTTCTGTGTTTGCCCTGACCAATTTCCCACGTTTTCCATTTTTTGGTGTACCTTTGGGTCTCTGGCGCGCTGCCCAAAGCGTGCACTTGCAGAGTATCAGCTTCGATCCGGAAAAATTGGTGTTTTGGTGCGCTTGGGCGGCTTTGCCGATGCCTAGACTCCAGGTGCCAGCTTCTCGAGGGCTCGAGCCTGTTTTTCGTTAAGTTGTGAATCGTAAAATCGAGTAAATTTGAGCGCTATGCGCATACAATTCTCAAGGCCATGTAGGCATGCCGCGTGCCGGCCTTGGACCATGAACTACCGAATTGGATCTCGACCGGCCGGCAGTCCCGAAAGATCCATCAGATGTCGTAATGATGTCGGTGATGATGCAAACCCCACCCCTGTCCATCTCGTTCATGCTCCGGACTTGGCATTGGTGTCTAGAAGAAACGCTGCCACCCAACTCAGTCTCGGGATCCAAGCCTGCGCGGAAAGCTTATCCGCAACTCTGACTTGACACTTGACACATGGAACATTGAAACCTTCCATCTCTGTTCTCAGTCCCTGTCTCCTGGTGTAGGTACCACCTTCCACCAGTTAGGTAAGGACACGCCCCTCATCTGGCCTACGCCCGTCATAGCACCTAACGGTCAACACTAACCTATCATCTGAGACGCGTACGTCGTATTAAGTTGATCAGAACCTCGCTGCCCATGAATGCCCAGGCGTCCTCCTTGCCCCCATATCAATAACATATAGGCAGGGTTGATGACATTGGCTTTTCTACCTGATCTACCCGGAAAGGGGGCCCGTCTCGGCTCTGATCCGGCTTTTGGTTGTTGCTGTGTCATCCCGCATGGCCTTCACGCACACAGCGCATCGGCTTGTATGGTCTCCTATCTCTTGCAAACACCTGGTCCATAACATCCATGTCTTTCACGTGGAGGGGGCCTAGGGTCGTAAAAAAGCAACCTGTGCGGACTAAGCCTATGTGCTGTCTTGACTGTAGGCAGTAGGTTGCCATACCGCTACTCAAGCGAAGCCCCGTCCTCCCGCCTACGTAGCTATGCTTTCCCAAAGGTTGCTTGTCGCGCTTGAAAATCCTGAAAATGCGGCCTTCTTTCCCGATATTTGACGGATATTGCGTGCATCTGTGGGGTAGAATGAGGCGTAATCCTGGGTCGGTGCTTGCTCGAACCCGTGCTTCCAACGGTCGCGTCTGCCGGCGCCGACCGCGTCCAGGTCGAGGTCGCGGAATTTATCCATCCTTTACCCATATTGCGGATGCAACGTTTTTGCCAGCACACCACAACCGTACGTCAAAGTCCTTGTACAGGCCCACCTCGTTACCAGACCCCGTACTTCTGAGTGCACCTCGCCTATCTTGCAAGACTGCTTTGTCAAGCTGACCAAAGTCACCAAGCATCCCAGACGGGAAACCGAGAGTATCACGCTTCTCCCAAAGAAGCTCTCCCACGGCCGCTCAAACCCTGGGTCTCTTCGGGGCGTGCATGCCAGCCCCGGAGCCCCGCGTTACCTGCCCGCAGACCCGTCACTGTGGGAGACAGCCACGGCGATTCCAACGCCGCTCTGCGCTGAACACCTCTCCTTGCCCATGGCATGTAGCCCTGGGGCCTGGGATTAGAAGCCGCTGATGAGGATGCTAGTTACAGGGGGTTTGACCTGCCCCGGAGCTTGCCCCGACCCTCTTTGCGGTTTTCGCCGTCTTGGTCCCGGTGGAATTTCAAGTGCCGTGCCCGGCAGCAACCCCTGACCCCGAGCTGCCTCCATGTGACGGCCCAGCAATCAACCTTTCATTCTGGAATACCATACTCGGCTCCTTACGAAAAGCTAGCGTGTATTCGTTCCCATCTGCCCGCCTGTCCGCTTGTACTCCGTAGTCTGGGTATCCCTCCATTAACCCCACTTAGACGGGTATTACTCTGTTTCATCCACGGCCTGTCACTTGTGTAGACTAGGGGGCCAGCTAAGGCAGGGTGTGTTAGGTTGGTGTACAAGATGGAATTGCGGACGGATATATACCGGGAACCGGAAGGTACAGTCCCCGTTATAGATAGGAGGTCTAGACCGCCGGTACGCCCTCTGCGGACAGTAGGCTGTTTTATCGTTTTCTATCCTTGACTTTCTTTATCTCCTTCACCACGCTTGGGCATCTTGGTCTCAATAAGACAACTCCCTTGTGTGCTCCCTCTTGGTGCTCCCTTGGCTTAAGCACTCCCTCAACAGAGCCTGAGAAATACGGACACCCCATCGAAGAAGCAGCCCCTTACTGACAGTCGATTCCGGTTCTACTTTTTCATTATGGCCGGGTGGTCAGGAACACCAAGTTCGACCAGCACAGGCAGTGGAGGACATGGGGGCCGCAGTACAGATCCGGCGCGGGCCGCCTACTTCGCCGCTAGACACAAGGTCGTTGAGCGTGCCATGAAGCACTACGCTGCTGGTTTGTGCGGGCTGATCGCTATCTTCGTACTTTGGCGCTGGGTAAGGTGGCTGAGCGTGAAAGTGGAGAGAAAGCGGAAGCCGGCCGGGGCATTGGGCAAGCCGTTTGTTGCGGTTTCAAGGTCAGTGTCTCAAGATTTTCCCTAGTTGCGGGAAGTCAAGCTGTTGACGGTTATCCAGACTTCTCCGGAATCTGCTGGTTCGCAGAGTTCCCGGATTTGGCTCTGGTGGGCACGCTCTCGTGGTCATTGCCTATGTGGCCATCAACCTTGCGATTGCGTTTACCAATGTTCAGTGGACAGTGTCGTACGTCGCTCACAGGTTTGGATGGTATGCCTTGTTATTGGGACCCCCCTGAGAAGGCATGAGAAGCGCACTCACACATGCCGTTACAGGTTGTCGCTGGCCAACATGGTCTTGGTCATCTTGCTGGCGCTGAAGAACACTCCACTGGCCTTCCTTACGGCCTACTCCTACGAACGGCTCAACTGCTTGCACCAGATCGCTGGCTACACCATGTTCTCACAGATGGTGATCCACGCAGCCATGTACACATCATACTTCAACAGCCAGGGTCGGCTGCTGAGCATCTACTCCCAGCGCGGCACAATTGCAGGCATCGTGTGCGGTTTCGGTTTCTTGAGCGTCATCTTCTCGGCCGTGTTTCTCCGTCGTGTGTGGTACGAGATCTTCTACGTGGTCCATGTCGCCTCGTGGGTCGTCTCGGTTATTGCCGTCGGCTTTCACCAACCTTCAATCGCGGATAAAACGCTAATTGTTACGCTTATTGCCGCTGTCGCCTGGATCCTCGACCGTATAATCCGTGCCTGTCGAGTTCTTTACTACAGCGCCAACAACGAGGCCACCCTGCACCCGCTCCCCGGAGGTGGCACTAAGATTATGCTAAAGAAGGCGCCGGCCCGTGCCGAGCCAGGAAAGCACTGTTTCGTTTGGATTCCGGCCATCCGCAAATTCGAGACGCATCCTTTTACGATTCATCGTAGCGATCCCGTCGAGTTCACCGTAAAGGCCCGTGATGGATTCACCAGCGATTTACACAAATACGCAGCCGCAAACCCGGGCGTTGCAGTCAAAGCTTCAGTGGATGGGCCATATGGCACGTTTCCTGATCCCATGGAGTTTGACAAGATCGTGCTAATTGCTGGCGGTGGCGGCGCGACGTTTACTTTTGGCCTGGCAGTGAATGTCCTGGAGAGGATGGGCGAAGAGGATAAGAAGCAGATTGTATTTATTTGGGCAGTTAGGGAGCATGGTAAGTACCAAGATTGTATCATTCGTTTTACAAAGCCGGCATGCACTAACGCCATGGTCACAGAAAACCTCTTCTGGTTCCGCGAGCAGCTCGATATGCTCCTCACTCAAGCCCAGACACCCCGCGTCAATGTCTCCCTCTACGTGACGCGTGCTTCGTCCGACATTAGTGGTACTCAGGAAGCACAAAACAGCGGCGAAAGATCATCTACCGACTCACCAGCCCTTTCGCCAATCGAGACGGACCTCGAAAAGAGCATCTCCCACCAGCGCTGGGCTCGCACAACTACTACAACCACGACGACGACTGCCACAGAAAGTGACACGGAGAAAGATATCGAGAAGACTATTGAGACGCGGGTTGAACATAGCAAGGAGACTGCCACGGCCGTGACTGCCACTACGAAGGCTGCTCAGACACTGCTTGATTACCCCGTACAACTTGGTCGCCCTGACACGGCAGCATTGATTCGCGATGCAGTGAACATCACGCCATCGAACCAGCGCGTGCTGGTTGCAGCTTGCGGGCCGGATGGGTTGATGAGAGTGGTGAGAGACACTACCGCGCGACTGATCAGGGGAGATGGGCCAGCAGTAGAAGTACATTGTGAACAATTCGGCTGGTAGGGCGCACTGATTTCATGAGCCTAAGACTTGGGAGAGGATAGCAGGCTGGTTTCATCTCACTGATTATTAGACATGAGTATGGTTTGTTCCAGGAGTCTCACGACAATTAGTTCAGGTCTGTCGGGGGTATTTCGATGATGCTAGGATGAGGATGTGTACATATTGGAGTTCGGGGCTTTGGATACCTTGTTTTTGTCATTGCTTCTTCGAGTTATACCTCAATGGCTTGACATCACGCGCGATATGTTGGGGTTTTTTGGGGGGGGGGGGAAGGGGGAAGGGGGATTGAAATTTAAGACACGGTCATGGATGGGTACTGAGTATTTACCTGGATACCTACATCTCACGATACTGATAAAGTGCAATTGACCATTGGCATATCACAAAGGGAACAACAGCTGTGAACAGTGCACAGTGAAGCTGTCAGGCTCGTAGGTAGGCTGCCCCTCGTCAACCGTGCCCTTGCTTTGCGAATGCCCCATGATCATGTTTTCAACCCCGCCTTGATTGCCACCACGCATGTCCTTGACTACAGTGCGGATAAGGATATAGTAATTATCCATTAACACCATACCTATCCAGCAGGATACCAACGGCCGTGCTGGTAGCGTTGGTCATCTCCTTGTCGACATTCGGATGGCGCTATCGCATCAAAAGCCAGTTTTTCCCATCAGCAAAGGATTGGATCTTGCAATCAGCGATCTGGTTGGATCGCAAGGCCTGTTGGGTGAGGCTTGTGAAAGCGGGGCAGCGATCCGCGAGTCTCCACATTGATGCAAGAAGCTTTGCCCTTGGCATTTGTGCGTCTGATCTTGTGATCAACATCTCGAACGAGGTTGACAAGGAATGCAGGCTGATGAAGGTCGACGGCCGGAGACGTAGGATTCTGGATGAGTCTCGAGTTGTGTAACGGGAGATAATGGGGAAAAGTGAGGCCCTGCTGCTGCTTCGGCGTCGGATCCGTTGCGGTCTGGCAAAGTTGAAATCTCAAGAAATTGATAAAGTCCAGGGCTGGTTGTGGAGTCCCTGCCTTAACCCTGAGTCTTGGCATGCGCAATTGGGCCAAGCGCCCACGTTAGCCGCCGCTGTTAGGGTCTGGCACCATACTCTGGCCTCCGTTATCGCTACCTAGCAACACAACACCAGCCTCTTGGTTTCCCGTTTCCCGCAACAATGCAGCGATGAATGGTGTGCCTCACTGCTGCCCCGCCTTGATGCCGATTGCTTGATAGAGCTTGATTGATAGGCATCTTCCAGGTTCCTAGCTGGGCTGATAGCGCTGGCGAGATCCTTCACTCTGACATTTGTCTTTTCGGTCTCTTATTTTTCTTCTTCAACGCAACAATACTCCCTACAGCACCTTGGCACTAAGATTTCAAGTTGCCTGTTTGTTCTTATTTTTGACCAGCCCTTACATTGTGCGTCTGGTTGCCATCCGAGACTGACTTCAGCGGACTCAGCAATCAGTCAATCACAAACCGACTTTTTGGAGGGTCGTCCCGCTTCCTGCGTGTTGCTGCACGCCTGTTCGACTGGCTGCCTACCTGCCCCGCCCCCCGGTTCAAGCAAGATCCCTCCATCTGATTGAGCGAGCGATTCGAGCCCAGAGCTTGGTTGCTAATTGCTTGCTTTGCCTGCAGCAAAAAAAAGCAGCATTAGCTCCACCTCATCGCTGCACCTCTGACCGTCCATCCGATTTGATCTGGACCGAACCCATCCATCCATCCATCCCTTCCGACCACCACGCTCTGCTCCCTCCTCACCATATACCAGAGCATCCCTTCTGCGAGCGACTCGCGTACAATTCTTGCCCGCCATGCCCAGCTTTACCTTTCAGTGGTGAGTGCCAGTTTGTTGATACCTACGAGTAGTTTGCATGTTCTCGCCACGGCAGCAACAACAGAGCTCATCCAGCTCACTGCCGACCACGCAAAGTTTCTCCTGGTCGCACCACCAAGGAAATTGGCCGTGTTGTTAGTCCCCGGGCTAACCACCAGATCCTTCCAACTGTTTCATTGCAGGCCCCACGATGCCCAAGAAGTTTACGTGACGGGCACGTTCGACAACTGGTCCAAGAGCGAGCGTCTGGAAAAGGTCGACGGCGTCTGGCAAAAGACCGTCACTCTTCCCGAGAGAGCGGAGAAATTCTATTACAAGGTGGGTGCAACATCGCTTCTTTTGTCATGAATCTCCCTTCCCTTCGCGGTCAGAGGTTAGAGGGCGTATCTGGGCGCGCAATGGCCGTGTGGTGCCTGTAAACTGCTTGAGGCCGATGCCTCCGGGTCTTGCAAAATGCTCTTGAAGCAATGCCTCCCTCCGACGAGCGCGCATTCAGCAAAGTTGCAAGCGGTGGTCAGCCTCGCGGGGTCTTCGGGGCCTACGCGGGGCAATGAGGTGAGGAGAATGGAGTAAACGACTTCTCCTCGGGACTAAGAACCCCACCAAGCGAACAAGCGACCAAGCGTCAGAAATAGGTGTTGCAGACCGTCTCCAGGATTGGGAAAGCTGCTGCTTGGGCATACTCCCCAGATCCTGCAGACTGACACGCGGTGTTTGGCCGATCTGAGACCATTACCAGGCTGCACGATGCGCAACTGTTGCCAGTCAGTCGGGTGTTTGAGGCCATGGATCGCGCCAACCGATTTTCAAGCTTTTTCTCTTTGTGGCTCCTCGTGTGCGCCCGCCGGCAACAACCGCGGCATGTTCGCCAGCAATGAACATCCTGGGACGGCAAGCCAGGCGCCGGCCACAGCAGGCCTTACCACAAGCGAGACTAGTGTCAACCCCGTGGGGCCCGCGGCATGAAAACCAAAATCAGTCATGCCGGACACTGGGTCACAAATGGGCCATACTGGACCCCCGTGACCCGCGGTTGGATCCAGGATACCGGGGCTTCTGCACTTTGCTTCTCTCCCGACGCTCCATTCAACCTCGCCCCCTCTCTTAAAACCCAGAGCCTTTCTTGCGCCCAACCCCCCACTCTTACCTTGTTGGCCTTTTTGCCCCAGCGCGGCTCTGCCCTGCCCTATCTACAACTACCAACCCTGCTTCTGGCAGTTTCTTACCTAGAGAAGCTGTTATCATAACCTACTGCTTTGTTCATCGAATTTTTTTTGCTGACGTATTCTGCCCCTCCCCGTTCCGAGCAACAGTTTGTTGTGGACGGCAACTGGACGACCGACCACACCGCGCCGCAAGAAAAGGACGCCGAAGGCAACGAGAACAACGTCCTGCTGCCCGAGCAGATCATGGACGCCAATAGCAAGCCGGAGGTGGAAGAGGCTGCCCAGCTTCAGGCGGCCACCATCAGCTCGGCCGCGCCCGAGTCGACGACTACCCAATTGGTGGCAGCCGTGCCGGTCGAGGAGAAGAAGGAGGAGCCCCAGCCTGAGGTAAAAAAGGGGGAGAAGGAGGAAGAGCTCAAGGAGGAAACTACGCCCGGAGACAGCAAGGAAGAGGCTCCCAAGGAGGAGGCTCCTCAAGAGGAGACTGCTAAGGAAGAAACTCCCAAGGAGGAGCAAAAAGAGGAACCCAAGGTAGAGGAGAAGCCGGAAGAGAAGAAGGACGATCCTCAAGAGGAAGAGAAGAAGGAAGAGCCCAAGCCAAAAGAGGATGAGAAGGAGGAGGAGAAGCCCGAGTCGGCTCCTGAGGTCGCCCCCGAGACTGTCGTCATCAGCTCGGTTGCCCCCGAGTCCACCACGGCCGAGCTAGCCGCCGCTGTTCCCCTTGAGAACAAGGAGGATGCAGCGCCCGCGGAGCCGGCCGCTGATTCTTCCGAGGTCAAGGTCGACCCCTTGCCTGCCGCTGAGGGCGCTCTGAACCCCATTAAGCTCGAGCCTGGCGAGCCCGTTCCCAAGGATGTCTCTGCCGAGGCCCTCACCAGCCATGTCACTCTCGACAAGGAGTCTTACGAGCGGAGCGATCGCCTGCCGGGCGTTACCCCTGTTGCTACCGACTTGTCGCCCGTCACTGCCAACATGATTCCTGAGTCCAGCTTGCCCATTGCCTCGGCAGGTTCGGACAACGTCTTCATTAGCACCGTCACCGCTGAATCGACCACCGCCGACCTGGCTGCTGAAGTGCTGGTCGAGAAACCCTCCGGGGAGGCTGCTGCAGAGGTTCCGAAGGCCGTCAAGGAGAGCCAAGAAAAGGCGCACGTGGACCCCGAAGCTAGCGCTGTGCCGGAAGAGGTATGCGAGAAGGCTGAGGTCGAACAGGAGCTGCTAAGCAAGGTTCCCGAGGTTCCTCCTGCGGCTGAGGGTGTTGCTGAGGAGAAACCGGCCGAGCAGGCTGGTGAGGAAAAGCCTGTCGAGGCCGCTGCACCTGCTGTTGAGGAGAAGGAGGAGAAGCCTGTTGAGAAGGCGAAGATTGAAGAAGCCAAGGCTGAGGAGGCCACTGAGAAGGCTGCTGAGGAGGCGAAACCAACTGACGGGGTGAAGGTTGAGGAGCACAAGGGTGAAGAGGCCCCGCCTGAGGAGCCCAAGGCTGAGAGCAATGCCGAGGAGATCAAGGTTGAGGAGCCGAATGCTGAGGAAACCAAGACGGAGCAGGCTAAGCCTGAAGAACCCAAGACCGAGGAGGCTGCACCCGAAGAGAGCAAGGTTGATGAGGCTAAGGTCGAGGAACCCAAGGCTGAAGAGTCCAAGTCTGCTGAGGAGGCTAAGGTCGAGGAACCCAAGGCTGAAGAGCCCAAGCCAGCTGAGGAGGCCAAGGTCGAGGAACCCAAGGATGAGGAGCCCAAGCCAACTGAGGAGGCTAAGGTCGAGGAACCCAAGGATGACGCCACTGAAGAGGTCAGGTCTGCTGAAGAGCCTGCTGTGCCTGCGGTTGAGGAACTAAAAGTCGAGGAGGCTAAGCCTGTCGAGGAACCTAAGCCTGCTGAGGAAGTTAAGGCTGAGGAGCCTAAGGTTGAGGAGCCTCAGCCTGCTGAGGAGGTCAAGCCTGCTGAGGAGCCGAAGGCCGAGGAGACTCAACAAGTTGAAGAGGCCAACTCCGCCGATGAGGTCAATTCTGCCGACGAGGCCAAGCCCGCCGAAGAGGCCAAGCCTGCCGAGGAGGCCAAGCCCGCCGAAGAGGTCAAGGCCGTCGAGGAGACCAATGTTGAGGAGCCTCAACCCGCGGAAGAAACCAAGCCCGCCGAAGAGGTTAAAGCCGTCGAGGTGAAGGCTGTCGAGGAGACCAATACTGAGGAGCCTCAACCTGCGGAAGAAACCAAGCCCGCCGAAGAGGCCAAGCCCGCCGAAGAGGTTAAAGCCGTCGAGGTGAAGGCTGTCGAGGAGACCAATACTGAGGAGCCTCAACCTGCGGAAGAAACCAAGCCCGCCGAAGAGGCCAAGCCCGCCGAAGAGGCCAAGCCCGCCGAAGAGGTCAAACCTGTCGAAGAGGTCAAGGCCGTCGAGGAGACCAATGTTGAGGAGCCTCAACCCGCGGAAGAAACCAAGCCCGCCGAAGAGACCAAGGCTGTCGAAGAAGCTCCCGCTGCCGTCGAGGAAGCCCCCAAGGTTGAGGAGCCCAAGGTTGAGGAGCCGAAGGTCACCGAGGAAGCTGCCAAGCCTGAGGAGTCTAAGCCTTCTGAGGAAGTCGCCCAGCCTGTCGAAGAGACTCCCAAGGCCGAGGAGCCCAAGGCGGAGAAGACGCAGCTCGCTGAGGAACCGAAGGCTGCCGAGCCTACCGAAGCCGTTACTGAGCCTTCTGCCGGCGCCGGCGAGGAAACAGCTAAGGCTAATGAAGAGGCTAAGCCTAGTGAAGAGAGCAAGCCTGTGGAAGAGGACAAACCCGCAGAGGAAGCAAAGGCCGGTGAAGAACAGCCACCTGCCAACGGCGAGGCTGCCAAGGAGGAGACGCCTTCGGAAAAGAAGAAGAAGACCAGGCTGAGCGGGTTCTGGGCCCGGTTGAGGGAGAGGTGGTTCTGATTGTCTTGAGTCTGAGATAGGGGATAACCTGGGTTCCTGTGAATCTCGAGAGGAGAGTGAGGGTTTTGATATCCTGGCTTCCATTTGGTTGTTCCATTTTCCTTTTCTTCATGATTCCCTTCTTTCCGGTTTCGTCGAGAATCCGTGTACCAATACCATGCTATGCCTACCTACCTAGCTGCTGCTGATGAGCTGCCTACCTGATTGATGATGGATGGACCGGATGACGAGTCTCTTATTTCCATGAGTTCTCTCGCTCTCGATTGCTGGAAGATGTGTGCTGCTGCGTGTTGTGTTGTTGCGATGGACCGTAATGTGCGAATGATGGGCTGGCTGTCTGATTTCAGGGAGTAGGGACATTGAAGGTCGTTTGACGAACGACGTGACGACGAGGATGATATCTGCTTGTCATGTGTTTGTTGTGTGATACCTGATGTCGACAGTCATTTCGCAGTGTATTGAGGTTATGGATCATCTTCGTGATTCTCATTATCTTTGCCTGGGGTAACGTTAGTCTTAGCATCAGCACTGAGACTGAATATCATAAAGTGCTGCAGACGTCGAGCCGTAGTGAAAGACTGTCAGCTTGCTATGAATCTGACTGCATATCGCCGAATGAGTCATGGATGATGAGTTCTGCCGTGTGTTTGCAAACGAAATTTTGTTAGATTGAGGACGACCGCCGCCCTGACGATGCCTTGGGCTAGTGTTGGTGTGGTGCTGACGGCCAGACACAGTGTCAGTACAGTGCAAGTCAGCTAACCAGGGCCGGACTCCCAAACCAAGCTCTTCATTGAACCCCAGTTTGGTGGTATTTGCCCCGCGGAAGGTCCAGGTTCCATGGTGCTCTAGGCGGCCGGTTGAAACCTGGAACGGCCTTGAGTGACTCCGTCACTTCCCTTCTTTTTTTCTTTTCTTTTCGTCCTCACCCGCACTCCTCTCCATGGGGTCCGGCACTGGGCCCCTGCGACACCACGCAACCGCATCCATTGCTGCGAATTTCTTACGTCTCCGCCATCGTTGTGTGCGCTGGCTGAGTACAAGTACGGATTGCCTGAGCGTCATCTCCATCAGACCACTGGAGTGACTCTACGGCTCCAGCGCCCAGCACCAGCGAGACAACGAGACAGCGACACGACAAAGCCCGCGAGCAAAGCAGCTGACGGTCGGCAGTCGAGCGACAAAGTCTTGACTGACTGCTGTGGATGACATGCCGCAGTTGCTGGCATGAGTGGGTCAACCCTCTTGATTACCTGAGCACCTCCCGCTCGCTGTTGTCGAGCAACACCAATCTGTATCTGCATCGAGGGCAGCAGACAAGCCACAAGATTTTTTTTTTTTCCTTTTAAATCGAGATCGCTGCTGAGCAGCTGTCTAGCCCAAGCACTGCAGCCCTATCAAGAGCGTCAAGAGCGACGTTGGCATTAGCGTTGATCCCACCCAAGAAACATCAATCAACATGAGCTCGACGTCATCTTCCCCGGCCAAGCCCGTCGCAGGCCTGGCCGCTACGAATCATCCGCCCGCACCCCCGCCGACAACGTCGAGCCAGACTTTCGATGCCGACCGTCGCCGGAATTATCATCCTCAGGGCCCGGCACATCCCCCTGCGGCGCCCAGAAAGACCCAGGGCGCCCGGAGACAGCATCGGAACCAGCGGCGCCCTGGTGCTCGCGACCATATCGACGACGAAGATACCCTGGCTGAGCTCCGCGCCCTGCGCAACACCAGCAGCCGCCGCGGTCAGACCTCCATCACCCATCTCCTCAACATTGCCCTCCCGCCGCGGCCCCATGAGACCTATCATCCATCCTACTCACGTTCGTACCGCCGTAATCCATCGTGGGGGGTCGGGTCCGGCTACCATGCTGCTGACAAAGCCCGCTACATCCATGCCAATTACCGCTTTGTCGTGCGCCCTACCGGCAACTATGCGGCGCAGGCTGCAGATGCCGACAAGCATATCGAATGGGATGACGTTTTGCAAGTCATTGCCTCGGCCGAGTCGCAGCAGGCTGCCTGTCCCATCTGCCTGTCCGAGCCGGTCGCCCCGCGCATGGCCAAGTGTGGCCACATCTTTTGCTTGCCGTGCTTGATCCGCTTCATGAATACAACGCCTCCCGATCACCCCCCTGACAAGAAGCCCCAGAATCGCTGGCGCAAGTGTCCCATCTGCGATGACTCCGTCTACCTGACCGACGTGCGCCCCGTCCGTTTCTACGCTGGTCAGGAGTGCCCCCTCCCGCGTGTTGGCGATGACGTTATCTTGCGCTTGATGATGCGTCGTGCCAACAACACATTGGCCCTTCCTCGTGAAGGTGCCGCCGAGGTGCTACAGTCTGCCGTGGACGATGTTCCGTGGCATTTTGCCGCCAACGTCATGGACTATGCCCGCATCATGAAAGGCACCAGCGGGTATATGGAGGAGCAATACGATCGCGAGATTGAGGATCTGACTAGGCAGGAGCAGGAGGACGAGCTGCTGTATCACGAAGACAACGAGTGGACTCAGCGCGCCATCAAGTCAGTGAAGGCAGCCAAGGAGAAGCTCGCGGAGTTGGGTGACACTGGAAAAGATCCGCAGCCAATGACGGCCGGACAAACCAGCGAGTTATCAAAACAGCCCAGTGCTGACCAGGAGTTCTACTTCTATACGTCTCCGCCGCACCTTTATCTCTCCCCTCTGGACATTCGCATCCTCAAGACGCGCTATGGCACCTTCTCTGCCTTCCCGTCGACCCTCCTCCCGCGCGTCGAGCACATCTCCATGGGCCATGTGGTCGACGATGCGCTACGTAAGCGCGCTAAGTATCTCAGCCACCTTCCGCGCGGCTGTCTAATCAGCTTCCTGGAGTGTGATTGGACTGATATTGTTCCAAACGAGATTTTAGAGGGGTTCAAAGACGAAATCGAAAAGCGCCGGCGGAGGAATCGGGAAAAGGCCCTGCAAGAGGAGCGCGAACGGATCCAAGCTGAGCGAGCCGAGGCAGCGGCACTGAGAAACGCGAGAAGGTTGGCCAGTTTTTCAGGAGATGATGACGGCCCAGTGACCATCAAGTGGGGAGATGCCGACGAGGACAGACCGCCGGTCGATCCGAATGACTTTGTGCCACTCAGCGCAGTCGTGAGCACGTCACCCAGCCAAAGGCCGGGGTTCTCGGCACTCGCTGATATGAATACCAGCCCGGAGGGGAGCAGCACAACAGGAGCAGGCCAGCTGCGCAGGACTACGGTGTGGGGCACACCGGCAGTAGATGGCCCGCCGTTGGAAACCCTGCCACCACAGCAGAAGGTCGATGATGGGTGGCTGGACGATAGCGAGGTGCTCAAGTCGCTGGGGGAAGCTGACCTTGCCGTGCAGTTGGAGGCGTTGGGCATCGAGTCGGCTGGGCCAAGCAACAGCGGCGGTGGGGGCAAGAGAAAGAAGAGGCAGAAGATTACGCTGATGAGCACGGGCGGGAGGAGGGGCTTGTAGGCTTCGCTGGATTGGTTAGACTCGATGCGCAGGTGGGTTTTGAACTTTGTCTCAATCCGTTTCACAAGGCGAGTAGAACAAAGACTGCGTTGCATCCCTGGAGAGAGCGCCAGTGTATATATGTATTTCGAAATATGTCCCTTTTGATCCTATTCTCGTCTTCGGTCTAGTAGGTGGACGAGGCAGGTATTGAGGGAAAGCCGACAACAGCAAGAGCCTTGAAGAAGAGGGGTCTCTTATAGGACATGGTAGCAACAACCTACAGCAGCTACTTGTGCGACTGTTGATTTAAATGACTCTTCCGCCCGATGCAAACAAATTCTCATCCCAAGCCGGCCCAAGGCCCTGTTCTCAGGGCCCATGGTTGGGTCTGCCAGCACCAGAACTGATGACATCATCTCCAATGACGTCCCTTTGTTCACATCCTACTGCAACCCGGATCTCCTTTTTTTTTTGAAACATACCTAAGGCGGCTTCCAGCTTCGCGATTTCCTACCAGGCAATAAACCCTCACTCTGTACACTCTATCTGTACACTCTATACACTCTGTACATTCTGTACCATAACGTCATGCTTCCCAAAGCAACCATGCCCAAATCCAAGCCCCGGAAGAATTCCAACGTCGAGGACAAGGCAAGCATCCTACCCCAGACCATTCACTGTCCTTGCTAGAGCGAACTACAATAAAAGCCGACGCTAACAAGGACGCGGCAAGGACCCAATTGAGTCCAAGACAACAACGAAGGAGGGGACTCGCAAGGAAGCAAGCTTGGAAGGAGCGAGCCCTACGAAATCGGGGGCAGGAGGGGGTGGGAACACGACGGGAAGGAACCTTACACTGGACGCAAGCAATTCGGCGGGGTTGGAGAACCAGACCACTCGACGCGGGACAACCTAAACAATCGGGTTTATAGTTATATAAGCAAGAAGATGTGTAAGCAGATGATAGCGAAATATGAACGTTGTATCACGAAGTCGAGCATCCCATGTCAAATGCTTCGTGTTTCGTACTTATAAGCTCAAGTTCCAACACGATATATGCCCAAATAGGTGCCCTTGGTGCTACCATGTGTGGCTTCCACGACCCATACTTGCAACCCTCTCACCAGCCGTCATGCCGCAGATCACGCTACGCGGCTTCTAAGGCCAGACCGTCATCGCCCAGGTGTGGTTGCGTCTCTTACGTCGAGAATGGCGTGGTCTGCTCTGTGTCTCACCATAGACGAAAATCTCAACAGCCAGAGACATCCGGCCACTAGGGCAGTGTACGTCCATCGAATTTTTTAGAAGCCTTTGGGACAAGTAGATAAATTATCACTAAATTTTATACCATTAAGAATTGAGCCTAGCCTGGCCAAGGACTCCCACACTCCCAAACAGCGGTGCTCTCAAGCGTCGAATGTCTTGTCTCTTTCGTCCCGACGCCGAGAAAGTCTCGTGGCCAGCTCCCATCACACCTCGCCTAACCAAACCCTCCCCAAAGACCCATCCCATGTACACCAAATCCAAAAACAAAGACCAAAAACGCCCCCCCCTTCCCCCCGGTTTATTTGTTTTTTTTCCCACAAGCCTAAAATCTCTTAGAGCAGCACGGCAACGGCACCGGCAACGGCACCGGCAACAGCAGCAAGCACACCGCCAGCGTTAAGAGCAAGGTCGGCAGCACTGTTGGTATTGGTGGGACCGTCAGCGGTGGTGGTCTCGGTGCTGTCGGTCTCGCCAGAGGTGCTGTCGGCAGCGGGGGTGGTGTTGGCGGGCGACTCGGCCGACTTGGTAGCGGTAACGAGGGCTGTGCTCGACGTCGCGAACTGAGTCACATAGGAGCAGAAGATGTCGCGCTGGCCGGCATAGTCATCTGTGTGCGGTTAGCGAGGAACAGCCAAAAAGGCGCGTAAAAAAAAAACTAGGAAAGCCTTACGGAGACGGGAGTCGTTAGGACAGTTATTGAAGCAGCTATAGAACGGTCAGATCCTGTCAACAGCGACCCAAATCAAGAACTGGGGATACGGCGTACGTGAGGATGTTCTTGTACTGCTCGCACTTGCAAGCATAATCGCTGTGCTGGCAGCTGGCCAGCTTGGCGCTCTCGGAGGCCAGGCAAGCCTCGACGATGTAGTCAGCGGCGCAGGAAGTGGTCTGGGCCACGGCGGTCGAGGCCGCGAAGAGAGCAAACGGCAGCAGAAAGCTCTTCATTTTGAAAATGTCGATGCACGGTGACGATGGGAAGCGAACGATGCTCTCGTAGATCAATCAGATCCGCTCAGAATAACGCGACAAGCGAATGTGCGAGAATAAGCTGCAGAGAGAGAGAGATCAGTATAATACGTCCGTATCAACGCGGAGCAGGTGCATAAAAACATAAACAGAGAACACAAGAGGCGGTGGAATGGGATCTCACATAGCAACAAGCCGCAGCAACTCGGAACGAGGGACGGTGAAGGAGCGAGCGGAGGGAGTCCACTTGTCTCGGAAGAAAAGAGGCAGAGGGCAAGGGTGAGAAAAGGCCAGAGACTGGAGGCGAGCAGAAGGAGCGGAGTGGACACTTTTGAGAGCACCCCGGTGCCCAGTCCGCCCAGGGACGCCAGCAGCAAGGGGGCAGCAGCTGTGAACGGAGCACCTGCAACGGGAAATGAAGGCCTTCGCTAGCGGCTGTCCGGGGCATCCAAGCCGCTGCTGGCTGCTGCTGAGCCCTGGCTGGTGCTGGGGGTGGTATCGGTATGGGTCAGGAGCTGAATCGATTGTATGCCCTGACCCGTCGGATTCTTCCAGATTTGTAGATCCACCCATGAACCCATCAATTCCTCCAAATGAACTCATGCATCCATTGTATCACTGCATCACACAACCTCTACTGGACCGCCTGCCTCACCACCAACGGTTCTCAGTCCACACCCGGACTTCTCCAGTGTTCGAGTCGATCCTCCAGTGTGTGTCAATCGGCCCAGCATCCTCACAAAATGCTGGCTTGGCGATGGCTGAAATAAAGATCGCGATTCTCGTGTTAGCCTCTCGTCTGGGCGCCGTGCGTTTCCTGCCAGGGAAACGTGCCCTGTCGATTGGCCAATGGCCGGCTCGCTGACCGGCCTCTGCGAAGCTCGCAGCGGTCGCTGCAACGCTGCAACCAAGTTTCTGCCAAGCTATGCCGCTTGCCGTCCGCACCCACAAACAGCTCCTGTCTCTCTGACCAATGGTAGACAACGCTGAGAAGCTTCGAGCAACCAACGGATTGCTGGGGAACCACATGAGCTCTCAAGAATGTCCGCAGTCTAGTCAACAATGCTGTTCTTGCAGTAGCGTTGGCTGTATGTGCTGTACGCTGCTCGAATCCGTGAACCCCTCCACTTCTGCAAGGACAGACGAGGTCTCCGGTTCCCCAGTCACCGTCCCGAACCACCAAGCTTTCCCCCAAGTGATCTCCACAGAACACATGTACGACTATTGAGTTCCCCGCTACGCTAAGCATCCAACCAGCTGGCAACCTCAGCTCTGTGTAATTGAAAGGCCCGGACAGATTGTGTAACCCTCTCAGAAGTTGAGACGAGTCGCGGTGCAGCTACATGCATGAACACGGAGTAAGCCATACGGCTGGCTCTATTTCGAGCTCAATTGTTATTTTATTTTTTTTTTCTCCAAGGCTGGGTAGGTATCAAGATCTGTCGGCACACAGTGAGATGTAGGGGAGAAGTAGGAGGAACAAAACACATCAAGGAAATACTTCGAAGACTAGAATCCCTGTGAGGACATCCGCCTTCAGACATGATCAGATAAGCATTATGAGAAGACCGCTGGAGTGTAATGTGGTCGAGTACTGTCAGATCTTTGGTGCAAACCTCCTCTAAATTCTGGCCTCTCTTGGCATGCTCATAATCTACCTAGAGATCAATACCACACCCCACCACAGTCCTGCCTAAACCCCTTATATCACTTCTACTTTGGAGAATGATGCCAATTAACAGCTCCCAAGCAGCGAGTTAAGTAAGAACATGAGTAATAGAAAAGCTGAAATTTGGATTCGCGGGTTTGTTGAGGAGGGGTGAACTAAATCTACTCACTCGATGTCTCCTTCGAAAGACTCTCACAAATTTTTCCCCCAATCTCTAACCCTCACCTACTCAGTAAATTTGTTGCTCTTCGATCATTGTATGGTGTAAAGACGCATCCGAGGTACGTATAATATTTTTTTTTTTCATCAGACTGCATAACAAGCAGACATGACAAGAGTCTCTGGGCAGATTGATCAGCTGCGCACAATCATGGAAAATATAAAACGTTTAAGGGGTATCAAGTCTTGCCCAAAGGGACAAGAATCCGGTAGTATTTGCAAGTGTCAGTGGTATATGCGTATGAGGAACAATAGGACACAACCGAAGACAAGAAAACCCGGAGAAGGAGATACTGCCGCCACCGCCAACAAGGGTTACATACAAAAAGCCACACACACACACACAAAACAAAAAAAAAAAAACAGAAACCCGAGAAGAAGCCATCATCGATGATGCTATGTGCCTCTCTTCCATTTCATTCCCTTGTGGTATAAACAAACGCCCCGGAATATGCTCCATCTAATGTAATGATGATGATCATGAAATCCCCCCAGTACCCTCCTATCCATCCGTCCATTCATTCCTGAAACTCCCTCGGCAAAGATGCAAGGTGGTCGTCATCGCAGTCGTAATGAAGTTGACGAGATGATGAAAAGAAGCCCCATGTATGCCTTCAACTCCCAACCATGCTCATGCGTCCCAGGGAATTTTCGACGATGCGTTATGTGTGAGTGCTGTGAAGTGTCGACGGTTACGATGCTGATGGCGATGAGCTGTTGCTGTTGTTGGTGATGTGAAAACGTGGGCATCCGGGAATGTGAAAGCAGGAAGAGAAGCTAGCGAGCGAAGCAACCATCTGGCCCCTTGATCCCTTTCGTTCTCAAGTGAGCCGAAAATTCCGGAGGATCATGAAAGCCGAGTCCTTTTATTATTCCCCCAGCTCCCAAATACGCCCTTGCCGTCCCCGTAATCAAGACTGCCGAGGTCGAAGATCTCGGCCAAGTTAACCTTGCGTTTTTGCCCTGCCCCGCGCCCGAGTGATGTCCTCGATGATGCTGACGGTTGTCTGACTTGCCGGTTTCGCGCAGCGCTCCGCGACGCGGTCGAGCGGTTATTCGAGTCGGACAGGTCGAGGTTGGCAAGCCGCAACGCAGCGTCGTGCGGATAGGGATGCGAGGACTGGAAGGTAAAAGTCTCTTGTGTCGGGACGACGAACTCAACCTCTTCCACGGCCGGATTTGTGGAAGCATCTGTAAGAGTAGGCAGAGAAGAATCATCCCGCATAGCGTCCTCGGGCCGCTGTGCGGAGGAGGCTGCGGAAGTCGGGGAGGGAACAATGCGCTGCATTTGCGGCGACACCATCGGAGCAGGCTCCGGCTTCTCGACCTCATCATCACTCTCAGGAGGAGGACTACTCATCTCCCGGCCATCCAGCCGTTCCATCACCCATCTCCTTATCCGCTGACCCTCTCCATCCCGAAGACCGATGTTTTCCCTGTCGAGAAAGCCAAGTAGCTCTTCCAAGCATTCCTGGTAGCCCTCGCTGCGCGCCTTGTTCTGTGCCGCAGCCGAAGTCTTATAGAGCTTGGTAACCGAGAGCGCGGCCGCCTTAAAGGCGTCGAGGAGCTCGTTCGCCTCGACGCTCATGGCGAGAGAGGATTCGAGGGACCGCGTGGCGTGCAAGGTTGATGGAGGGAGGAAGCAGTCAAATTAAAAAAAAAAGGACAAAGTTTTTTTTTTTGCCTTTTCTTTTGTTGCTTTTATGTTTCTTTGGGTAGCAACCAAATTTCGCAGGATCGTTTGCCGCCGAATGTCGTGGAAAGAATACAGTACACGGTGACTCGGCACCTGGATGCTTGAACTGAGGGGTTTTCAACTGCAACCTAGACAGCCAATGTGGTTGCTGTGGATCAAAGCGGAGCTTGAGATGCAAGCGTACCTAGCCTGCAGCGGGGCGCTTTGATGGTGTTTTCGTGGGGGGGAGAGGAGAGGACCGGGAGCAGCGAAAAACGATGTGCTTCAGACTGCTGTCGTTATCGTCTCAAGCAACAATGTAGTGGTGTAAGTAATGTGAGCAAGAATTCAATGGACTTGTCATTCACAGGGAACGTTCAGGGGCAGCCTCAGCTTATAAAGGTTCTGATGAAAGGAGAGTAAGCGAACTGGCGGCGCCGTGTTTATCATTTGCTGAGCCGGGACCAAAAGAACCTCGAAGAAAGATGGATAGCATGGCGGGTGGACCCTAGTATCAGACCGGCGCTATGATTGGGTCAACACCAGTTCCTAAATGCGCAAGTGGGCGGCTCTTGGCAAAGCCGCTGGCCTGCCATTGGGTTCAGCCTTGTCCCTCTCACAGACCGGCACGTGTCTTCCTCTGGTCTTGGCATCACCCTCCATCCATAGGAATCCCTACTTTATAGAATCGTTCAAGTTGGCTTTGTGGTGTAGACGATAGGTTGTGGCCCAAGGAGGCTGAAAAAGTGTGTAGATGCAAGTTTGCCTGTACTTGACTAAAACGCTAGGCTGCTATCCAAGGTATAAATGCTGAGAATCAGACATGAATATACATACATGTAAGATGCAACTGAGGATGCCCGCATGCCCCCAAGTCCGCAGTGCTGGACAGAGTTTATATCTTGGATGACGCCATGAAGCAGCAACGGCCAGGTGTGTGCATCTCCATGAGAGAAGATACCCAGTCAAGGGACAGGTAGGTGAGCAAACTCGAGCAGCCATCAGCAGTCCGTTTGGGCGACTTTTGAAAGAAGGCCGGGCATCATCATCAATGCAAGGCGAAGCCAACTGACGTTGAGCGCCGGCTGCAAGGCACAGGAAATACTTGCAGCAGGCACAAAACGCATGAAACAGATGTGTGTGGTAGACGGTCATTCGCCATTAATTTGTAGCGCGGGGCCTGGCTCTACCGTCCATTAACCCCGTCAGCTCTTGGATGGCTGTGATTGGCTGATCGCAACACGGTTTGGACCTTTTTGGGGTTCCTCAACCTCAGAATTTCGCACCCTGGGCAGCACCCACCCATCTTCAACCGCCTTTCTCCCGGTCCTCGCGAGTTTGCTGTCGCGTATCGCCGCCACGAGGCCAGCAGCCATCACCCCAACCGCGTCAAATCGTCCGGGACATCGAATAATCGCCCGCGCGTCGCCCTGGGATTTCGACTCTACTGCTTACACGCACAGGCGCGTATAAGTCGCGTCCCACCAGCGCCAGCACCACTCCCGGGCCTGGACCCGACATCGCGGCCACCATGGCTCCCCGTTCGCGCTTAAGCGGCAATGACACCGACGCGTCTATGCCCGATGCGCCCGAAGTGAGCCAGCCCGAACAGAGGGCCGAGGACATGGTACGTGGGCACCGCGCTGCCCTTGGCTCCGAGATAGAGAGGCAAGGAGAAGAGAGACCGAGGCCGATCCATTGCTGACCCTGAGAGTAGGACATCGAGACTCCCGATTATACAGACTCTGACACAAATCCCAACACAACGGCCAGCAGTGTCGCCGGCGAACCCGTCGTCGATGGCCGCAAGAAGCGTTCAGAAGCCAACCAGCTGCGTAGGAGTATCTTTGGCAAGAAGCACGATCGCCTAGGCGAGAACAAGGTGCGTGGGCGGCGGCCGATTGTTTGTCGAGTGCTCGATCGACCGACAAAGTACGTCTCCGCTGACACTCGAATGCCTAATAAACAGGAAGATGATACACTCCGTCGGTTCCGCTACCTCCTCGGCTTGACCGACCTTTTTCGCCACTTCATCGAGACGAACCCGAACCCCAAGATCCGCGAGATCATGGCCGAGATCGACCGTCAGAATGCGGAAGAAGCCAAGAAGAAAAAGGGCGGCAGTCGCCAGGGCGGCGCTACTAGTGAGAGGCGCCGTCGGACGGAGGCCGAGGAGGATGCCGAGCTGCTCCAGGACGAGAAGGTCGGCGGTTCAGCCGAAACCGTCTTTCGCGAGTCGCCTCCCTTTATCAAGGGCACCATGCGTGACTACCAGATAGCTGGCCTGAACTGGCTCATCTCGCTGCATGAAAACGGCATCTCGGGCATTCTCGCCGACGAAATGGGTCTCGGCAAGACCCTTCAGACCATCTCCTTCCTGGGCTATCTGCGCCACATCCAGGGCATTACCGGGCCGCACCTGGTTGCGGTGCCCAAGTCGACGCTGGACAACTGGAAGCGAGAGTTTGAGAAGTGGACGCCCGACGTCAACGTGCTCGTGCTGCAGGGCGCCAAGGAGGAGCGCCATCAGCTCATCAACGACCGCCTGATCGACGAGGACTTCGATGTGTGCATCACCAGCTACGAGATGATCCTGCGCGAGAAGGCTCACCTCAAGAAGTTCGCCTGGGAATACATCATTATCGACGAGGCCCACCGCATCAAGAACGAGGAGTCGTCGCTGTCCCAAGTCATTCGCATGTTCAGTTCGAGAAACCGCCTGCTCATCACCGGCACGCCTCTCCAGAACAACCTCCACGAGCTGTGGGCCCTGCTCAACTTCCTGTTGCCTGATGTGTTTGGCGATTCCGATGCCTTCGACCAGTGGTTTCGCGGCCAGGATCGCGACCAGGACCAGGTCGTCCAGCAGCTGCACCGCGTGCTCCGGCCTTTCCTGCTTCGCCGCGTCAAGAGCGACGTGGAGAAGAGCTTGCTGCCCAAGAAGGAGATTAATGTGTACATTGGCATGTCAGAGATGCAGGTCAAGTGGTACAAGAAGATCCTCGAGAAGGACATCGACGCCGTCAACGGCGCCGGCGGCAAGCGCGAGTCCAAGACGCGGCTGCTCAACATCGTCATGCAGCTGCGCAAATGCTGCAACCACCCTTACCTGTTCGAGGGCGCCGAGCCCGGTCCGCCGTACACGACGGACGAGCATCTCATCTACAATTCAGGCAAGATGATCGTGCTCGACAAGCTGCTCAAGCGGTTGCAGAGCCAGGGCAGCCGCGTGCTCATCTTCTCCCAGATGAGCCGTCTCCTGGACATCCTGGAGGACTACTGCGTCTTCCGCGGCTACAAGTACTGCCGCATCGACGGCGGCACCGCGCACGAGGACCGCATCGCGGCCATCGACGAGTACAATCGGCCTGGGTCCGACAAGTTCATCTTCCTACTCACCACCCGCGCCGGTGGTCTGGGCATCAACCTGACCACCGCCGACACCGTCATCCTCTACGACAGCGACTGGAACCCGCAGGCCGACCTGCAGGCCATGGACCGCGCGCACCGCATCGGCCAGACCAAGCAGGTCGTCGTCTATCGGTTCGTCACGGACAACGCCATCGAGGAGAAGGTCCTGGAGCGCGCGGCACAGAAGCTGCGGCTGGACCAGCTCGTCATCCAGCAGGGCCGCGCCCAGATCGCCACCAAGGCCGCGGCCAACAAGGAAGAGCTCCTGTCCATGATCCAGCACGGCGCCGAGAAGGTCTTCCAGACCAAGGGCGCCTTTGGGCTGATGGCCGAGAAGGGCGCCAACCTGGACGATGATGACATCGACGCCATCCTCAAGGCCGGCGAGGAGAGGACCCGGGAGCTGAACGCCAAGTACGAGAAGCTTGGCATTGATGACCTACAAAAGTTTACCTCCGAGTCGGCCTACGAGTGGAACGGCGAGGATTTTGCCGCCCGCAAGAAGGACATCGGCTTTACTTGGATCAACCCGTCCAAGCGTGAGCGCAAGGAGCAGATCTACTCGATCGACAAATATTACAAGCAGGCGCTGCACTCAGGCGGCCGGGCTGCCGATTCGAAGCCCAAGGCGCCGCGCGCCCCGAAGCAGATACCGGTGCACGACTATCAGTTCTATCCGCCGCGGCTCCGCGACCTCCAGGATAGGGAGACGGCCTGGTACCGCAAGGAAATTGGCTACAAGGTTCCTCTCCCCGACGGCGACGATGATAACCTGTCGGAGCGCGAAGCCGAGCGCGCGCTGGACCAGGCCGAGATCGACAACGCCACGCCGCTGACCGAGGAGGAAAAGGCGGAGAAGGAACAGCTCGCGCAACAGGGCTTTGGCGACTGGAACCGGCGGGATTTCCAGCAGTTCATCAACGGGTCCAGCAAGTACGGCCGCCACAACTATGAGATGATCGCTACCGAAGTCGACAGCAAGACCCCCGAGGAGGTCGAAGCGTACGCCAAGGTCTTTTGGCAGCGCTATACCGAAATCGCCGACTACATGAAGTACATCAAGATCATCGAGGATGGCGAGGAGCGCATGCGCAAGATCGAGCACCAGCGCAAGATGCTGCGCAAGAAGCTCAGCCAGTACCGCGTGCCCCTTCAGCAGCTCAAGATCAACTACTCGGTGTCGACCACCAACAAGAAAGTCTACACCGAGGAGGAGGACCGATTCCTGCTCGTTCTGCTGGACAAGTACGGCATCGACTCGGAGGGCATCTACGAGAAGATCCGCGACGAGATTCGCGAAAGTCCTCTCTTCCGCTTCGACTGGTTCTTCCTTAGCCGCACGCCCACCGAGCTGGCCCGCCGCTGCAACACCCTGCTGACGACCGTCGTCAAAGAGTTTGAGGACGCGGATAATGCCAAGGATAGCAAGGGCGGCAAGGACGCCAAGTCCAACGGCGTCAATGGCAAGGTCAAGCGCGAGGCCGAGGACGAGGAGAATGACGAGGATAGCGTCCTCGGCATGGCCCCGGCCAAGAAAAAGAGCAAGACCACCACAAACGGCGTAAAGGTGAGTCCCATTGCAAAAAAAAAAAAAAAATAAACGTGTCCGGTCAGCTAACCGAGTGATTGCAGAACAAGACGTTGGACAATGTCAAGTCGACAACGGCCAGTAAGGCCAACTCGGCATCAGTCTCGCGCGCCTCCAGCGTAGCGTCGAGTGCCTCTAATGCCGCTGCTTCTAAGAATAAGGCAGCAGCAAAGGGAAAGAAGAAATAAGTGTGTAGTAGCTCGAGATGTTTGCTCGTTTAATCGGGACATTATACTCTTCTGATAGGCGAGAAACGTGGGATCTTTGGCATGATATCATTGTGTGGGGTAGGGTGCTGATAGCAAAGTTGCATATCTCACTGTACTAACCTTTATCTTTATCTTAGTGACAGCTTCATATCTGTCACATTACCTAAAGAAACACATATGGGTGGGCGGCTGGACAGGTTTGGCAGGCAAGGTTTTAAGCACTATTGAATCTGAATTTCTCACAGAGCAAAAGGGGGTACCTCGAGGTCTTTTAGAGCAGGATGGATGGCATTGGTGTGAAGAGAGGTTTCGATCAGCTACAGTACTTCCTAAGAAGGAGAAAGGGAGGCGTTTAATTGGTATGTAGGTTAGACGACCTGGATTTGCTTTAGTGATTACATTCATTGCTTTGATGTGCGTTTGCTTCTAACCTCCGAAAAGTGCATAAATAAATGCCTAGGTTCGGGTGGTATTATGCAAGGTTCTGTGTCATCCAAGCTCTTGACGGCATTAGACTTCAATTAACTAGGTGCAATCTCTATAACTGGGTAAATCAGCTAGATGAGGCAGAAAGGAAAGGGAGACAAAAGGACAGAGGGAAGGAAAGGATGGACGAATGGATGAACTACGGAGAGTGAGAGAAAAGGGATAAGGGATGGGAAGAACTGGGTCTTACTATAGTCAATTCATCCTTTCTAATTATTGATGCCCGACTCTATTAGCGCCAGAAAAGTCTGTAAAGACTTGCATTAACCAGTATCTCGGAACACAGAAGTACACAACAGAAAGTGTGTTCATCAAGTAATGAAGAAAAAAAAATATTTAGTGGCAAGGAAGATTTGCAGGCAGCTAGGAGCCAGTTGTATCCCATGTGTAGAACGCCTGATGAGATCTCAATTGAAACTTTCAATCATGGCAGAGGGCATCTGCTGAATAGACTTGCTCAATCAAGGCATTATGCAGGCAGCAGTTAGGTCATTAGAGGACAGGTTCTTCAACTTAACAGCACCCACAACCTACCTCAAAATTAACATTCCTGTTCACCATGTGCACTAGTTCACCTAGAGTTCACTAAATTTTCAACTTCATTCATCAGAGGATCACCAGGCCTTGGGTGCTACAATGCTCACTTGAAAAATAGCTCTAAGAACACAGGCAGAAATTCACGACCCTTTAGAAGAAGACAAATGAAAGGACACAACACCCATTATCCCAGATCCCTGATACAACACTCAGCAGCCAGCCAATGGAGCATGGCAATAATAATATTTGGAGAACACTGAGTACCGTAACTCACACAGCCCGGTCCTTGGGCAGGTGGTCTCAACCCGATCGGCGAAAAGTGGGTCTTCGGCCCGGCTCCGGGTTGAGGAAGATACCCGATCACGTCGGTTCCGCACGCCTGGCGGGCGGCGAGCAGCGGGCGCCCAGTGCAGGACTCGGGGTTAAAGCCCTATTATGCCAATAACCTTTGCATTCAGCGGAGATTATCTTCTTTTCGCTCACTGTCACGCCTATCTCTCGACTTTTTAGCCACTTGTTTTTCCTCCGTTGACTGAATGAGCACATTGCATTCAGTTTACCTCCCCCCTCCTCCCCAGCAAGTGCAGACCTTCCAAAACACAGCATTTCAATGCGCTTGGGGTCATTTTGTTGCTCTTTTGCTTGCTGGTACAAGCTGACTTGTCTCTCGCTCTCTTGATCGTTACGAGGATGACCAAATAACTCCAAAGGGTCAACGACCTCGAGCTGCCAATAGCTGACCAAGCTAGTAAGTGGTCGACTGAGAGATACTTGTCTGGGTTTATTGCTAATGTATAACAGTTAAGCACCAGGCTGAATATCTAACCGACTTCTACTCCAGGAAACACCGATTCCTCTGGTTCTGATGAGATCCTTTACTTTGTTTTATACTATAGCCTGTAGAATATCACTGATAAGTGGTTACTTTTCTCCATATCCAGCCAGCTCTTTGAGCTATTAGCTCTATCAATTGGTGCTAGCGCTAGCAATACAAACGGTGTTACGCAGCTATCCGATCATCAGGTATGTATGAACGCTTCATGCAAAGTGTTGTAAGGATCTATGTTTACTTTTCTTACCGATTAGCCAACATGCCTCCAAAGGACACACAGCGTCGTCCTCTCAAGAAGGATGGTGCTCCGGCACCCTCAGCTCGCGCAAGTCGCGCCCAGAAGAGACGGCTGTCAGAGAACTGCGATGAAGACATGGACAACCCAGAACAGTCCATTAAGAGGTGCCGCAGGGCCGCTGATGATGAAATCCGGTCATCTCCCACACTTAGCGACATCCCCGAGGATATTACGATGGACGATGCCACTGCTCAAGAATCCGAGGAGAACAAAGACAGCGATGACGACCGGCCCGGAAAGGATCGGTCGAGAAAGCAGGGGCTTGACAAGAAGTTGAAGCCGATATCCGATGTCAGCGAGATGTTTGAGGACATGATCCAACGCTGTCCTCCAGCGCATTTCGAGGACAGGCCGGTGATGCTGAGGGTTGCGACCGTCTGCTCTGGTACCGACGCTCCTATTTTTGCACTTAGCCATATCCGCGATGCTCTGCAGGCCATGGGCCACGGCTTTTGCATGGATTTTGAGCACGTCTTCAGCTGCGAGATTGAGCCTTTCAAGCAGGGCTTCATTCGCCGTAACCTGCCACAGTGCAGTCTGATCTTCCGCGACATTGTCGAGCTTGCCACGGCTGCTCGTGATGGCACCGCGTAAGAACCAATCTGCTGCTTTTTTCTTTTATAACTCGTACACGACCATACCAGGCTAACAGTTCTCCAGGACCACTGCTGGTGGCGCCCCTGCCAAGATCCCTGACGGACCCCTTGATATCTTCTTCGCTGGGTGCTCGTGTGTCGACTATTCTAACATGAACACCAATAAACCAAGCGGCAGAGTGCCTTCCCTCGATCGACACCTGAAGGGCGAGGAGTCTCGCAAACCAGTTCCTGTCCGGTTCGATGTGGCATTCTTCCACGACCTCAGTAAGAGCTTGGAGGAGCTCGCGGAGCTGAGCACGGCTGGCGAGTCGGCCAGGACCTTTTTCGCAGCTGTGAAACTGATCGCCGAGAGACGTCCTACCATCGTCATTCTCGAGAACGTGAGCGGTGCTCCCTGGAGCATGTACACTGACCAAATCTTCCCTCGAATTGGGTATGTCGCCCGCTTCGTTCGTCTTGACAGCAAGAATTTCTACCTCCCTCAGACGCGCCAGCGAGGCTATCTGGTCGCAATCAACTGCTACCGGGAGATCCCGTCTCCGAATGAGCCGCCTGCTGAGATCAATGTCATCAATGCCAACCGAATTGCCAGAGCTTGGACAGAGTGGCTTCAGCTGTGCCAGCGCCCGGCCTCGGCGCCCGTCACTGAGTTCCTCCGCAGTCCCGACGATCCAAGCACTATTCTGGCCAGGGCCGACATGGAAAGCAAGCCATGTACCAATTCCGACTGGTCGTTGTCGTCCCTGCGACACATTGATGCACGGCGCCGGGCCAACTTGCGGCACGACGATAATCCCTTCAGCATGAAAGCCATGCGCGGCGGTCAGTTAATTCATATGCGGCCACCTGATCACTCATGGCGGCCGGTTTGGAAGATGGCGGGCCCCCGTATCCTCGACCTTATGGACATTGTCTTTGCTGTCTCGTTAAAGGATGGTATCGACCTGGGCTACAAGACCGCCATGATCGACGTGAGCCAAAATGTTGACCGCAATGAGTTCTGCCGGCTCGGCCGTCCCAAAGCCAGGAATCTCGGTATCGTTGGCTGTGTCACTCCATCTGGCCTGCCAATCATGACCGATGAGGCACGCCCCCTGACAGGCACCGAAACGCTGGCTCTTCAGGGTCTTCCCGCCGAGGAGCTCGTTCTTTCGACGGAAACCCAAGCGCAGCAGCGGGACCTGGCGGGCAATGCCATGTCAGTCCCTGTTGTGGGAGCAGCAACCTATGCGGCTATTCTGGCTATCGCGAAGGTTGAACCCGAGCTCTTCCGCCAGATGACGCCGGAGGAAGCCCAGAGGAGGCATGGATTGTATGTCTCCCGCCTTGGTGACCAGTTCGTCCAGGGCAAGGACGGTGGTACCATGACGACCGATGTCCCTTGGCTTATTGAAATCGCCAGTCAGATGCGCCGCGTGTGCTTTTGCCCCATCCGCCCGAGCAAGATCTATGTCTGCAGGACTTGCGGAGTCACCGCCTGCCCCTCATGCTCCGGCAACCCCCCACATAACTTCGGTGATGACATGGCTGACGACCTCCCGAACTGCTCTGTGGAAAGGGGCAAATCGAGGCTGAAGGATTGCTTGCCCGGCACTATCATGATGTTTCTCCCCTCAGACCAAGTCAAGGATGCGCTACGCCGCACTGCCGGTGGCATCTTCCGCGATGTAGCTTTGGAAGTTCTCGGGGGAAATGACAGTGAGCTTCCGTTTTACTATTTCGACGACATCAAGGTTACAGAGTCCATCACCATCTGTTACAAGGCCGTTAACAGCATCGCTCGGCTCGTCCTTTGTCCAGCGACTAAGACGGCCTGTTGGTACATTTACATCGCGCCTTGGCACAGCCAACTGGGCGATCTCGCTAGGCACTTTGACGTCAACCAGCCGATTGCTCGTGGCCAAGTCGACACTAACATACTTGTTCCCACCTGGTCGGTCTGGATTCCCGGCCGTGTTGAGCTTCGTCTCGAATTACAACAAAACAAGCACGGTGAGGTCACTATCGGCTCTTTGGACTACGTGAACAGTGAGGCGGCACACGAACATCCAGACCTCCCGGCATGGAAAGCCACCGTTGAAAGCAAGATTCGTGGCACCTATACCCATAGCCCACAATGTGGCACGGCCGGCAGGGCCCTGCACGTCAAGCAGCCTCAACATGGTGACTCCAAGGTCTTCTTGATGTGGGAATCTCTCAGGCTCGAAGTGCCTGAGAAAGACCACTTCGTCTGGACCGAGATGCCGCGGAGGATTGAGTCTCACGAGTACCGGGAGGTTCTTCTTTGCGCCGACACGTCCAAGCCGTTCACTCTTCAGCCGGAGCAAGGCGTCATGAAAGTATACTGGAACGGGCATTGGTCTAACGTAACCGTCCATGGCCCTCTCACGCCGGCAACACCTCTACCCGAGCTCGCCGTTGTGTTCTGGGGCCCCACGGCTGAGCTCCAGCAGAGGAAATGCCACTCTCCAGAGAGCCCAGAGAGTCCTATCGTTCGGATGGCCCCCTTCGCCGGCATTCAAGCGCCGCTGCGTCGGTTCCCTGCCTCAAAAGCGTACTTGTCCAAGTTTCGACAGGAGCATACGGACTCAGACTTCTATGTCGTCCCTGCTGCTGGTCGCGATGCCTTCTTGAGGCGCTTTGCCTTCCTCTCCAAGGAAATTCGCCAGGCGACCATGCCAGAAGACGGCGCTTCGTTCCCTCACCTCCATATGAGATGGATTTCAATCGATGCCTGCGACGTATGCTCCGTTTCTCCTCCAAAAGCCGTCCTGCTCTGCAAAGAAGAGCCGCGTAGGGATGCCACTGGGAAGAATAGAGACGCCCGACTGAAGAAGCTGCTGGTCGAGGACCCCGAGGATGCCGAGAAGTTTGAGAAGCAGCTGCAAGAGCTGCCAAATGCAGTCACAGTGGCGGTTAGATTGAGTCCATCTTTGCCCAACAACGGTCAGATAGAGGAACTTCTGGACATCCGGATCTTGTTACAGCCCAAAACACTGGCGTCCAGGGCGCTGGCTTACATACGCCAGGGCCATCCGAGCACGACTCGTGGCGCCGATGTAATCAACGACGAGTACAAGGCTTCGTTTCTCACAGAGCTTGATTATGCTTTCTTCTCGACACGTCCAGACTTCGCCCCGTTCCGCAACTCGGTCAAACCCTGTGGCGATCACAACACGCATGGCATAGATCTGACCAATAACACCTGGAAGATGCCAGCAGGCGAGCCACCGCGCTTCCTACGCAGGGTTGGAAGGAGCAGGCAGGTCGTACAGCACAGATTGCGGCCAAGCCAGAGGGATGCCGTCAAGTGGATGATCCAGCGGGAGAGGATCCCTCTCAATTTCATTAAGCGCGAGATTGAAGAGGAGGTGGTTCAACCACTCAACCTGCGCGTTGCCGGTAAGGCAGAATGGACAACGCGGTTTCCCTACAGCTCACGAGGAGGCGTGGTCGCGCACGAGATTGGCTATGGCAAAACGGTCGTCACGCTAGCACTCGTTGACTACATGCACGAGTATGATACGACCATCTCTGTGGAGGAGCGCATTCGAGAAGTCGATGGCGCGTGGCGCAAGGAACTCGGAGACAATGTCTTCCAGCTATTTGGGTCCGATGCAGAAGGTCTCCGGGCTGAAAGCTTCTTCCACCATCTCTCGGCAACGCTGGTGATCGTTCCCAGACACATCACGGACCAGTGGGCTAAGGAAATAGACAAATTCCTCGGATTGTCAACTCGAAATGGCAGTGTCCTGGTCATCAAGACCAGCCAGGCCTTCCACGGCAAATACACGCTACAAGAACTCAATAGGGCGCAGATTATCATAGTCAGCAGTTCTGTTTTTGGGCCCTCCTTCCGGGAGAAGCTGGAGGAGGTGTCCGGCTGTGGCGTAGAATTTGCCAAGGGCCTAAGCGGGAGGGCCTTGGACCTTTGGTACCGGGAAGCACTTCGCAATCATCGAATCCTCACGGCTTTTTACCTGGCTGCTCGCCGATCAAGCTCGGACGAGGAAAAGCTCATTAGCCTAATTGAGAAGTCGTTGCTCCCTCAGCTGAACCGTTCCGAAATGGAAAAGCTGGACGACATCTTGGATAAACAGGTTCAGGGCATCGACCGTAACTACTACAAGTCGCGACTCCGCGATAACACAGTAGAGCCCAAGCAGCAGAAGAACACGGGAGCTACTCTCAAGTTCGGACATGGAACGGCCGAAGGCCGTGGAAGGCAAGGTCGTGATGCACAGTCAACCAAGTCACCTGTTGGCAACGTATGGAGCCCCACGTCTCTTCATGCTTGCAGTTTTGCTCGTATCGTCTGGGACGAGTGCTCTTACGATGATGACAAGGACAGCTACATCCCTGTCTTCGTAGCAAATGCCGTCGCTAACTCCAAGTGGCTGCTTTCTGGCACTCCCAAGCTTTTCGATCTTGGGGCCGTGTGCAGGCTAGCAAACGCTTTTGGCGTACACTTGGCTCGCCCTGAACCGCGTCTCATGCCTGGCCTTCCGGCGATTACCGAAGGGCCAAAGCCTGAGCAGCTGACACCGAGCGAACAGTTTTACGCTTATTCATCATCCGTCAAAAGCAGCTCGCTAGCCGTAGAGCGCCATAATCAAGGCCACTCGTTCGTGAGTCAGTACTTCCGTTGTAATCTCCTCGAAGACGAGGAAGAGATTGAATTCGAGGAAACAGTTGTTCCGATCGCGATGGCCCCCGTGACCGCAATCCGATACTATCTCCTCGCACAGGAAGTTTTGGATGCCGGAGAGGACTACAGTCTGTTGCCAGAACATGCGCGCTCCCAGATCAAACTGAAGGGAAGCGATCTCGCTACTCGGGACGTGAAGGCTCAGGCCAGGATGCTGCTCGGACTTATGGCTTGCGGACTGGGTCAGAACGAGAACATCCAGTCTATCGACGATGTAAAGCGTGATCTTGATCAGCGTGTTGCTGGCTGTAGCAGACAGTTCAAGATGCTTTTCGACAAGCAGATGTTTCTCTGGAGCTGGATAAATTTGCTCCATGATCTCGAGTCGAGCGCTGCTTGGAGTGACCCCGTCAAAGACAGCTTGGAGAAGGTGGAATTTATTTGCAGCCGACTCACCGAGGCTTTGCTTGGAAACAAGCGCGTCACAAGATTTGATGAGGGCGACCTCTACCCGCACGAAGCCCAACTTATCGCTCCGCATGTGCCCGGCGACGACCCCGAGGGCAACAGGACAATCTATCCAGAGTGGGAAGACTGCCTCAACCAGGATTGGGCGGCTCGCTTTCGGAAGAGCAGCGCTCTATACACCTGGATCGACTTCTTTGATATTAGTGACTGTGACATTAACAAATTACATGAAGAGCAGCTCCGTTCGCTAGCCAAAGACATCCTTTACCTGCGGTGCAAGATTGATCCGGATGTTAGGCCGCTTGAGAGACAACCTGGAGGAGCCAAGGAGGCGATGATGAAGCAGCGCTGGCTTGAGAACGCCTTGGAAGACACAACAATTCGGAGAATTGCCAAAGAGAATGCAGCTACTATCGACATGCGCGTGGAGAAGGATCTCTCAGTCATCACTCAGCTGTCGAAAGCAGAGTTGGTATCATTTATCAAGAGCTGCCAGGACGCAAAGTCTCGGCAGATGGAGCGAGATGCGGCTAACGCCGACCGCTTTGACCAATGCTCGACAAGGGAATTGCGTGACTTGTGCCTCGAACACAACCTGAAGGTGCCCGGTACAACCGGGGAGATGAAGTCAGTATTGAAGCAACATCTCATGGGCACTTTGGGTCGCGAGCATTACCGCGATGGGCGCGCCCCAGTCAACCGCTACCGCAGCTTCCAAGCTGCCATGGCATGCGAGAATCGGAGCCTGTCTCATCAGATTTCTCGCGCGAACGAGGAGCTCAAGCAAACCTTGGTGCACCTCACCAAGACAATTGAAGATCTACGCGCTGCTAAGCTCGAGGGTGGCTTTGTGCCTGGATACGACTCGCTGACCAAGGGTGACAACGACACCAAGACGTGCGCCAAATGCCGACGCCCGCTTCCAGACGACCTTTCATTCATCGTTGTTGCGTGCGGGCACTTCCTCTGCGAGGACTGCAAGAAATCTGCGGGTTTCTACTGCCCCGTTAATGATTGCCTGGCTTTCGTCCACGAGCGTCCGGTTCTCAGCTGCTCAGAGATCCGTCGTCTCTATACCCAACAAGAAGAGGCGTACGAGACACGGGCGGCGGCTGTCGTCGACCTGGTCAAGCACCGCATTCCCAGGGACGAGTTCGTTGTCGTGTTTGCTCAGTATGGCTTGTTCGTCGAGGCATTGGACACCGCATTCAGGAATTCCGGGCTCCGCTATACCAACCTTTCCAAGGTCAACGACGAGAATATTGCGGCGAAGCTTGAAGACTTCAAGAACGGAAACGCGGGGCAGATCCTGCTACTTGACATCGACAATGAGACGAGCGCAGGCAGCAATCTGACCAACGCGAACCACGTGATCTTTGCCAACCCATTTGTGCACCATGACGAGGAGCACCAGTCCCGTACCGTCAGGCAGGCGCGAGGCAGATGTGTCCGTATCGGGCAGACAAGGAAGGTGCACGTGTACCACTTCATGGCTCCCGGGACGATTGAAGAGCAGACGCTTCGTCATTATTCTGAGTACAGCAAAGACGTCTCGGGCTTTTTCGAGAAGTGGGAACTTGTGCCGTGGTGGATGGATCGCATGGAGAAGCGTACCGAGAGGTCTTGTGGTCACTCTTGAGGGAGAAGCGCGAAGTATGGAGCTATCTCGGATATTGAGTCATATGTGGGAGTTTGTTTTTTTTTAAAAAAAAGGAAAAAGGCTTTCCGTTGACTGCCTGGAAGCCAGATAAGGTTTCGCAAATGGTTTGATTACAGATAATTTTGACAAAGAGGAGGGGATGGATCGACACATCGTAATAGGGTTAACGGCCTGCAAACCTTCCTCATTGGGAATGGAAAGAGAGTGCTTCAGTTTGAGTTAGGAGCAGGACAATGAACATGTGCTTGTTCGTCCCTTTAAACTTGTGTACTTGGTCCCTTGTGTCCCGGATACTGTAAATGTACTGCCAGTAGCAACGGACTCGCAACAAAGTGAGCTTTGATACATTAACATTACCTACTTCTATCATCATAATTTGAATGCCCTTGCTTCTCTCTTCCCAGAGACAGCAGAGGGGGGCACCTTCACAGTAACCCCCGGGCCAAAGACCACCTCCTGGCAATCTTCAACCACGACCCCATTCGCGAACTGCGACACCACAAAGTCCACTGCCGTTCCCTCCATGCCTAGCGCTACCATGGGCGCATGCCACGTCCCCGCCCCGTAGGTGACAGCCTGGCTGGCCGTTGCCACATATGCGCGCATTTGCTTCAGGTCTGGCATGCCTGGCCCGGGAAGAGGCCGCGGATAGCTGGCTCCTGAGGGAATGCTTGCCGGCGTGGGCAGCGCAGGGGACGGCTCAGCATCGGGACCATCACTACTAAGATTGGCAGCTCCAGGGCTGTCTGGGGGAAGCGTTGGCGCAACGATAACGAGATAGCGAGCAGATGGATCGGCGGTAAGCGGAGTGAAGGTCTGAGTTGTGTAGGGATGGCGCTCAAGAATCGAGACGTGGAATTCTGAGGGCGGTCCCTCGGCAGTTGGAGGGAGGGGAACGCGAGCAGCGCAGACAAAGATGTTCATGACCGGCTCTCCCGGCCGCCCGCTTGGGGCTTGTGAATAGAGATTGATGGGCCGTGAAACATGCTGATACTTGATGGCTGAACCCTGGTTTGCGGGAACCGGGTTAAAAGGTAGTGAAGATCGTGACAAGAGCGGCAATGATGAGAATGAGGATGGATTGGTTGTTGGTCGTGGATTCTCAATCACATCGCCAAAGGGCGCAAAGGCCTCGCGAGTGAGAGGGATGGCCTCGATCACAATTGGCGGCCCCGAAAACTGCAGCATGATAGGCGACGACATCTTTTTTCAATGAATATGCGTTACGATACGTTTCCTTGCCGAGATGACAGGTTTGATGTTAGGCGCTGAGCACGGTCGGTGAGGCTGGGATCCAAATGTTTGAGAGGTTGGGTGTCTCAATGTGTTAGTGGGTTAGGGTTGGCTATGGCGGTCAACACCCCTCAAGTACGTACTCAAAAGTCCGCAACACAACAACGTTCTACATTTCAGCTGGAATAGAGAGTTGGCATGATCAAATCTACTACTATCATATATACATATTAGGTTTCGTCACCTTTGAAACTAACGTGCTGGCTGAAGCGCATGTCGCCGTGCTCCGACAGCCTTTTGACCCACTCTCGTCTAATCCTTAGGCTCACGACGGTGCTGGAACCGCTAAACAACATCGGAGTTCTTTTTTATCCCAAAGCAACACAACGGTGACACCCCCGATGTGTGTGGCAAACTCTTTGGTTGCGTTCCTTTGCCAAGAAGAACATGATGTTGGCCATGCCTGTCGGCAGAGTGACATCGGATCTGGAGCCAAGGCCTGCCGTGCTATGTGCGACTGCCATCACCTTGGGCGACTTTGATCATACTTCACAGGTCCAAAAAATTGACATCTAGCTTGACACAGGCCCTCTTGTTTTGCACGCCCACAGCACACATTGTCGTCACGAGTTTCGGAGAGAAAATCCGTCGTCCCAGACCCTCAATCCGTGGACAGCACCATAGCACAAGTCAGACGTACGGCATCGTCTTGTATATGTGTGGGGTCTCTAGCATAGTTGGAAACAGGCTCAAATATCCATAGATGACTTGTTCCAATCTCAACTCCCAACCTGTCATGAGCATCCCAGAGTCGACCTCCCAGAGTGCGATGTCAATATATGCACACTGTATATACGGCTATTTTTTGTTCCTATTTTTGGCCAGGTAATAAGAGCTCGGTCCTGAGTCTCCATATTGAGTCTGGTGCGGCTCCTGATCCAGGCTGCCAAGACGTGCCAGGAACTTGGAAGCCAATCACCCGCCTATCATCACAGTCAAACCAGCGTATGTTCTCAACTCCAGGCCGGGCCCCTCCATATGCCCTGCAGTGCATCAGTCACAAACCACTCCAGCCTCACAGCCTCACTCCCCGACCTTGGGCTGTTATGTTGTCCTCCGCTCACTTCTCTCTTCGGGATCAATTGACTGGATACGACCTCCATAGCAATCTAGTCGCCTTGTGTAAACGCCCGTGGCCATCTAACACCATCGCTATGGATATTCCCAGTAACCGGGTTATATAGTATGCCGTCTGGCCGGTTGTATTGCTCGTCCCTTTTTCCGTCCCGTGTCTCGTTTCTGCTCTCCAATCCCACACGCAGTTCAGCACGCAAAGGCACTTACCCCACTGGATCCCGATATCATGACAGGAATTATCACAATATCATCAATTCGCTTGTCATTTGTTTTCGCGGTTCCTCTCCCGCGGTCCATCACCCGCCGGGCCCTGTCGTCCCAGGCGACAGGTTGAGCGAGGATGGGCATTCAGTTGCTTACCCGTTGCTCAAGGACATGATAAGCACATAACGCCGCCAGTGTATATATTCGCCATGGGATGCCCAGAATCGCTCTCTGGCTCATCTCTCAGTAGCCTTGTGCGTCGCTGTGCTAGTCTGGACAACGCCAGCAGTGTCTGTCTCTCACCATAATGGACAGGGTAGTCCTCCGATATCTCTGGGCGCTTCTCGCCTTCCTGGTGCTCCACGTCGACGCTTGTACCAGCTACGGAGTTAACTTCGCCAATGGCGGGTCATATAATATCGATTCATCATCTAACCAATACTTCAGCTTTGTTTCCGTCTTCCAGGGTAAGCACAGAAGTCGTAAGGTAGGCCAAAGGTCTATTGGTGAACGATACTGAAACCAGATGATATCCCTTCAGAGTGCTCTGGAGAGACCCTCAACCCGATCCTGATTAGCCCAGACAACAACCACTATGTCTGCTCGGCCATAAACACTCACCCTAATGGTGTCGAGGTCACATCGACATGGTGAGCAGGGTTTCTGTCACAACCTGCGGCATCCAACATCTTACTCATTAACAACATTGCGTAGTGGCATTCCTTATTCTGCCATGATTTCGGGCACTTGGAAAATTGTGCTGTCTGGAAATGAGATCAAGTCTCAGCGTGTTATCCACCTCACTATCGGCGTGCCCCAGACAACTTGGGTGACAGTATGTGTACGCCCCTGAAATTGGTGGTTCTGTCAAATCAACCTAATAATGTTGTTTAGGCAACCCCAACGGTCGTTGTTGGGTATACTACGACCGCAAGGGCCCAAAGTAGGTCAACCCCTATGGATGGCCCCGTGCATGGGATCATGGCAGATGTGGCTAACTTAGTATCACTTACAGCCGTCTTGACGACACTCATCCAAACACACACCCTCATCATCGTCCCTCAGACAGTCACAGCCCCATGCAGCGGCGGGACACGAACCGTGACCAACTACCCGCCGAATCCCACATACGTCGTCACCTCAACCGCTGTTCGGACTGTCACAGACGCCCAGGTTACAAGCTACTGGACCACAACGATCACATCGACCGCAAGCTGCCACTATCCCACAAGTTTTTTACCTCCGGTCTGGTCGCCTCCTGGCGGTGGTTGGGGCTGGCCCACCCGAGGGCCTTGGGCTGCTGATCTGAACACGGCTACAGAGAAAAAACGTGACGTGGCCGTTCCTGCTGCCACGGCCGCCGCTGCCGCTGTGGCTGCGGTCACGTCGACTATCACGCAAACAACATACACCGTTACCAGCACGGTCACCACGACTATCCCTGGACGGACTACCACCGAGACCGGTGAGATCACTACCCCTTGAGGATCTATGTGGGTCGTATGTATGGAATATCACTGACTAGATGGCACAACAGTGCTTCGAACCACGACAGCTACCATGTATGTCTTGACCTTCACTCTATGTAAAAGTTCATGCTGACACTTTGCGATCAGCACTCCTCCCCCGTCGACGGTCTGTGTAGGCGGCGCGCCTGGCGTCACTGTGACGGTCAATGTTGGCACACCTACGCCCGTCACACAAACCAGCATAGTGTATCTCACAAGCCATCTCTACGGCACAGTCTGGGTTGGGTACGGTGAGGTTTTCCACATGCCCATCATAATTTATGATTCTAACCGAGTGTTTGTTTCTTCAGACAAACCCAATATACGACATTCACGAATACAGCGAGCGCCACGGCTTGCTGGATGGCGGGTGGTTGGTTCAGTTGAACGAAGAAAGATGCAATTTGGTGCACTTGGACCCACGACACTGCTTGCCAGCACGACGGGGATCTCCTTGACGCAACAGCGGCATTTCCTTGCTCTCTATCCCAGGAAAAATAGGTAACTAACGGAGCCTGGTACAACAAGTCCATGGCGTTATCTATTAAGGTTTGACCATTGCCGTCATGTTAATCTATGAACCCTAAATCTAGCCATTTCTTTGAATGCTTGCCTTGTGAGTGGTAGATCGCAAATTCACTACCGGTGCATTCTTGCTTGTGCTAGTATGTGCTCTCACTTAACCACTACTCTTCCTCGTCGCCCTCCAACCAAACCTCGTGCCCGTTACCCTCGCGAACAAACAGGCTGGCGATAAACCCGCATATCGCGATGCCACTAAGCCCCCACCATACGGCCCCGACGATACCCCTGGCAAGACCTAATCCGTACAAAAAACCTCCAGTCACAGGACCTACTGTCCTAGCAAAGCTACCAACACTCTGTCCAATGCCGTGCACAGTACCCAGCACACTTGGATGTGGAGTGCAGTTGTTGACCAAGATAGTCTGAGCTGGCAGGGCAAAGGTCCGTCCGATGACCTGAATGAAGAGCACCAAAGTGATTGCTATCCATACTAGCACGCCATCCTTGGGGCTTGGCGGTGGGCTATCGCTTGGTAGCAGACTCAGGAATGGCACAAGGAAGTATGTGACGGGGAAGAATAACAAAAACAATCGCCAGCTGTGGAGTGTGCCAAGTCGTGATGATAGCCATGGGTAGACGAACAACTGTAGACCAATTCCTATGGATCCCAAAATTGCCATAGCCATGCCAACCTCGCGTGGACGTAAGCCCAGACCGCCGGTGAAGATAAAAGGGAGGTGACGAGGTAATGCGTGTGATGATTCAGGACCTTTGGCTGGGTCATAGACAGGGGTTGAGAGGAAGACATTCCATAACGAATTGAAGGTTCCAACGTGGAAACCAAGGAGAAAGCTGGCAATGAAGGTCGAAATAACATTTGGGGTAAAGATGTGGCGGAATGGCAGCTTTCGAGTATACCGGCGTCGAGCCAGTTTCCGAGGGGCAGGGGACGAGGAAGAGGAAATTGATGATCGGTGACAGCGTGTGTTTCTAGACCGATCAACGTATGCATTGTCATTGTCAGACGCTAGAAGTGTATACCCTCCGCTCCGTCGAAAGTGGAACAGCCATGTAGCAATCTTCTGGCCATATTCTAAGCCCCGATCACGCATCCCTAGGCGTGAATCTAGTGTCTGTGCCCTTGTTAGATGCACAGATCACTGGACAAAAACATGAGATGCGATACCTACCTCTTCCAAACAAAGCCAGACAGAAAGCATTGCACAAAAAAGGAAGAAAGCAGAGACAAGGTTTGGGGTGGCGTATGGGAAACGCTGGAAGAAGGCAATGTTCCCAAATAGATCCGGATAGCTACCAGCAGGGTCCGATAGGACCCCCCCGAGTATTGGTCCGATAATGGTACCAATATTGAATGTCATGGGCAGTAATAGAAATGCGCGAGACTGGTACCTGTAGGTTGTTCGCGTTAACGTTGAAACTGACAAAAACTCGCTAACTGGAATTCCGAGGGCATCCAAACTCACTTCTTTTCTCGGATTGTCTCGCTTATCCTAACCCAAAGCTGTCAGCACAACACATGATCTGAGAATAGTTGGAGCACAGGTGACAACACTCACATGGTTCTCAAAACGCCTACATTACCGTTAGTGATGCCTCCAAGGCATCGGAATAAGAGTGCCTGCCAGAAAGTGGTCGAAAAGCCAAATCCGATACTCGAAACAACTAATATCACACATGCATTAGCATTACAATAGACGCTCAATTTCCACCAGGATGGATGTTGTGACTCACGGGTACCAGCAAGACCAATTAGCAAGACAGTCTTACGGCCAAACCTACTAGAGTCGGCAACCTGACCCCAGAGCATGGCCGTCAAAAACTGAGCCGCCGTAAAGCTCGCGCTGCCGACATGGTATTAAAAATTGCCACTTCCCAAGGCATTGCCGCCATGACAACATTTGGAAAGACACCTACTGTATAATACCTGCTTGGCTCGAGATCACGGAATTGGGCAGACTGGGATCAAACCACTTGAGCTGATAATACAGATATGATTGGAGCGAAGTCTGCGTGAGAGGCTCGCTCAGTCTTGCCAAAGTGATAACAATGAGCTGATCCTTTCGAGGGAGATCGCTCCAGGCAACTACCCGGCTTTCCTGGTCGTCCCGGGGCGGCGAGTGAGTGGTAGAACCTAGAGAAAACTCGGTGGATTCTGCATCCTGGGAACGGAGAGGTGGAAATTGCCGTTCTATTTCTGCATCGGCACAAGCCCGGATCGGTCTCGGAAAGATCTCGACGTCATTGTTATCAGAGGTCGAGTGGTGAGCCTGGTGGTTGCCCATAGAGAATACAGAGCCAAGATGGACCCGACTGAACTCGTACAGACTCAATGACGGTCGGAAGATGATACGTTACTATCGCGAATCTGAGGAGATGAAGAGAAACGCAAATAGTATTCACGAGACCGGCGGCATGCGAGCTCTCGTGCTGTCGGGTCTGATCTTGGGAAACGCTACAGACGGGGCAGCACCTGGAGAAACAATTGCGCAACCTCACCCGTCATATACCGACGTTCCCCAATCCAGATATGTGAAAAAAATCAGAGCCTATAGCAACACCCATCAACACCTCCGAGCAGAGGAGAGAGCTCCCCGCGATAAGTGGGTACAGTTGACCATGTCGGAGCAGGGCCGGAGTTAAGAAGCTCACACATTCTCCATCTGTCGTTGCGATTTAGATCCCCTTGTTTTGGCGTTGATGCGATTTGAGCGCCTGGTGGCGCAAGTGAGTCTGTGAATGATCCCCACGTGCGGGGTCAGCCAATCGAATAGAGCGAATCGCGCGGCGCTAAGCCTTAGTAACGTGCTGGCCTCGTCCCTGGAGTTGCATCGGGAATCGGGAGCGGCTAATGGCAACTCTGAGATGCAACGCTGCCACAAAGTCTAATTTCATCAACAACCGTCATCGCGGAGCTGCTCGCACTCCTGCCTAACCAACGTCATCTAGACCGGACTGATAGCGACATGTCTGATGCCCAGACCGTTGAAATTGCTATGCACGGGCAATTTACTTTGCGATTCTTCCCTTTTTGACTAGGCGATCAGTTGCTTGATGACCACCATGCTGCCTTATCGTGCTCATGTTCTGGGCCAGGGAGCCGCGCGACAGCGGTAGATGTGCGCTTGATATCATATCTTGATTGAAGAGCTTGCGACACAGCCTGCTCCACTCGCATACCGTAGACATGTACGATCGACTCTGCTACACAGCTAACCTCTAATGCATTGATACACTAAAGCTGTCTATCGCCTACCCTAATCCGGTCTCTCTGCAATCAAGGGCAAATGGTTGCAATACTGAGTCCAGCTTACCCACTGAAAGTAACCAACTAAAAGCCCCAAGCAGCACATCACCTGCTGATCCACCTCGGGCTCCATGAGGACCAAATATCTCTTCAGCAGCAAGTGTGTGTTTGCTAACGCCAGCGGCATTTCCGTACAAGCACCTTACACGAGGCCAGTTCTCTTTCGGATAATTATTGTCGATCCCGGGTGCTAATCGCCACCGATCAGTTTATCAGAGTGGCATCCTATCACATCCACAATGACGTCAACTGGCCGGTCCAACTACAGCACCCCTTGTTGGACATGTCCTCAGCTACGAAGCAGCCTTTTTTTTAAAAAAAAACGCTGCTGGCGAGATCGGTCTATTGGCAATGGGAAACTCCAACTCCTGACACCCAGGTTCCCAGGTTTTAGCGCTCTTTATTCGTGCAGCAGTTCGACATCTCTCAGGGGAGTTATAAGTTGCCTCCTTACGGTAGCTGACGAGAGCTCCAGAACGCTCTTACTGGTAAGTGTGGAGTAGTCATCCAACGGTTGTCTGTGTACGTTGATGTCTAGCCATCGGAGGCACTAGATAGCATGCTCCCCTTGACAATTGCGGTTGGATGAGCTAGGAAACCTGGACATTGATGCGCTTTTTTGTTTGCGGCTTAGCCTTCGCCCCCCAAATGGCACGGGACACAGTGTCTCCGAGTGGCTTGGCCGAAAGATCCGTGATTCTCATTTTCAATGGACATGGCCTGGGTACACAGGTGAGTAAGTGCCTCTCTAGTTTTCCGGAGTTGTGGGCATTGCCTTCTCCAAATTAGTCACGATTGTCGGTCGACGATACAAGTTCAATTGGATGGCATCTTCCGGCTATGCCTACAGGAGGGACCGATGGTGGAACAAGGACAAGCCAAGCACATCTGGGGTGCCAAAGGCCTCGCCTCAGTAAGCCAAAGCGCGAGGGGCGAAACTCCATGCCCTACTGGCTCCCAGCTGCACTGTCCAGCGATACTGATCGAGAACCTTGCGAACTCCACATGTTTTTTACTGCCTCTGGTTAATCATGCTTTTTGGGGAAAGGAGTGCAAGTTGATATCTGCTGTCTGCAGGAGAATCCAAGAGCTGAACGCTTGATCTGCTTCCCCGCTTAGCCCTTAACAAGGAGCTACATCTTTACAGTAGGTATATTCCTATCTAAGCTCAGCCACTAATATACCGTCCTTGTTTCCTCCAGTTACTTGGGTACCTTGTACATAACCAAGCATCTGGGCTTTTCCCTGGTTTCTGCGCCCGTATACCGTTCCCCCTTTTCAAAAGAAAAAGGTGAAATCAAAATTAAAATAAAAAAAAAACAATTACAGAGGGTGTCTTTAGTTTCAAGTTAACTGTCGTCTGGTAGATCCACTCCACCCGCCGGCCATAGTTGGCTCCACCGAGGATCGGCACTTGCGGGTTAGCGTGTCTCTATTCCTGCTAGCGAGTTCAAGAAAGCTTAACACAACATCCTGGCCGTATCCCAGCTGAACTCTAGGTTATTGTAGGTAGAAAGGTGTGATGTCCCCGAAACACCAGCAACAAGTTTCCTCTCAACCGTTGGTGTCCCTAATTGTTGACGAACTCTTCGACATAAGCCCACAAAGCATGTGCTTGCCCTTTTGATTTTCGAAAACATGTTATAATGACTGTATTTGCTCCGAAATGCCGAATCACCCAAGCGCCATATGCTTCTCCGCAGGTCTTGCCTAAATCAGATGAAGTGTCCCAGAAATATATCGAGTTATAACGCCGTCCCCTCTCCCCTGAACTCCCCACTGAACTCTCAACCACCTTGTCCGATGCCCACGATACTTCACTGTAACCTCAGAGATCCGTCCCGAGAAACAACGCCCTTCTTCCCATGATAAAACCCGCCTGCCAACCCGAGTTTCCTTGAGTGATAATGTCGCGCTCTGCTTGCCAATGCCCTCATGCAGCAATGTCGAGTCTCAAGACTCGTTCTATGTGCTCCTATGTCGTCAAAGCAAGCGTTGTTGTATCTTTCAGTTCATCAACACCGTACTGAAATCCTTTCTTTGATGTGGTGCAGTCTCATTGAAAGTATGACGCTGTAGGGTACAAGGACCAAGGTTGATGTGGGACATAAGCCGATGATGTTTGAGTAATGGTGGCGCTTGGGTAATGTTGTTGGTGCCCTGTAAGTGAACAGCACATCACATTAGCAACAGTGTCGATCTTTGAAAGGGATTCAGTTCCAAAGGAGCGTACCAGCGTTGATATTTTGATATTCTTTCGATTCAAGACAAGGAGATGACTGTCCCGGCAAGACGGATCCCTCAACCATGGAAGACGGCACGCTGGTAGGGATGTATGCCGGGACGTAGTCGTCTGCCGGCCCAACTGATGAACATGGGCTTGAAACTCCAGAAGGAACAGCAACTGTAGATGAAACGGGAACGACTGTTGGCCACGAGTGACATGGTTCGGGAGTGGGAAGGTATGATGTTTCGAAGGGAGCCTGTCCATTATACTCTGGTGTAATGGTGGGAACGGAGGGAGGAGGGCCCGAGACAGGAGACGCTGCTTGTGGCAATCCATCCATATCAAAACCTTTTGATGTACTCAGTTAGCGGATTGAATCATGAGGGAGGAAATATAGCGCCATACCTGGGCCTGGATATGCTGGATGGCTAGCTCGACAGGTGCATGCAGAAAGCCTGCGCTCTAACTCTCTGTTTCTCTCCTGTAATACCTGGCACTTTCTTCTAAGCTCACCAACTTCTCGCTCCAGATTTGCGATGGTCGACTTCGTACGAGCCCGGATTGCCCGTTGTGCTTCTCTGTCGTTGGCGCGCTTTCTAGCAACTTGTTCGGCTGACATGGTCGACACGCTCCTGCTGCCTAGATGCCGAAATGAGACATTGTCAACCGATGATCGAATACGGGGAACACCAGGTAAAGGACCGTCGTAACTAACCCTTCTTCTTGGCTGGTTTGCCAGTAGGCTTAGGGACTGGCAGTTTTCGGGAGCACATGGGGGTAGAGTCGATGGATTGACCAGCAGATTGCGACTGTGACATGTTTGGATGTTCAGCTTTGTGTTCGACTGTCGTAGGCATGGTGCTTATTATGATCTCAACGCTGAAATGTGTCCGGATGGTTGGCAAGTATAATCCTCGAATCGCACGTGTTGGCCGAAAATACTGCCGGGAGATGTGTTTGGACAGGGCGAAGCTTATTCTGACAAATCCCAGATATCCCGGGCCCTCGCCCTTATAAGATTTGCTTGACTGCTTGTAAAAACCCCATCATGATGCGGCATGGCCGGGCTTTTGCCCCAGGTGGAGCATGTTGAGCATACTGGGGTATCGATGGAAGACAAGAGGTGTCACCGTTGCCCCATCCCCAGCAGGGGGCTCGTCCTAGCAGCCGATAGAGGATGGTGGAGGCTGAGAGCTGAGAATTGGTGCTGGGACTCGATGATCAAGTGGATCAACTTGCCCAGGGCACAGGCAGGAAATGCCGGTTGTTGCGACCGAAGATGATCACATTGTCGCTCCCGGATATCTGGGTGGGAAAGAGATGGCCCTCGCATGGCGCCTAATCAAGTGGCATCGTTAACCACATTGACCGTTCGATGTACATAGGTCAAGGTAAACCCTCAAGACAGTGAATGCTCAGTGCCTTAGCTAGACTTTTTGGCCTATCACCTTCATTTATTTTTGAGTAATGACAGGTTCAAGTTTGCCCTTCGCCTTGGCGGTAGCGTTGGACATGAACAGACAAACTACGAGTGACCCGAGCAAAGTAATCGCCAAATGCAGAACACAATGTTAATTAATTCAGGTGCTTGGGTAACTACATCTTGTCGGCTTGCTAGGCATGCTTTGGCCTTACTAGAACCTCAAGTACTTGCACCGTATCGCAGTGGGTTTGGCCATGGATTTTAGGGAGGAGTGGACATGGAGGAATTTAGGCCTCAAATAGTACAAGTGTACACCAGGGGAGCTTTAGCCAAGGAAGCACACATATTTAGTTAGCAGATGTGGATAAGCCGTCTAATAACTGGCGTCAATCACCAGAACAACCTACGGGATAGTGACGCCATGACCGATCCGTCCCACGTACTGCTTGTGTATAGCTGGAGACATCCGAGCTGCGCCCACGATTTTACAATCACTTACTTCAAGGCACTTAAACGCTTAAGGATGGGAGCGCCGATTTTCATTTGACTTGCTCCTTCATTGCTCGTCGTAATATGTTACATCGACGGTCGAATCGGCCGATCTACTCTGCCCAAGAGACCGTGGCAACCGCGGACTGTTTGTGATGAAAAAGCGGAGACTTTTCCCCTAGAATGATCAAGGAATTGGGGAGGAGAGATCTCGCCCTCGTATGTTTATCGACGGATTCCTGAATGAGCAACAAGGGCTCATCAAACTCCCAAGACAAAGCTGCGAATACACCAGCCAGAGTAAGTCCTGACACATATATTGTGAGTCACGAACTCCATTCGGCTGGCCACGTTTAAAATGAGAGATATTACCTCGCCACATCAAAAATCACATACCTATTGCGACTGTCGGCGGGGAGGGGAACGACACTTGCGAAGGGCTCTGCGGTCCCCCTAAATCAAGAAGAGAATACCGGGAACTTGTGGCGATAGCTGCATCGCGATGTGTCTTTGGTCATACTATGTTGAATATCCTGTCAATACGGTTTGCCTAGAGGAAGCTTAATCAGGGATATCGTTCCCTGCTGCGACCACAAGATCCTCCAGTCCGCCGACCTCAGTTGGGCCGCTCTTCCCTTCAGGGGGTAATGCCCAAGAGGGCAAAGGGCTGACATAACTCCATTTACCCTCGATATCCTCGTACCGAAGACTATGGAGCCACAGTGAGAGTTCCTGTTCTCCAGGATCGGTATACAAGGGAGTTTTGCAGATTTCGCACACTTCCCCAGACATCTTCTCCGCCCTTTTTTTGTAATACTCATCCACCATTTCGTCGTGGTAGGCGACGGCATCAGCCACTTGGTCCTTGCCCATGCGAGAAAGGCGCGTTATGACATCCTCGTCGCTGTTTTGGGTTGCATCCGCATCGTTAAAACCCAAGTCAAAGCCCCAGACCTTCTGGTTTGCGTAAATGGGATCATTTTGAATCGGATGACCAAGGAACTGCAGATGCACCCGAATCTGATGTGTCCGTCCCGTCACAGGAAGGCAGCGGACGATTGAATACCCCTCGTCTATTCTGCGCTTGTCAGAATTGGACCCTTGCTCCATAACCCCAGACTCCAATCGTGCGCCACTGTTCAGCGAGCTATCAGAACCTTGCGCAGGGCTCGAGTTTGTGGCTGGAGGGTAATAAGCGAGACGTTTAAACACCGTCCTCGCAGGCTTGCCGTTGGCCCTCACCCTGTTGAGACCTAGCTTCGGTGAGATTTGAAGAATGGGCTGGTCACAGACAATTTCGCCATCGGGAAATTTGCCGATAACACGAGCAATATACTCCTTCCGGACTGTACGACGCAGAATCTGAGTGCCCAAGCGGTCGGCAGCCTTCGCAGTCTTAGCGAGGAACATGATTCCACTTGTCAGCCTGTCGAGCCTATTGCAAGGTTTCGGAGAAAAACCGGGTGGCCTCTCGGCTTTCATAATCTCAACGACAGAATTGTAATGGTACCGTCCCGCCGGGTGAACGGGTACGCCCGCTGGCTTGTTGATTACTACCATATCATCATCTTCGTGAATAATGCGGATCGGTTCGGCGGTGACGGGGGGCTCGTGGCGATGTGTTGTGTGCGAGACAAGGTCGCCGTTCTTCATAATGTAGTCCGGGCCCACCACCTTGCCATTGACGAGAACGTGCCCCGTCTCCATGGCAGTCCGATAGTACTCGAGAGGTCTGTCACGGAATTCGGCCTCGAAGATATCGATCAGTTTCCTGCCGCGCCATCGTTCTTTGCACCATGTGTTGTATGTGTAGAAGTAGGGAACAACCCGGCGCAAGCCGTCCTTGAAATAATATTGCGCAACTCTGGGCGGGGGTAGGATCAGGATGTCGGAACTGGACGATGAAGTAGCGGCATCATTTTCAATATTCTTTGGTGAATCATTCTTGGGGCTGCTGTCTTGACTGTTCTGTGATGACGAGGATGGCGCTAGCGACGAGGATGACGATGGGCAAGGAGCCTGCGCGACAAGATGGCCAAGGGACTCTGCCATCCTCAGGCGCCGGATGGGCAATGCCGATAGGTATTTTAGGAAAGCCAGCGTTGACTTGACGGGGGGCAGCACACAGGTTGCGTGTCGCATGCGCCGCGTACTGGGGATTCAATCAAGAAACCAATACAAAAGACCCTGCGTTTCGTCAAGATGCTGCTGAATGATCCCTCTGCCAGTTGTCTGGAAAATTTAGGCGGTGAGACGAGGCACAACTGCACCGCAAGCAGGGATTCCCCGCAATCCCCGCTCCACGGGTCCGCTGCTACCCCTGCTGCAGCAGAGAGCACCGACACTTGCCGCAGCCTCGGCTTGAACACCTGCGGTGGTTAAGGTTCGGATGAAGATAAATATCATCGATTTGATGCCGATCGATCCCCGAAATTATGGGAGGTGTCTGAGTGTTTTTGTATGCTGAGAGAATCCAACTGTTGTCTTGGTTTCAGAGCAAGCTTGCCTTCTGCCATTGACTGCGATGGCTGACCTCAACAAGTTGAAGAGCCGCAAAAGAGCGGACTACCCTTACATCTTGGAGTACCGCACTCGATGGTAAGCAAGCTTCCCTGCTATCATTGGGCATCCTATTCGACAGTTAATTTAAATGTTATCCCCTATCATTTGCTTCGTGTTCTGCGTTTGCTCTCTCAAACGAGTCACATTGCTCACTTATCATCAAGGGCCGACAATGACATGTACGACCACATGAACAATTCCATTTACAACTTTCTGTACGACTCAGTTATCAACACATATCTTATCGAAAACTGTGGTCTTCACCCGCCTACATCGCCGCAATATGGCATGGTTGTTCACTCTCACAACGATTATTTCTCGTCCATCTCATTCCCTGCTGTTGCAGAGCTTGCACTACGTGTCAACCGTATTGGCAACTCAAGTGTCACGTATGAGATCGCTCTATTTGAGAAGGGTCAGGAAGCTGTCAAGTCCGTAGGAGAATTCGTTCAAGTGTTTGTCGACCGTGAGACTGGGCGTCCGAATAGCAAGGGCATGAATCCAGAGCTGCGTCGAGGACTTGAGCGGATACTAGTCAAGTCTCCAGATAGCAAATTATAACATAAATCAAAGCTTGATATGAAGGACCAACCATGTAATTACTGAAGGAGCTAATTGATAAATTATCTTAGGCAGACTTGGGTAGTAGTAGTTAATGCATATATATATAGGTCTGGAAAGGGGGCATAGACCATTGGAGGAATACGCAATAGCTAAATGACAACCTAAACAAGTTGTTACGGCTGGTAGCGTAGACCGGCAGCTGCACCGCAGACAGCATAGCAGGGGGCCAACGGGAAGGCCCTGAGTGGAGTCAAGAGGCGGATCAACCAGAAGGGGAAGCGCATTTATTACAGTTCTCATACTGCGATACACTGCAATAACCGCGAGAAAAGCCATCATCAAGGGCCAACCAAATAGGCAATGGTAACAATGTAGACATGCAAACAGCTTCCAATATAGATATGCATGTAGAAGCACCCATTCCCCGGAACCATGACGAGGACTCCTCATGCAGCAATAGAAACAGTTGTCAACCAACAGCTGGTGATGGTTGACAACTGTTTCTATTGCTGACTGAAGAAGTCCTCCTAACGAGCGGCTAGCTAGGTCCTGTATACATGAGAATCTCCTTCGGCAATACTCCTGCCATCACAAGTACCACCGAGTGATACTGAAGTATCACGCCATGATAATTTGGTCTTGGCGGTGATATTGACCTGCTGGTCTGTCCTTCGGTATTTCGCATCCTGCTTTTCTCGGCAGAGTCTCCTCGTTCCGTTGGCCGTAACAATAAGTAGGATGTAACAATCCAGAAAGACCTTCTGAAATGAGTTCGAGAGTTGCCAGGCTTCTGGATTGAGAGACAGGAGTTTACACGCAAATAGAGTGACCGTTATGGTTACCAATTGGTAAGCAACTGTTTGTATTGCTGACGGGAGAGTTTCTTGGGTCATATGGCCCATGCTTGGAATCTATATACATCTCAAGCAATTTTGTGGCTTCCCTTCTTCCTCAACAGCACAGAATGTTGAGGGTCAGCATCCTTGGGTGTTGAAGAACACTTCCCCAATGTTCAGTTGTTGAGGGCGGATACGCGAATAAGATCTATTCTACTGAATTGTATCCTAATAGTACATGGGCATGATATTATTCCACAAAGCTATATTTTACGATATGTAGGTATCAAGTGACAGTAGAGATAGGTTATAAAGATGGATTTTCCTGATAGACGTGTTATAAGAATAAGTGCTTTTTCGACAGGATAAAGATCTAAATCATCATTATTGGAAGAGTCTAAGCAGTAAAAAGTTAAGGTTTCTTACATGTATCCTAGTAGTCCTTTGATACCCTGATACTGTCTACAAGTATACTAAAACTCCTCACATATAAAAATATAAAGAAGTATACATATCACCTACTTAAGATGAACTTGATATTGACTCTATAGCGTTGTGGCCTTAGTATAGAACTATTTGTCACGACCAAAAAGGCTCTCTGGAAAGTGGACTCCGTGCAACCGACTGATCGGAGAAAAAGGGAGCTGTGACCAATCAAGCCGAGATATCCGCCCCCATCGACCCCACGCACTGGGGAGTAGTTCTTCAACGCCAAATGGCATTGATTCTTAACACCCGAGGATATTGACTTTCAATATTGTATGCAATTGAGAAGGGAAAGCAAAGAAGGCACGGAGGTATATAAGATGTAGATATATTCCATGTAGGGCCATCTGGGCAAAGTCCAGCGGCCTGCTACCTCTTGAACTCATCTCAGGAGGCCTGTCTAGATTGTCACAAGATAGGCACTACTAGTACGTGATGCTGATGATTCTATCTTTCGGCCACGTTCTACCCAGACGGGGTACCGGGCCGTGCCCACGGCGCCGGCGGGCATAGCTGCGCTAATGATAACTATTTAGAACTGAACCCTTGTGCGCGAGGGAAAGCCTCCTGGCAGAAACCTGCGCGTAGATTACTAGAAGAGAGAGAGATATTCTTTGCAATCAACAAGAGAAAAGGAAAATCAACCATTGGGGAGAGCTTGTGGAACAACAATCTCGAGTGGTTTTGACGCCTCCTCTTCGTCTGCTCTGACTTCAGGCGAGGAAAGACGATTTAGAGGAATAGGGAGTGGCTCTAGTGTTGATGGGTCAAGGATCTCACCATATTGGCGAAGCTCATTGACACGTCTCAAGTGCGGATTGAAGGTTTTGTGGAAAGCTCGAGCATCGAGCCGAGCTGCATCTGGGTTGCCCCAAGTAGCGATAGGACACACACCAAGATGTCCGTGGCGAACTTACCTGACCGCACATGCATATCTTAATGGCCTCCGGAGGGTGGCTGAAGCGTCGATAATACTCGGCAAAATCTCCATGGCCAGAAACCTCCTGAATCCAACGGGCTAGAACGTGTCTGGGAAGTTCCAGGAAGCCCTTGGATGACTAGCCATCCCAAAGACAGGAAGCTGGCTTATTCACTGCCCACCATCGTTACATGTCAAATGGGGCCGTATATCTGGGTTTGGTGGGTCACAACTCCCTTTTTCCTCCGATCAGTTGGTTGCATGGAACCCACTTTCCAGAGAGCGCCCTTGTTGGTCGTGATGTGTAATCTTATAGTTCATGCTTAAGCTTGTCGAAGATGGAGGAGATGTAAATATATGAAAGAAAGTGAAATTACAGGCGCTGTACTTTTAAATACATTAGATTTCTTTAAAAAACCGTTAGTAAGACTTTTCCATATATACATTTCGTAGATGCAGATTAATATATAAAGATTTTCATTATAATCGTTTATAATAGAGCAATTCCTCAGCTGTTTAGAGAGAACTTTCCTATTTCAATTGTACGTAAAGTTCGTTTACTAAGGAGCCTAGTCCGTAACATTGTATATTTGGTTGATGACAATCCAGCTATCCTTCCTGAGATGTGTTTGAAATTGGTTCAAGGCTTATGCTTCTGAGAGAAGATCTCACATAAGCTGAGAAACATTGCGGCCAGCAGTTGGTTTGGACAAGTGTTATTATTGTTGACTGAAAGACTTTTGTCCTCTTCTACCTACGAGGAATCTGTATATTTTACTGAAAACTCCTTTTTAAGGACCTTTAGTCTCTTGTCACCATATTCTGTCAGGATGACCTTTGGGGGCCGCACGAGCCGTATGATTATTGGTCATTTGCGCCCAGCACCGCTTTTCCTGCGTGATATCGCTTCAGATCGTAATGGTAGTCTTGTCCCTTCATTGAAATTCATCTTTGCCATAGAAGTGTGCATATTATATTAAGACAGATAGAGCGGATATAATTACAAGGCCCGAATTATTATTGTCGTAGCTATCCTCATGTTAGCTATTTCCTGAACCAAGGCATTATTACCATATTTTCCTTAGTTTAGGTCTCGGTAGTTTCCCGCCTAGCAAACAGTAGGTTCTTTTGAAAAGGCTCCAACATATGCTTCAAAGGGGTTTAAGACGAGAGCTAGAAATGATATAAGTTTATCATTGAGCTTCTGATATAGCTATATCAAAAATGGAGGCAAATCAGCATGTGCAAAAGGTAGGGTATAAAAAGGTGGATTGAAGCTGGAACATTTAAAGACTTGAAATTAGACTTTTGGTCACAACTAGGCGGGAACTAACAGTCGCCCCGCCCCAAGGTGTGGCTAATGTTGCTGATGTGAACACTCGTTAACGCCTGCACTGACACAAAGAGGGTTCGAGTAGAAGCGGTTATCTAGAAAGGAAAAGCATTATCAACATTACCATGACGGCGATCATTGTGGAATGGTGATAAAAAATTTGGCGCAAGTTTGACGCTAGAATACGCATACCAAGAACCAGAATATAGATATGTATATAATGTTGCTCCTCCTTGGGGCTCCGATGAGCATCACTTCAGTCAACAATAAATAGTTGTCAAGCAACAATTGGTGACGACAGGAAGCCACATACACTACACCGTGAGGAACTCAGTCTGTAAGTTCTACATCCTGGACACTGCGTTGAAACCCATCTCAGGAGGTTGTGTGATCGTTGGGATTTCCAGTTGTATTAGGTATCGTCCTTATAGACATTCTGTAGAGCCGCTTAAGTCATAGCGTTCCTAAGGTCTTCGAATGAAAAGGGTGGGTTTATTTTCATTTATTGAGTGTTTAGCATATTCGAGACATTACATATCAGTAGCTTTAAAAAAACTTTGTCCTAATTCAGCCTACCTGTAGATGAATGTTTCAAATCCTCAAAACATCAAATTGGAATGCCTTACTGGGGGGATGGCGCAGTTGGAATGCATTGCTCCTGGAAACACTTGCTGTGGCTCAGCAGGTCGTCGGTTCGAATTCGGCTCCCTCCACCTCACACTCACCTGGCCTTTGACCACGATCAACCCTAACTTCCCGCTTGGGCCAGCGGGTACAAGCTGCTCAACCGGGCTTCGACCAGCTCAACCTCCCATCTCCCCGCTTGGACCAGCTGGACCAGCGGGCACAAGCTACGCGCTGGTATTCGCCAAAAAAGGGTTTCCCCCGCGCAATGTATTTAGCAACCTCTTGCCCGACGTCGTCGTGGGTACGACCCGAGTACCTAGATATGGTAGTTAGTGGTCGAAAATATACATATATACATACCAATTGCCTTACTAGTATATAAAAGTTCAATACTTTCATATCTGATTTTTTTGGCCGTGATGATTCTTCAACCTCCTGAAATGGGTTGGAAGGGAGTGGTCAGGCTCTGAAACCTGAGGGACTGACGTACTAACATAGTTCTACGCAAGATATGCTGCGGCTACCAGTTGTTGGTTGAAAACTGTATCTATTACTGACTGAGGAACTCCTTCTGACGAGTGGCTAGGCAGGTCCTCTATACATGAGCTTTTCTCCAGTATTCCTTCTACCTTTACCTTTAAACCACGCGCAGGTTTCTGCCATTAGGCTTTCCTTGGCGCAGAACTCTATAAGTTGTAAGTAGCTTCAGATAGTATAACCATGCCCGCCGGCATCGTGGGCACGGCCCAGTACCCCAGTAGGGTAGAACGCGGCCAAAGAACAGAATCATCATCTTCTTCTTCTACCTTTACGAATTATACTCAATGATTTTTTCTGGGTTTGATTAGTCACAACACTTTTTGTTCTGATTGCTTCTCTGCGCGGGGCTCACTCTTCAAGATCAGCCCTTGTTGATCATAACAGTAATACATAATTTGTCGGTAACAATGACTCGATTGGTCCATTTGACATCATCCGTCCTGCTTTTGTGGCACATCCTCCCTCGTTTCCTTCGCCGGAAAATATCTTAACAAAGGTTCAACATAGACCTCGTTTGTACGCTGTTTTCAAAATATCCTATTTCTGTTATATATACTTTAAGAATGTATATATATCATATATTTGTATTCTGAAGACTACCATAACTGATAGCCTTAGCAGTCGCAATAACGGTCCACAATTATCATGGCCAGGCTAATGGAGCCTACTATAACTAGAGTAATTACCAAAATGCCTAAAGGTCTACATCCTTCTAGGCCCTCTGATTTACCGTAGGTAAGTCAATACTTTTTAGTAGCAAATGTATTATCTAGAAAGCCTAAACAAAACTGTGACAGAGAAACCTCCACTCTGCCAAAAACCTTCATACTTCTATTGTGGGATGGGTAAGTTCAGTGACTTCTGGCGCCTAAGTGCTTGGCGCTAACTTGACATTCTTGACTATCTAATATTGATGTGAATACTAATTTATACATGTATTTGATGTCCATTCAGGCTCATCGCTTGTTTTGTCTGGTGGTTCAACAAACCCCTGAGATAGGTTCAAAGGCAGTGGGCGAGGTGTCAAATTTGAGAGGAAACAGTTTTCACACGAAACCAATATTGGTGTAGTTAGAAGTTGGTAGTTAGAAGTTGGAGACGTATAACTGTATTTATTTGCTCACCCAGAACTTCCCCCCCCCCCCAAGAATGGCGATCAAAACCGTGGACATCTTGGTGTGTGTCCCATTGCTACTTGGGGCAACCCAGACGCAACTCGGCTCGATGCTCGAGCTTTTCATAAAACCCTTAATCTATACCTGAGCCGTGTCAACGAGCTTCGCCAATATGGTGAGATCCTTGACCCGTTGACACTAGAGCCTCTCCCTATTCCTCTAATCTTCTCCCTCGGCTCCCCTCGCCTGCAGTCAGGCGTCAGAACGACCCGAGATCGTTATTCCACAAGCTCTCCCTAGTGGTTAATCTCCCTATTTTGTTTGTTGATTGCAAACGTTTCTCTCCTCTTCTGGTAAGCTACGCGCAGGTTTTTGGTAGTAGGCTTTCCCTCGCGCACGATGCGTTAAGTTGTAGATAGGTATCAGTGGTTTGCTATGCTCGCCGTCGTCGTGAGCACGGCCTAGTACCTCAGCTGGGTAGAACGTGGCCGGAATAGAATTATTATCATCATCCATGGCGATCAAAAAAATCCAGCTTCCCAATAAAAATAGTATCCTTCGATTTTTCCAAGTATTTTAGTATTTCATTGCTGTCAAGCTTTGATTAGCGTTTTCTTGCATTTCATGGCCCTGTATGTTTGCCGCCGTTTTCCCCACATGTTAGTCCTGCTGGTCATGACATTGTGTGTTGTTATATGATTTAAATAGGTTTATTTCAAATTTCAAGTTCTGCCAAACGTTTACAGATGGTAACACTTACGGCTGTTAGTAGAGTTGCCGGCTTGCCCACAAACGGCGCAGGCCAATAATAGGAGGATTCGTAGTTGGGTTAAGGGGCGGATCAATCAAATGGAGAAACGCAATCACTCGCAGTTCTCCATACTGCGGTCCAATGCAATAACAGCCAGGAGCTCCTCAACAATACCGAGGAAGTAATGGCCGTAGGAGAGGCACAATATGGCTTCGAATATAAGAAATATGTATACAGGGATTACCCATATCTAAGAGCCATGACGGGGACTTTCCAATCAACAACAAAAACAGTTGTCAATCAACAACTGGTGACTGCGGCAACTTCCGTACTCTACTGCATGAAAATCTTAGTCCTTCAAGTTTATCTGTCTGGTCACTCCCTTCCAAGCCCGTCTCGGGCAATCCAGATGCAGCCCGGCTCGATGCGCGCGCATTCTACAAAACCTTTAATTTATACCTGAGACATGTTAACGAGTTTCGTCAATAAGGTGAGATCCTCGACCCGTTGACACTAGAGCCGATTTCCATCCATCCAGATCCTCTTTCTCGTCTTTCCTCACCCCAGCCAGGACAGACGAAGATGAGGAGTTGGAATCACCTGAGATTGTTATCCCCACAGGCCCTCCCCAATGGTTAATTTCTCATTTTCTCTTTGTTGTTCGCAAAGAATGTGCTTTCTCTTTTCCTTCAAATCACACACGTTTCTGCCATTCGGCTTTCCCCTGCGCAAGACTTTCTCAGTTATAATTAGGTGTAGATAGTTCAGCTATGTCCGCCGTCGTTACGGGCACGGCCTAGTGCCCCATCAGGCTAGAATGTGGCCGAAAATTAGAATCATCATCACTAAAGCCCGTCTCAGAAGGTTGCGAAATCGTCACACATTCCACCCACTGCCAGCGTAAACATGAATTAACCGAAGTACTCAAGATTGATAATATGATTAAGTTGAAACGAGATATAAATAGCGATTAAGACAGAAGTACTAATCAGGTTTTTAGTTGCTCTCTAATTAACTCATCATTTTTAGCAGCGAGCTTTACTCTTTTGGAGGGATTCAAAGGTAGATTATTCCTATATCATCTTTTGTCTTTTATCTCCTCCGTTCTATTATCTGAGATGACGTTGTTAGTAGGTCGTGACACTAGAAACGATTGTCGCTACCAGAAACCACCAACAATTGACCTCTGCGCTTGGCAATAAATCTGAACTTGTCGACAAAAATTTGAATGGCAGGGCCGGAGTAACACCGGTTTGTGTATAGTTAGATTTATAAAATCTGCCATCTTCAGAACTACTTAAAAACATCCTCAAGTCAGCAATAGAAAAGTTGTCAACCGACAACTGGTGACCGCAGTTGACCACATCTCACCAACTGTGTGATGACCACAATTCGTCAGCTTTTATAACCTGGCCATTACCTGCGAGCTCAACTTGGGAGATTGTGCAATCGTCGTATAGCGCCCAGTACTAGAAAGTTGTTAGCAAGGAAAAATATATTAGTGATATATGTAGTAATGGATAGAGTGTGTGACTCAGCTAGTGAACGATTGGTACGTATATAAATGTAGGGGGTAGAGAGGTATCTGAAGTCATCAAAGCCTATTGCGAGTAATCAAGGTATTCAAAATAGGAATGATAAAGATGAAAACATCGCCCTGCCTGCTGTATATGTCTCTACGTATGCGAATGAGGTTGTCGTGGCAATATGTAGCAAACTCTTCCCCCAAAGTCCTTACTCTCTAGTTGCCACGGCGTAATCAGCTCTGCTGCAGAGTAGGTCACAAGTGAAGGAAGGTTCTGGGCTCCAGAAACTCAACTACAGCAGCAGATCTGAAAGGCATCGTCCGTTTCTTTAGCTGGTCTCCGGGCTGTCCACTGCTAGAGTCAATTTAAACTCGAATGAGTGTAACCAGTATAAGCTCTCAAGAAGGATAATGATGGTGATTCTATTTTCGGCCGCGTTCTACCCAGACGGGGTATTGGGCCGTGCCCACGGCGACGGCGGGCATAGCTATCCTAATAATAACTACTTACAGATAAACCTTTGTGCGCGAAGGAAAGCCTACTAGCAGAAACCTGCGCGTAGATTACAAGAAAAGAGGAGAGACATTCTTTGCAATCAATACGAGCAAGGGGAATTCAATTGGGGAGAACTTGTGGAACAACGATCTTGAGCGGTTCTGACGCCTCTTCGTCTGCTGTGACTGTAGGCGAGGGAAGGCGAGGAAGATGATTTAGAGGAATAGGGAGAGGCTCTAACCTCAACTCAAGAAGGATAGATAGCATACAAGATAATGCTATCTCCCTTATAATACAGTCTTGATGTAATTATTAATAATAATGATGATTCTACTTTTCGGCTACGTTCTACCGGTAATGCATCAATAAGAGAAAACGAGCGTATTTAACTGTGTTGATGATGGAACTTATCTAAAGCAGGCCTGGACTCCACTATGCTCCATAACACATCATTATATATACATGATAATCTACTATTCTCCAACGCACATGACAATGTAGTCTCTTTATTAAGCCTAGTAGATGGTATAAAAGCTTTTGGCCGAGGTATGCCCTGTCTCCAGATATACTACCTTGAGGCCTATGTACCCTCTAGTTCTATATCCTTGTCCCAAACTTAAGACATATACAATACAGGAATTTTCAAACATTCCAGTAGT